TGTAAACTCTCTCAAGAGTGTCCTTTCCTGTGGACTGGATGGTGAATTTTTCCATGACGGAGGATAAAAACGAGTTGGATATTCCTAAAGAAAATATACATTAGTTATATTTCAATTCCAAAGTACCATATAGAGAAAATTGCTGAGAATCCTACCGTGCTCTTGATACAGTCTGTCTGGGATATCGAGAATGTCATTTGGCTTCAGATTGAGTAACTCCCAAGGGGTCAACTCAGAGAACAACTTCTGTTTTCCGACACAAGTCTCCACAAAGAACTTGGAGCTGATGTACTCGAGCGGCTGTTCAGGTTTCATAGCCTCGCGTAGAGACAGGGGATAATACTTTAGATTCCTAGCTATACGGTATGGATGTCAGTGAATGATAATAGCTTGACGACAGTAATAAGAACGACGATTACTTACCAACCCTGTGATTGCATTAGCCAAGTCGTCTTATGAAGGATATGAACAATGGTGTATTCCTACCACATGGATTCCAGATTGGCAACGCTTCCGCCGCAAGTAATGTGCCCCCACCCTATTGGCTCTTCTGTGGACTCGCTATCAACATTGTAACCAAAGAGAGTACACAGCTGCTCCCCAACTTCAATTTCTGCAACCGTGGAGATGGGGCTGACCTCAAGAGCTACGTTGTTGGGGTTGTAGAGCATTGTCATGAAATAACCCAAAAGGGAAGCCATGCTCATGTCAGTACACCTTGAGCATTCGTGTTAACATAGATCCCTCTCTCAGTGTTGTTTGACTTACATATGCCCCTCGTAGCGTGGAGACCAGAATGGAATTGATGTTCGGCTCAGAAGGTTCGCTGCTTTTTTGACGGCATTGCTAAGCTTCTCCATAGATTTCTTGAAGGCGGGCGTATCCTGGATTGCGCTGGTGATGAATTTCTATATGATGGTCAGCATTGTGCAAGCCTCACCACAGGGATGGCAGGAGTGCGTACTCCATCTTGAGGGAAATACTTGGTACGGCCATTCCGGAGTTCCTCCAGGATATTGTGAATGTTAGCTTCGAAGTAGTCCAGATTTTCGGCCTGAGGGCCAATGAAATAGGAGCTAATAATTTGATGGGAGATATCTCCAGCATCCCCATTGGCCCTCGAAGCATTGGTGTTAGTCTTCTGCCTAACGGTCTCTTGCTTAGCGGCATGCGTGGCAACTTGAGAGGGCATGTCCAGGGGCTTGAAGGGGATTTCCTTGACCTCCACTTCAGATTCTCCATTTAGGTGCTGATCAGGGTCATCATCTGGATATGTAATGTTCTCAAAGGGCCCCGATGGTGAGGTAACCTCAGGGTGCTTGAGACTTGAGATTATTCCCTTTACAGTACCTGGGATGTGAAACGACATAGCCGCGACTGAGGCTCGTAGGGGACTTTGAATGATATGAAGGGGTGATGAAGAGTTTGTGAGCTTTCCTCGGTAGCGAACTGACCAAAGATTCTCCCGAGGGTGAAAGGAAATGGTTGGACTTTAAGTACGTGGGAAAAGTGCGGGCGTTACGTATTCCTCCATCATACGGCATCAATACATGAAGGTAAGGCATTACGACCTCCTGGTTGAGAAGTGAGGCGACGTACGGGTGCAGCGATTCTTGGCTCCTTGGAAAGCTATAGCGGGCGTCGTGGCTACGTAATGTATGAGACAGAGACGGCTCAGTTGCATTATGCACGGATAATATTGGTTGTACGGCAGGAGGCTATATCCAACTAGGACAAGATGGACATGACCAGACCCAGCTGAGATGCACGGTGTTTTCGCGTTTACGAGAAAATGACCCGCATGGCCATTGAGGTGCAGAATAGCCCGCGCTCTCATCCATCAGCTTTGATGATGCGTAAAGCTATTGACGTGGAAGGGCCCACGCGGCTCATATTGCTAGGGTGTGTTTACGATGTATCGAATCCGCATACATCACGGTGGAGAATAAACCCCATGAGATATACCAAATACATTGATGATCAGCCGGGGCAGGACGACAGGGAGCCAGAGGTTTTTTCCCGGCAACTCCGATCCACTGAGGAGAAATCAAGTTCTTGTGACTTGTTCCAAGACATGCAGAGAGAAGCGGGATACTGCAACTCTGCACGTAGCTGTTTTGGTAGGAAGCGGGGGCGATGTCTCGGAAGTGAGAGCGCTATAAGGTTATAGGCTCCGGCAATTGATCAATGAGAGAGCTGCATATGCACGAATGGGCTGTTCATAACCCGCGGCGGGGTCTGCGAGAACTGTAACTGGCCGGATTATGGGTGTAAGCTTGCGGGATGGGTCTCGAACTCCCTCAGCGGCTGCACGGTACTTTATGCGGATGCTTGGCTATGAAACTATGGAGTGTCTTTGACTGATTCACATGCTCTATTTATGACACATAGGTCTAGAGAGCGGGTTCTACCGAGGCGCGATATGATATGTCGCGGATGCATTACAACAGAGCGAGAGGCTAGCAGCTCCCCCGTAATATGTGCAGGGAACGGGAGAGTAAGCCGGCCAGATTTCTCCCGCACGATCTAGATTGTTCGATCTGCGCTGCTAGGATATGCAGGTTGGGTCATGACCTTCGCTGAGAGTCTCAGCCAAGTTGTAGATGCTCGGGTCGTTTGGCGAGTCGGGTGTTTCAATCTAGTCTTTCCCGCATGTTTATATTATTGTTGGCAGGATAGAATTACCATTTCCGCTTCCTCCTTGCCCGATACCTAATTGTCTTCTTCTCTGCATGAGGAGAGCATTGAACGCGGTGGAAAACTTAACAATGAGCAGGATGGGTTTCACTTCACAGACTTTCCAGGACCTGGATGGTCAGCCGGCGCGCTTCATTGAATTAGCTCAACGATCCATAGACTAGTCATCATTATCTACAATGAAAATTCGAACTACCATTTTAAACAGTGAGGGATGCCGAGTGAGCTGTCGGTCCACACCCAGGCGCTTATGCAGCTATGTTAAACCTCTTCTTTTTTGGCTATATGAATGTCTAACCATTCACTTTTTACTCTGGCAGTCGCAATTAGCAGTTATATCACTATTTATAGAAGCAAATGATGAGGTCTCACGTCACATAGTGGTTAATAGTCCGGGTCGGAAGTCGAATAAACTACCAGTAAAGAGATGGATCTAGAAGGAACTTGTTAAACTCTTGCACATTCTGTACTATTTAAAAGAAGGGGTCATGTGAGGATTTATGATCGAATTGCTGCTACCCTTCTCTTTTTTTTTTTGCGCTATGAGAGCATGTTTCAGCATGAGAACATGTAGTGCGGATAGTGACATCAATAGGCGGCCACTGAATGCATTTCCCCATTCAGGACAAAGTTGGTATCTTTCATTCAATGCGTTCTTGATCTAAATTGAAGAATGTATCATACAGCTTGGATTGGATTTGAATAACATAAACTTTCATAGCGATGAATTAATCACATGGAAGACAAGAAGGGGTTAATAATCAAATCCGAGCGGCACTCCATGGTGGCCAAGCAGTTATTCCAGACCCTTTGGCTTTTTAAATTCTAACCACGAAGAGACCAAGCTGAGTCGAAAGTTTCACTGTGTTTTTGTGGCACAGTTGTGGCGGTACCACTTTGAAGAAGGTTCCATTGAATGAACTGAGAGGCGGTTATCAGGCTGTATCCACTCTCCCTAGGAAAAGATGAGGGCGCCTGGTCTGAAGCAAGACAGCTAGCTTAATCCGGGACCTCAAAATCTGAGAGGACGAAGAGGAATGATCAAAAGGCAATCTCTGGCAAAACTTTGTGTTTGCATTTAACTCTAAAGGGTGCGTATTGAACGGCCCACATCAGCCTTTCCTCTTTTGAAGGCCAGAGTAGTGCTTTCATTACTTCGGAAATATCGAAGCAAAGATTGATTGAACAAGTCTTAGAAAGATGTTAGGAAAATTAATGTTGTTACACTATATGTATACTCGTTATGGTGACCGATATTGTCGATTCTTCAGCAGGCCAAGTCTATACCTTGCTTACTAGCATGACTCTTCGCCGTACGCAGTTCACTTGTCGAGGTCGAAGGAGAGTAAATGTCTCAGATTTGTGCTTAGTCGTTTATGTATCTAGTCTGGTTTGCAAAAGAAGCAGAATGACTGTCGCAGAATAATCTTGTGTCTGGCGGCATAAAACACACAGAGACGGGACCAACGGCCGGGTGTTGTCTCACACCCGCCCTCCCGCGGACCCTGAAATCTCTGAGCCTCTAAGATATCCCTACTTTATCCGTGGTGTACCTGGAAAATTCATTTATGATTTTAGGACATGCCGGCAACGGAGTTCATCATATATCCCCATCGCCAGCAGGTGCCGCCGACGAGTCAGGGGCCAGCTCCAGGAGTGTAGGTTAAAAAAACCGGCCTTTCCCAGCACCGGAAGAACCCCGGGGTCCTAATTGAACATTGACTTCGATGGCATCTCTATGAGAATAGGTGAGGCTTTAAACACCGATGGTGGGGATCCGATAGAGGAGTTTTCACCACCCGGATGACCGCGGGAGCGGATGTGTTCAATGGGCTCAAAGAGGCGCTTGGTAATAGCCTCGGCGGCCTCCCAGAAAATAGCTGAGACGATCTGGACGCTCCGCATGCAATTAGCTGCGGAGGGGAGCATTCCGATGCGGCAAGCCACGTCTAGCCCCAGAGACTGCTATTGGTTGGGTAAGTTTTGCTAAAGGGCGATCATTGCAGGTGGCTTGACATCGCGTAGCTTCACCGGTTAGACACCCGAACCGGTGCATAGCCCTTCGGCCACTGGATCTAGAATGGAGAGAAATGCTCAGCCAGTCTCGGGTCAAGTCGCTATCCGCGTTTCCCCCTTGGTCAAGGTATATAGGAAGGTAAACACACCCGTCACCTCCATTTGATATTCAGTCCAGGCGAACGTTGGCAGCGACCACGCAAGACAAGGAAAATCGCCCTTTGCATCGCCGGCCTCATATCATCGCTCGCTGAACCACGAAACGAAGATCGCGATACGGCAATGCCATGGCCCCGCTACTGGAATACCGCAGCATCCAGGTGTCCGTGCCGGTTGGCGGACAGGTGATGAGTGTTATTCTTTCCATGATATCACTCAGTGTCCTTTCAATATTCCTCAGTATGGAAGCACAGTCCAATTCTCGTGTATGGAAGGGGGTTTTACTAACGTTAATACGCAGCAAAAAGAGTGCTCACCGTCAAATATTGGCGGAAGCTTCCGTTCGTCGTATGGGGTACGTATCCCCCTTCACCAGCACTCCGTTCGTTGGATTTTGCCAGCCCTGACTGGAGATATCTCAGTGACATTCGCGATTTATTTGGTATCATATTTATTCGTCTTCGTCACGGCATTATTACAGTACTCATTTGGAGTCAACTCGAGTTATGGCCTCTGTGATGGAGCTATCTTACTCTGTCTGGTCTGTTATGTCCTCACCAAGGTATGATCACACATTCCGATCCCATAACAATAATCTAAATTCCGAGCTTGAAAAAGCTAACGAATGAACAGCTTGTAAGAGACAAAAATATCGCTCATGTTGCGTCATTGGTGCTAACCAGGCACAGCTCATCTACTTGTTTCTTGTTGAGAAAGCTGTACGTCAACACACCACCTCTGCTCTAGGCGCAGGAACTGACGATGACAGTACATCATTCGGAACTCGCCAAAGCGGCGGATGCAATCGAAGTTGTACCTGTTCAACTCCTTTGGCATCATTACCGTGTTCATCGTGGTAATAGTACTTAACTTTTACTAGTATGTGGAGATTCCGATGACTTTTTAGACTTTGCAAGCGGCTTGACTAACTCCGCGGACTTTACAGCCGGATTGTCAGAATGGAAGAAGGCATTTGCTACATCGGAATGAAGGGCCTCGGCATTATCCCGCTTATCACCTTTGATGGGCTTGCCAACACATACCTGACTTTGATGTTCCTCGTCCCTCTCAGGAGTAGGCACCGTCCCCTATTCCAGACTGCCCCTGAATATCGCATCCTGACAGTGGAAATAGAGCTTTACTCGTTCAAGAATATGGCGAGAACGTCTGCGAATATCCGCCTGCGGAACGTCGCTTTCCGCACATTCGTGGGGTCACTTTGCACCCTGCTGAGTAGCGCAGTGTAAGTGGACAACGGAACTAGATCGGCCTTGTGCCTGTCAGGACTGAATGACTAGATGACTGACGATCTCTGGCCGGCAGAAACCTTACTGTTTTGGCGGCGCTAAACGGGGAACCGGGTTGGGTTTGCCTGATGTGCTGCAACTGTGACGGTTCGTCCAAACCTTATCCCCCTCCTTTCTGGGGATCATATCCGCAACACAGGATTTGGTTGCTGACGTTCAATCAGTGCTCTTCTCCGCAATCGTTATCTACTGGGTGACGTCCAAGGACAATGCTGGAACTACGGAGACCAACACATCCCGCAATGTAGGCAACGGCTATGCGGATAACAGCATGGGCAGCGCGATTCGCAGACCAAACACACATGCCGAGCGCGAATATGCACCCTCAATTAGCGATGAAGTCGTACTTATGACTTCCGCCAGATCAAATCGAGGACTAAGCAATCACGGCGAGGATGATGACAGCAGCTCCAAGACGAGCAATACCAAGGAGAAGGTTATCGTCGCCACCACAATCAAACCAGACAGTAGCAGCACCGACGCAAGCATTGACGCAAACCGAAGGCCAGGAGATGAAGAAGATCTATACCGTCAAACTCCCTAGCTGAGCCGAAGAGCGGATGAATTCGATACACCTCTAGGCGAGGATTAGCTGGAATCTCTCCAGATCTACCACCGAACGGATGGGAGGCCTTCTGGAACTTGATCATCATTCTGGACTATTAGACTTTGAGACGGCGCGCGTTCGGCGATTGGCGGCATTCCTCCGCCCCGGTTTTAGAAGCTGACTGCGAGCCACAGGATTGGTTGAAAGAGACCAAACATGTCAGATCGTCGGTAGAGTAGATACGTACACGATATGAACGACCCCATTATACCCAAGCTTCTTTGATTAGGTAGATTCAATATAGAGTTCGATTGAACAACAGCGCCCCATTCCCAAGGGGAAAAAATGTCAACTTGTCCCGAATATTTTCGGGTTGTTTCTTTGGCTAAGCGTACAAATTCAAACATGTGTAAGATTTAACATATCCTAAGATTAATACAATAGAAAATACCAGATCCAACCTCGAAGGCATGACCAAGGAAGATTTCTGATTCCATGCCTAACATGCAGAGATCTGACATGGAGAGATCCAATGCTAGCTATCCCAAGCAGGTCTTGAGCGGGGGAAACGGGCCTGTTCTGTTTGGAAGCTAACGGAGCTATCCAATGCAATCCCACCGGATTTAGCCATCCCAAGTACAACAACACTCCTCTCCCCACTGGGGCAATGCACACGGAACATGCATTCCAGGTGAATTCAGTCGAGATCTTTGTGGAGCAACAACCTTGTAGCCTTTATTTCTTCGGTCCCGGGATCCTGGTAAGTGGTAAATGGACGACATGAGTGGGCTGTTCTAGGTAACCTTAAATCTTTGTTTCTCGGCCGTTTTGATTTCTTCTTCGGCTCATCCGTCGAAGCGAGGACCACCTATGTTCCCAGAAACATGCCTGAAGCACAGTGATACTTTAAATTAGCAGAAGGCTCTAGGCCCGGTGGTATGTTATGGTGGCTGCTAAGGTGATATAGCTGTCTGACAGTCTATCGAGCCTTCATAGTGGCAGCTGGAACTCGACGCTCGACTATCGAATTCTTAACCGTGACGCTGATAATCGATGGACTTTACTTTGTACCAAACACGGAAGCTCTAGGAAGTCACCAGCAGAAGGACAGGGGCCGTCAAAGCCGGCCATCCCGTGCAATGAAGAACTGCCGCGAATGTTGCAACTTGCAACGCTTGGCTTACCCAACGCAGTATTTCGCACCGAAGTCGTCTTTACATGTTCTCTTTGCGTAATGCCTTGATATTGTCTATTTTATATGTATTGGCCTTTGGTATAATCTTCAAACGATGGCCCTAGCCTTGAGTTGCGGGCAAGCACAGGGGATGAGTGATCTCATCCATAAGAACGTTGTTGGCCCACAGCTACGCGACTGGGGCATGCCCTCATTCTCTAGCACCACCGACAACGATGGAGTGGTCGTGGTAGTCTCGTTTATGGGTATTATGAAAAATTACTTTTCTCATTGTGCAACAATCACTTGTGGAATCACTTTGGTTACTATATGTGGCGAAGTAGCTGGCTGGAAGAATGTCTTGAAGCGACTTGATAGGATTGAGCAGTTCGGACAAGAGGCGATTCTGTTCGCTCAGATGCTTCGCTTGGTTATAAATAGAATAATCCTTGTCTTACCATAGCGCCAGGAAGTATTCGGCTTCTGGAACATAATATTTCATAAGGATATTCAGGGTAGTGGCGCGGGTATTCCCATAGGTTGGTTGGTCAACAGCCTTCCGTTTGTGGGACGCCGAAGGTACAGCAAACAACCTCAGAGGAGGGGCCAGATGTTTGAAAAATTGTATGGCGTGCCCTGCATCAGTCTTGACTCCATAACCGCTGGTTATGTCACGGTGCCCATCTGGGTGGATTGGCTAGAAGGTAAATTTGAAGCTATCATGGTGGCTGGCTCAGTTGGTACATCTGGCTACCCATCTGATGTTGGATGAGTGCGGGGACACCGCACCACTGTGCAAGAAAAGGATCCTAGGAATGATACAACTGATACTATACAGCCTGTGTCTGGGTGGTGGGTTTTCGAAAACCGGACGATCCAGAGCGCGCCAGGAAAAAATCAGAGTGCTTTCTGTCTTGGTGGCCCACATCCTCACCTCTTCATTTTTTATAACACCCAGTATCAAGTTAGTGCGCAGGAAACTTATTCTCCCGAACAAATAGCTCCTAGTCAGGGGGCAAGGTCTAGTGGTATTTCTCCTAGCTAAAATCGTGGGCAATGATACTGGAACTGCGATACAAAGTCGAACAACGTATAGCCTTGCCAAAAGCCGGTGTCTAACCATACCACCAATAGTATATGAATAATGAAACAGAAAGACGGTCCATGTTCAGTCCTAACCAATTGTGCCTCCCTCATTATTTCAAACTTTCAACAGAGGTGTGGCTGACTGGGAACTGAAGACAGGGAGAGCGCCAAAATTCCTTTTCCAGTTTCAATTAACCTGGGATTCTCAGGTAAAGGTTGCCTTCATAATGCCATACACTCTCGAGTCCGAATTGTGTGACACGAAGAGACCGGCGACGGAAGCCATGGAGCCACACTATGGGCCGACAAGACCGCAGGAGGCAACGGCCTTATAGCGGATGTTAGTAAACTATTATTCAACTATCCAATACAGATGGACAAACGTACCGGAAAGACCCAGATTGTGGGTTAATCCTTTTCCATTATTAGTACGCCAGGGGCTCAACAAACTAGACGAGAGGACTACCTTGCCGGACTTCTCTGATGCCGACTCGTTCCGACGCTGCTGGAGGTGTCGCAGAAAAAGCGCAAGCATTAGCGGTTGACAGACAATTTTACTCATCAGTCATTGTACTGCTTACCTCCATCGTCTCAGTCAGCTCTTGCTCCTAAACTTGGTTAGCTTTCGCTTTTCTCGAGTTTGACGCAACGTTTCAGCCACCACTAACTTTCTGTACCTAGTTAGTTCAACTTGATCGATTGTTTCGCATGCTTTCGGTATTCCCACCTCGACCTCTCGCTCCTAGTGCTAATCAATGCAATAATCAGCAAGGCATGTCATGATTTCACGCTTGCAACATGTGCGAACGTACGTTAATCCGATCAATCGCACGCTGTGGATCAAGTGTCAGAGCGATGTTCTCCTCTCGTCATCGACCAAAAAACTCACCTCCTTTCTTTTTTTGGCCTTCTTGAAATCCCTGATATTAGCCAGCTAGTTGGGGATTATGCCATCGTCGAAGGGGGGAAAGCGTACTGCTTCCGCCTTCCTGGCCCCCTTGTAATCCATTAGAATATGTTCATAATTGAGAGAAGGTCAAAGCAGAATACCTTTAGCGCGAGTTTCCAATACTAGGGATTACTCTTGTCAGCAAGTATCGTCTCTTAGCATAGTAGGGGACCTTACATCGAGTGTCACCTCGGCGGGAGTCTGTTATGGTCAGTACTAGATTCGGCCATTTGTCCGGGACATGGTTACTATGCCTTTAGCTCATCCTAGCGAGGCTGCCTTTAGCTCGACTTGCAATCATTTGACCAGAAAGCAGCTTACCGTAGTTCCTGAGGTACTCGAGCCCTTGGCCTTGGGGTGAGTGTATGGGCCCTATGGCAATTAGTTACCGTTCGTTGGTCCGAGAGGAGACAATGAGCCTTTACCATGGCCTGCAATTCTCAATGTCAGTTAATAAGCGTCAAAGTCTCCCGCAGAGGTGGCTCACTGACAATTGTTGATGACGGTAATATTGATGGTGGATGGTTATCACCTAGTAGCTACTCGTTCAAAGTCGTAGAGTGTCGCAATGCAAATACTGGCGTTGGTCTGTCGCTGATGGAAGAGTTAACCCCGGCCGTGAATATTAACGAACTGGACCTGTAGGTTGTCACTTACGGCAATCTCAATATGAATCTGGTCGAACCGATGAAGAGAAGAAAAACAAACGGAGAGTTGAAGCGCGACAGTTGTTGGAAGGCACCAGGCATCTGGCAGCCATTTCGTTGATGGTACATTGCCGGTACTTGTGGTAGTTATAAACGTAGCACAAAAACAGCTACGCCCACTATCTATTAAAGGTATCTTAGTTGTAGCAGGGGGCCTTCCTCACGGAAAGGATGCAGGGGAAGGTGGCTCTGTTCTATGGACTTTGGTGAAGGAACGATCGTAGTATCGGGCGGCATTCGGGTTTTAACTGGGATCAGAAATGGGAAGAATGTTTCTCAAGCTGGATATTAATGCTGGTAATCCTGTTCAATAACGTTCCGCGATAAGACCCGGGAATCAATCAATCTAAAAATAAGTGGCAATATGATATTGATATTAGATTATGAAGCGAATATACAGCTCTGAGTAGAGGTACAGTGATGAATCCTTCGAGACCGCAGGTAGCCGCACTGGGGCCTTTCACTGTCATTCAATGATACATCGCCCTAGCTTCTACATGCATCATCTCAACATCATGTAAATCTCACAGATAAATATAACAGAATGGAGAGTTCCCAAGAGTATTTAGGGCAGCGCCAATCGTTATGGGCTCGGCGTTTACCCCCAGGTCCAGGACGTCAGTCAGAAGGGCGTCTCTACTAGGGGGCATATTGAGAATAGTGATGGTACCCGCGATCTTCTTGGCCTCCTGCGGATGTAGAGCCTGCCAAAGCCAGTAGACACGGTCAACCATCGAGTGGTGAAGGAAAAAGATGGGATCATTAGGGGATGCGAAGAGGTCGGCAGAGTCACCACCCATCGTGAAGTGGCCAGCAGCGTGGACTCCGAGAAACTCATCGCTAAATCTACCTTGCAGCTCATTCTGGAATGTAGAAATGTTTCGAGAGGCGGCACCGACCGTGATGTTCCACACGTTGGCGAAAGTCATCCACCTGTCCACGGCTGCGGAGGTGAGATCACGACGCAGGCATCGGGGGTTGTAGCCAAGCGGGCCGGTTGGACTGGCCGTGAGGCCGTCCATTCCTGGGGAGACAGGGCCCAGGTTCGTTACCATGCTGGTATTTGTTAATCTTTGCTGTTTTGGTTTCGACTTTCTGGCATGGACCATCTCGACTTACTCTTTGAACGGCCCATCCTTAAGACAGCCGCCCCCCTTTCCAGATGGGAGGTAAATGTTATTGCTACCGCCGAGACTGCCATTGTGGGCGACGTAAGTACCATCACCGCTCATGCTCGTGTCACTTCCGTCGAAGATGGGAGAGGAAGCAAAGTCGGAGCCATCAAGCCAGTCCCAGTACTTTAAGGTTGTCAGCGATGGTTTCAGGTGTGTTACAGTGCAGAGGGGCACTTGCTGGCTGTGTTCCGTGGTAGCCACACTCGTCTCGCAAAGCGGACTCGTAGGCCCAGGTGAAGTAGCGATGCCAGGTGAGAAAGTTACCCTGTGCGGAGTGGTTGGTTAGCATCTATGCGCATCTCAAACAGGCACGGGGCCGCAATTCCGAACAACATGTGCGTCGACGTAAGGGATCGGCCAGCCAGTAACTCACAGTGCCGTGAATGCTCAGTGTCTGATTGATGTGGACGGCCACAAAATCATCGTATCGAGACTTGGCCCCGGGAGCGAATGAAGGATCGGCCTTGGAAGGCTTCTTCATGATGCAGAGCACGGCATCAATGTAAGCCTTCCTCTCCTTCTTGGACAGTGCCCTCCTAAATAAAAAGAAAGGCGCGAGATGTCAGCCAACTTTTTCATGTCGTTCAATGAGGCCATCTGGGGCGGCGAATTTCTCCTTACCAGTTTCTTCGGATTGATGCTGTAGCAAGGGAACATCTCTTTGAGCCATGCACCGACAGCAGCGAGACACCACCGCCCTCTTGGCCTTGGAGTGCCTGGATGGCTTGATTGTTTGCATCATCCAGGGCACCGGTCTCCGACACTTCCGTAGCAGCTACGGCTAGGGTCGAAAGACCAATGAGACCATTGAGCACGGCTGCAAGAGAGAACCGCATGGTAAGCTATTGGAACAATGTGCGACACTTGACGAGGCTGAAGAGGTGTCCAACGACGGCGCAGTTGCAAAACAACCCGAACGGAGGAGTCTTATACCAACCAACTTTGGGGAAACGGGCCCCGGAAGAACGCGAAACGAGCTGGCAAAGGTGGTCTCTGCCCGTCCGGTAATTTATTCATTCAGCCATGCGGTTGCCACCGTTGGTCGCGTCTGTTCATGCAGACCAATTATTAAGTGTCACCTACGGAGTACATGGCCCAATACATGCTGCCACCCCTGTCCTTGGCCCAATAAAACCTCGCTTCAACAACTCCGTAGATACCAAGGAGATCCCATCTCTGCGATTTGCACATTATCACTGCTGATCTCGTATTACGGAGCAAAAAAACACGCGTTTTCATCCCCACACTGCCCCCCCATCCCACCAAGACATGCCCGTTGGGTTGCTTGTTATAGCAATCTTATCACCACCAACAACTTACCAATGTAGTATTATCCAAGCTGACATCGTATGACCTCGCAGGTGAATACTATGTAGTTCGGGCTATGCCTCTTGGCTAGTGAAATGAACATACTCTCTTCTGACTTCCCCGGCTTCTCGCTTTCCTGATCTGGGGCTTGCACCGACGATCCAGAACCTCAATTGGAAAGCAGAGGCGAAGAGGCTGCTTATTTGAGGCGGCTATAACTCAGGCCCTCCCTAGCAATTGTCCCATATTCAGTAGCAGCCCGGTCGTCTGATTCTATTTACCCAGAAGGCTTTGGAAAATGGCGCCGGATGCATGGTATGTCACCCTGCTAAGGAGCTTTCGGTTCCGCCCTGAGCCTGGCAGCCGTCTCCTTCCATCAAGGGCTAGCGGAGTGCCGTGATGTGCAGGAACCCTGGCACTGAAACAAGGGGTTCGAATATGCATCCCCGTCACACACCGCACATGGGAATGCGGCCCTTGCGTCTTTTTAGCCACCTCGAGTGTTCCAAGAAGTCGACGCTTTGGGAAGAATGATGCTGCTCGAGTTAGACGCAATGCATGGCCGCATTCTTTTTATCTTTTGGGTGTTCCCCAGACTGCGAGCCAGCTGCGCTGACCGACTGCAATGCTGGACCGTCCAAACTTCTCGTCCATCGTCGACAGAAGACTTTGGCTTGCTAACCTCTTGCGGGCAAGATGAGCACTCCTTCTGTACCGATCGATCCGGCCAGGGCAGCGGAAAACCGTACGGCCCAGATCGTGGGAGTCACCACTGCTTTCAACGTGGTAGCGATACTAATCACGATCCTGAGGACGTACACCCGGATTTTCGTTGTGCATTCGTTTGGTCCCCACGATGCCTTTATGATTCTCGCAGCTGTTCGTACACGCCTTGCCCGTCTCCTGGTCTCATCTAGATCGCAGCCTTATCTCGATCAGTTGCTTCTTGAAACACGCGCTAACATTGCCCTGGCTAGCTTTGCTCTCTCCTGGGCGGAACTGTCACGATGTTCATGCAAGTTCCATATGGGCTCGGCCACCATTCCGACACTCTGTCCAATCCCGACCGGATGCAAATTTCGAAACTGAGCTTCGTACAATCCATGGTGCCTCTCATTGGCGGGCTGGGCTTTCTCAAGGTCGCTATTGCGTTCGAGCTGAGGAAGCTGAGGAGTAATTCGTGGGCATGGTACAATTTTCTGCTTTGGTGTCTGATCGGTCAGTTGTTAGGTTCACCTCTGTATCATCGTGACTTGCGCTGACACCAGCTAGCATTCGTATCTGCATACACCTTCATGGCCTGGATGACCTTCTTCCTCTATTGCAGTCCCATCCAAAAGATATGGAACTTCATGCTAGAGGGCAAATGTTATGACATTCACCTCTTCGTCAAATTCGGTCTTATCAACACAGGTATGCCATGCCTCATTATCTCATTTGATGAGCAACATCCAATGCAAGACATCTCTAATTGACCGGTTATGCATAGGTTTCAACATTTTTACCGACGTCGCTTTTGCCACCTTGCCAATCCCCGTCGTTTGGACTCTCAAAATGCCTCTCAAGACTCGTCTCTATGTCATTGCTGTCCTGAGTCTTGGTTATTGGTAAGTCTTCACCTGCTGCAGATTAGGGCGAACTTTGCTAACATTTTTGCAGCGCTGTTGCCATGGGCGTGGTCAAGGCCACGCATCAAATTCGTCTCACCATGACCACTGACACCACATAGTAAGCGCTCTAGTGATGAAAGCAATTATACCAAACTAACGAGCTCCCTTGATAGTACTTATGATATCCAATTCTGGGGCTTGTAAGCAGATATCTCACCTACAGATTCTTGGATTCCAAGCTAATCAATCTCCAGGCTCCAACTAAACATTGGAATCATCGCTGCCTGCGCCCCATCTCTGAAGCCGTTACTGAAGACTGTCCTAAACCTCAAGAGCTTGACTCCTCGATATGGATATACGAATTCGCAAAGCTACCACAACCAAAGAAGCAAGAGAAGGACAGCAATCTACACAATAGGTGGAAGCGCCGCTCAGGGGTACACCAAGCAGACCAGCAAAAACGACAACGCCGACGACTTCGAACTCAAATCCAACTATCGCTGCAGCGCCAATCAAGGCACGTCTTACACGGCGACCGTCGCGGGTAGAGACGACTCGAGCTCAACGGGCGGCGGCCAGGGGGCAAAGGATGAGGAGGCAACGACAGGGAGGTCCAACAGCCAAGACATTATTCTTCCTATTGAGGGTGGGAAGATTGTCCGCACGACGGAGGTATCTGTTACGTACTAGCTCACGGTGAACGACATGTATAAAAAGCGTTGATATTATTATAGCATCGGGAATCAAGTATGGTCTAAGAATCCTTCCGGGCTCGGTCTTGTATTAAATTTTCCACACCGAGAGAGCACTTTTGCCTCGAAGGAATGCTCGTCTCACCGGCCCGGCACTCGTTCGGGAGTAGTTCAACGTGAGGGTGTGATCGGCGTAAGCAGACCCACGAACTACCCAAGGCTACCTTCCTTCGAGAAGCCGATCTGACAGTTCGGTCCGACAGGCTGGCAATCCTCCAGGCTTGGAGGCAATGATCAGCTCTGAACCCTGTAATGCTGCGGTGTTCCTGGCGCGAAATACCGATCGCCAATCGTGACACTTCGGCGCATGAACATTGATGATCTGCCATCGAAAGCTTTTAGCTCGCGGCTTCACCGTCATCGAGGGACTCCACGTGGCATTGTTCTAGATGGGAACCAGTTCCACGAGTAATATGAACTGAATGACATTGAATGTAATATCTCAAAACAACCGAATAATAAGAAACCAAAGATGGTATACAAGATGAATGCTTACCACCGACGCGTTGTTCTTATTACTCACCCCAACCACGCAGAAAGTCCCCCGTCTAGTTCTTCAATGAGAGCGGTTAGATAGGGGGTGTGGCAGCTCACGTTTATGCCACCCACCTCCAAATCCAACAGTCTTCAGAAACCACCATAGCGGCCAGGGCATTCTCATCAATCGTTAGAGCTCGACTGACAGAGAATTGAAACACAGCTACATTAACATCAATTGTCTAATATGCTACTGTTTGGCGCTGCCTTTGATGCCATTGAAAGAAATTTGTTCATAAGACATCCTTTGGAGAAGTAGAGAGACTTATGGAAACGGCTATCTGAAAATAATCACCTGCTAAGAAGAGTAATTTAATAAACATGCCATGCATCTTAAACTATAGGCATTCTAGTTGCGTTGTCGCCACACTTATTAAATGACGTATCTGAAATCTCTGTCGGAAATTCCAACAGCCTTGTGGGCATCTTCCTCTCCTGAAGCCAGCTTCTCATTCTGCTTCTTCAAGTACCACCGGAAAAAGACGACTCCGCCAATGGCAAGGATAGCAGCACCTCCCTCGACTCCAATGGCCATAGGGTATCGCTGGGCTTGGCTGTCTGGGAAGAGGTAGCCGCCGATCACATTACCTACATTGCCCACCATGTTGACACAGGCAATAGAAGCCGCTCTCTTTGGTGCAGGAGCTGGGATAGAACTGCCGATCCACGCAAGATTCATGTTCGACGCGCTCGTGATACCCGAAATCATTAGGATGCTTGCAATGATACGCGCGGGGACTGCCAGCGTGCCTCCCATGATTGCCAGACCGACAATGCAAACAGCCAAGTTTATAACAATTGGCCATGTGCGCTTCTGAATGCGGTCTGCATACCAGCAGGTGAGTAGAACGATGCAGAAACCGGTCAGGTATGGGACCGAAAGAAGTGCATACGTGATCTTCCTCTGAAACCCAAGAGTGGCCATGATGGTTGGGAAGAAGCTGCAAGTATGTATTAGCCAATCTAACAGCCTGGCAAGATGATAAATATCGCAACTTACTTGGTAAAGGAAGCACAGATAGTGATTAGAAGATGGTTCAGTGTTAGAATTCCCACCTTGGGATCTTTCATCATCAGCTTGAACCCAGTTCCCATCGAAGTCTTATCAGAGCTGCTGCCCAGATCTTCTAGAAGTCTGTGCTGAGCCACAATCGACTCCTCTTCCGAAAGCCACCTGAAATTGAGTTAATAGAAAGTCGCATGTACTCGCAGTTTAGAGTTTACATGCCGTGTATTGTGAGGATAATTTGGAAGTGTAAAGACGCAGATTCCGGCAACGGCGACAGTGAGGGCGCCTTCGATGATAAAAAGCCTATCAAAAGGAATCAAGGTCAGCACAAAATCAACAACTTCTTTTCTCAACCGCACTCACCATCTCCAAGAAGATATGCCAGCAACGTTGTCCATACGTTCCGTGATGCCAATTGCCATCAAGCTTCCGAAAGACCCGGAGAGCATGCTTCCTCCGAATAGCAATGCCACACGCAAGCTCAGCTCATTGCTCTTGTACCAAGACGAGCACAAATATACTGCGCCAGGGAAAAAAGGAGCCTCGCAAAATCCGAGAACAAATCGGACAGCAACAAGACCGCCATAGCTATGGGCCAATGCTGTACAACCGGACACGACACCCCACACCGCCATGGCGCTGGGCAGATAAATAGAAGGAGGAACTTGTGACAGAAAGAGATTGCTAGGGACCTGCGTGAGGCTTTGGAAAAGTCAGTGAATGAATATTCGCTAGCGGTATCAAAGAAAATGGACTCACAGGTATCCGACGAAGAGAATGGACAAACATGTGCTGTATTCCGTTGAAGACAGCCCAAGCTCCTGCTGAATTCCAGCAATTTTTGCAATTGGCAAGGCATTTCGATCGATATAGTTCAAGATGTACATGATCATCAGTGTAGGGAACAGTCTCAGGTCAAGTTTCAGCTTGAGCCTTTTCTCTATAGCTCGAGCCTCCTCAGGAGAAAATTTGGCATATTCGTCTCGAACATGCTGCTCGTGAGCGCTCAGGACGAAAGTGGTCCCGACTGCCTGCGAGGTGACGGAGGCCTTGTCATCTTTCAGATCGGAGAGTTGAGTTGGAGCGTCTTTGTTGGTTGCCATGTTATGAACTGCGTGAGTGTGTGTGTATCTCGATCACAAACTGAACTTCAAACGGGTGTTACGTTCTATATTTAACAAGAAAGCGACCCCTGCTGTGTCAGTTGTCCCAACAGGCTGGAGAAGATTATCCACACTTGTTGATCGTGCTGAACGCGACTTCGCTTGGCCGGGAAATCTGCCAAGTCTGGGGATGACCAATCAGAAGTCATCCCTCATGCCCCTGCCTCGACGATAACATCGAGTGAGCTCTGTCAAACAGCGCCATTCCAAAATGGCGGGAAATGATAAGCCCCTGGGCTGAGTCACAGAGTCTCTCCCCGGCATCATCATAGCCTGAACCTTAACGTTGGGCTGAGTCAAACTAGCTTGCGGGGCTTCCCCAACCCCATTTCCACCTAGTCGGGTTTGAGGATGCAGGCCAAGGTAAGGGGAAGAAACCGCTATTGATAAGTGGTTGATGGAGTCAACCTTGGGAAACTTGGCTATCGACGGTATCTCCTTATTCATTTCCTAGCAGGCCATTTGCCAGTTACTGACCACGCATCTAACATGGGATCACCCGTGCTTATCGAGAAGGCGCTGAAAATTCGGGACGCCAGCATTGATAGTGTGCTCCCTGGCGTGACTCTACCAGATCCTCTCCCCCAAAATGTTCAAGGAATTCCTGACACTATCCTGAACCCAGAAGAGCTTCAAATCACTGGGTACGACACTCTACAGCTTGTAAAAAAGTTGGCGAGCAGAGAGTTGTCATGCGAGTCAGTTACAAAAGCTTTCTTGAAGCGCGCTGCACTAGCCCAGAAGACCGTGAGTTAGGAAGCAATTAGACTAGTATTACAAGTGTTGACGATTGCTTGTGTCTATTAGGTGAACTGTATCACAGAGCTACTACCTGAGCATGCAATCAAGCGCGCGAAATACCTAGACTCGTTGCCGCACCCAACTGGGCCGCTCCATGGACTTCCCATATCGATCAAGGAGCAGTTCGGTTTCGAGGGTAAGATCAACAACAATGCGTTCGTCGTTAACTGCGACCGCCAGCAGATCCCTGCGTGTACACTGAACACCGTTTTGGAGGACCATTGCGGTGCTATCATCTTTGCTCGTACTTGTCAGCCCCAGTCCGTGATGCATCTCGAGACCAACAACAATATCTATGGAAGAACCGTCAATCCTTACAACCGGAAGCTGACGGCTGGTGGCTCCTCTGGAGGAGAAGGCGCCCTCGTAGGCTTTCGTGGTAGTCCTCTTGTGCGTAAACAACATCAGCGGCAACCTATTTGACTTATCCTATTCTCTGACAGACACATAGGGGATGGGTGGCGATATTGGCGGTTCGATTCGTGTCCCGGCAGCAAATTGTGGTATATACGGTTTCAAACCCACCCCTTTCCGTGTTGGGAATCCTGGAGGAATGGGACTCATCGTCGGCCAAGAAGGGTGAGGTCTAACATTGACCATTCTACAACAGATTGGAGTGCTGACATTAACTAGCATAATCGGATGCATCGGTCCGCTCGCGCCGAGTCTCTCTGGTATTGAGCTCTTCATGAAAGCATACTTAGGAACTGAGCCCTGGATCAAAGAGTCATATCTTACTCCTTTGCCCTGGAGACAGATCCAGCTCCCAAAAAAGCTGAAGATTGGTGTTATGTGGTCTGACGGGATTGTTAAACCTCACCCTCCCATCACACGTGCCCTTTCCTTATTGGTGAACTCGTTGAAATCGAACCCTGCCTTTGAAATCGTCGATTGGGAGCCCATCGATCACGATAAGTGTTGGGACATTACTTGTGCTCTTTACTGGGAAGACGGAGGCCGCCGTCTTCAAGAAGTTCTCAGATCTGGAGATGAGGAGCCCTTGGAGCTCACCAAATGGCTGTTAGAGCAACCTACCATGAAGCCTCGAACGTTAGAAGAGGTTTGGGCAGTATGGCTCCCCACATCCTTGCCACTATGAGATTTTGTAGCTAACATTCACGGTTGTAGCTGAAAGCGGCTCGAAATTCGTATAGGGCCATGTACAACCAACATTGGCTCAACACAGGCAGGGAAGACAGCCATCCTGTTGATGCCATTCTTTCTCCCGTTGGCCCCGGATGCGCCCCGCCGCATGATCAATCCAAGTACTGGAACTATACTTCTCAGTGGAACTTGCTCGAATACCCATCAATCTCGTTCCCAGTCACCAAGGTGGATTCGTCCTTGGATGTTCGCGACAGCAGCTACAGGCCAATAAGCAAAGCTGATGAGTTCAACCACGGATTATACCCCGGGCCAGAAGCGTACGAAGATGCTCCGGTCTCTCTGCAGCTGATTACGCGCCGCTACGAGGATGAGAAGTGCATAGAGATCTTGAAGCAAATTGAGGCTGCGACTCATGATTTGAGAAATTAAAAAATCGATGCTGGTTATATAGAATAGAGGATTGGCTAATAAATACACAAGTTTCCGGCCGTCTATATAGGCTCGTCACAAAAAAAGAACCTACCTACCAAGACATTATGGGGATAGATATATGCATACTTGTGAGGCGAGATTGTACTGTATCTAATTCAACTCTACCGATGCAAAGGCTTCAGCTGGCTTGCATCTTGAAATCATCTTGGTCAATAAAATGCGCCTGATTCGTCAGCTACTTTCGGAAGTTTAGAATACAAAAGTGCAGCTACCAACCCCTCGCCTCGCCCGTATGTTACCCTAAACACTCGACTATATTACTATGATGGTTGATCTTTACGTATATAGGGATAGATGGGGATGTGTGCCTTCTAGAATGATTTGCTTTGTGTTTCTTTCTTGTTTCTACCTACTAAAAATTATATGATTCTAATGTTTTTGATTCAGGTACACTTCTTTCGATTGCGTTCTGGTTATATCCAAACCTTTTCCTTGAGAAGATGAGTGAAGGAAGAGCAATTGGGCTTTTAATCTAGGCAGCTAATAATCCGTAGCTATGCAAAATGAATGATAGAAATATTGAATCAGAACGAGATTGTTCTAGCATACAAAGTAATGAATACTACAAGTAGATGCCCAACTTGATGTGAGACACCCAGTCGGAGTTGCATAGTGAAAGTCTTCAAGGAAAGAAAATAAAACTTAGCATTAAAATATTACAAAAAAAACAGGATATAAAACTAAGACTATCTAGGTCTACAACGATCACAGCGTGTTCGATGTCATTTTCAATCGGAATCAGGCTCTCCTTGAACAGTTTCGTGGATGCCAAGGCATCTATCTCCATTTTCAACCTTGATGGGGAGAAAATTACACCCTATCGAGATATCTGGCTTTTCTGCGTGCTGTATGTCATCAGAGAGTTGCCGTCTAGGCTTCTAGGCCCTCAGTCCAGCCTTTATGGGTACCGTACTTGAGTCACAAGATTCCGTCAGATGCCAGGAGCCATACAGATTAACCACCATACCCTAGTTCTAGCGTTACATATTTCCATTGGCTGCTGTCTTAGGCCACACTCACCAATGCTAAATACTTTCCTCTCCGTAAGTGCGGCTACGGACCATTTTGCCGCGGGGAGATAGAAAGTTACCTATTTTGATCTGGCCTCATCTTCGAGCCCGGCCGTGATTATTACGCAATGTCGCCCGGGGCCCCAGATAACCAGCAACTTGTTCGCCACTGACTCGGCCCGCCTCCGTGTTGGCCTCCGATAAGCGAGCTCTTCTTACACCCACTCGTCAGCAGCATTGCTTTCAGGGGTAAAATGATATGGGATGAGCAGACCAAGGCGGGGAGACGGATGGCTTGCAGCGGCAACGGTTCCTGCTATCAAAAACAACATGAGCCTTCCCCTCCATTCACCTTCCGGGGATACCGACTTTCATCCGCTATATTCAATTATTTCGGCAACAAATGGTCATGTATAGTATGGCCTTGGGTAGAAACTATTTGAATTAGATCTCATCCATCCTCTTTTTGTTTGACCCGACAAATCAGGGTCAGGGCGACGAAAGCTCATCCTGATAAGAGGCAATTTGGTTGTTCCCAATGATCATTCTCCACACTCAATACACTGGCAAGTGGCTGAAAGAAAACATGTCACACTAAAGCCGTTTTCACGTAAATTTGGGACCTGAGTTTCTCATTAATAATACTGAACACAGTTAAAGAAAATAATAAATTATTCAACAATATTTAGCTTGATTGTCCTAATATTGTGCCGAGGTTCAACGCTGGAGGTTCTGGGTGTGCCATGCTTTATATCAGTCGCTTGCTGGCTCGTGCCGTCCAAAGCACCGGGAGCCAGTTATCAAGACACTCGAGGTATGAGTACCTAGTGAAGTAAGTTATATGATTTCACCAGGCCAGGGTTCAGGGTTTTGCTGCTGCTCATGTGCTCTGCGCCATTGCCAGCCGACAAAGCTCACACCACCCAAATCCATTCGACCAAGTATCAGCAACGATCTCCAGGATCATCACGATACGTTTCCATATTGAAAATCACCCTTCCGATGACTCATGTTCGTTTGGGTAACCCCGTCATCAATTACCCAAAAGAATCTCCCCGTGCATTATCGGCATCCGTACTCTGTCACTTGTCGATACGACAAGGGCTCCAGAATACAGCCCCTCCCAAATAGAGGCACCTGGAAGTGGAGTGATCTCGTACTAGTCAAGCTAAAGCATCATTCGAGCAAAGATAGCACTTCTGGACTCGGCCCATACTGATACCTATGCCTATCTATGATATGACTCGGCCCAATGTCCGTTAGCGTCCCCCAGATTTAGGAGTGCATGATTCCACACCAATGTGGGGTTCCTGTGCAACGGGAACTGGGATAGAGCAAATTCTACTTATCACATTGATCTCGCTCTCCTTCTGATGAGGCCGACAGGCAGCATCTGCACCCGTTCAAGAGCAACATAGAACCCCATTGCGACAATGCAGTCTACCAACGACCAAAAGATCGAGCCACAGGCCAAAAAGGTTGACGCCGATGGTGCGAGTCTGGCCTTCGCTGAGTGCGCCAAGCCAGGGGAATCTGGCCAAGCCCAGGGCATCCACTATGAGGAAGCCAACCTGAAGCGGAATCTGGCTCAGAGGCACCTGGTAAGTCATCTTTGCCAAGGAAACATGGTGAGGGGTTGTTTGGGATGCTCTTGCTAACGCGAGATGTGCGTTGTCCCCTCGTGTAGATGATGCTAGTAATTGGTGGTGTTATTGGGCCAGGCTACTTTGTTGGCATGGGTACTGGTCTTTCAGCGGCTGGTCCAGCTGGCCTTTTACTCTGCTTTGCCATCATCGGCCTTCTCCTCTGGGGAGTGATGCAGAGTCTTGGCGAATTGGGCGCCTTTATTCCAGTGTCAGGTTTGTGCTAATCCCATTTTGACTATTATCTCTATCAATTGCTAATCAACTATTTGATGCTACTATCCAGGTTCATTTGTTCATTACACCGCACGATTCATCGACCCGGCCGCTGGCTTTGCAGTCGGTTGGAACTACTGCTTTCTCTGGGCCGGTATCATCATGGCCGAGTACAATAACCTGGGCTTAGTGCTAGGATACTGGGACACGCCGGTCCCTAGATGGGGTTGGATCCTTATGTTCTGGTATGTACTCTGATATCCACAGAATCTGGTTTGTCATTTTGGGTCTAATAATGGTGAAATAGGGCCGCTTTCATGTTGTTTCAGTTCCTCGGCATCAAGTCATTCGGTGAGGCCGAATTCTGGCTGGCGTTGATCAAGGTCCTCGCCATCGCTGCATTCTTCCTCTGCGCTATCCTAATAACCACAGGTGTCATCGGCGGCGAGAAGATAGGCTTCAAATTCTATCAAGACCCTGGTGCGTTTGCCAATGGCCCCAAAGGTGTGTTTGAGATATTCGTCTTCGCAGCTTTGCAATACAGCGGCTCCGAGATGGTTGGTCTCACGGCCGGAGAATCAGCCAATCCTTCCCGCGACGTTCCCAAGGCTGTGAAGAGCGTCATCTGGCGCATTGTCATAATCTTCTTGGGAGGCATCTTCTTCTTGACACTTACTGTGCCCTTCAACCACCCTGATTTGCTCAACCCCAAGAACAAGACGGCTAGCTCGCCATTTGTGATTGCATTCACTCGGGTCGGAGCATATGCAGGCGCTCACACCATCAATGCAATCATCGTCGTTACCATTCTGTCGGCGGTCAACAGTGCGTTGTATGTCGGTTCTCGAACACTCGTTGGTTTGGCAAGTCAAGGACAAGCACCCAAGATCTTGGCATGGACCAACTCTCGTGGTGTTCCCGTCTACTCTGTTGTCATTATGAACTTGATTGGTTTCCTTTCTCTACTCAATCTCTCCGCCGGCGCCGGCAAGTTCTATACCTGGGTGGTTACAATGACCGGCGTCGCTACATTCATCACCTGTGAGTGCTTCAACTTCCTCAGCATCCGCCTACACTTACATAAGCACCTTTTGTCTACGTCGGGTTTAATGTTGAGAAAATCAAATGCTAACATGAACTTCATAGGGGCTTGCATCTGCCTTTCTCATGTTCGCTTGCGCCAGGCATTGCACCAGCAGGGGGTTTCTGAGGACGTGCTTCCGTTCAAGGCCAATCCGTGGGTTGCATGGGTCACCTTTGGAGTCAACATATTCTTCATCTTCTTCCAGGGCTGGACGGCCTTTGCCCCTTGGAACGTAGAGGCGTTCCTGCAGAATTACATCATCGTGGCGGTGTTTATCACTTTCTATTGTTGGGTGGAAATTCTACCATAAGACTCCATGGGTCCAACCCAAGATGGCTGATCTGATTAGCAACAGGAGGGATCTGGAGCCCTTTCAACAGGCTACCCAGTAGATTGTTGGAAGAATAGGAACTGTAGTACACTGGTTGTGTATTTTATGAGGCTTACAAGCCCGACTTCAGGTCCAATCACTCTTGAACTGAAGCTAGGTCGGAAGCAGACTATTGAATATCACCTACCATTTTGCTGTTTACTGTGGTGAAATTAGACTATTCCCGTAACTTTTAAAGACCTTATTTAGCCCAATGAAGATATGAATACATGTCAAGATTATTTAAATAACCACATGTCTCACACTATACGTACTCTTCTCCTCCAGAACGCAATAAACCGTAAGGGAATGAGTCTGCGTGGTGTTAAATGGATATCCGTAATGTTTTCTGCCAAAAGGTTACTATTGGGAGAAGAATATTTAAAATGGATGGTTGTTAGATTTTGACTGCTATGCTTAGTATGAAGAAGTATAGATGAATGTGGTTCAAGCCGTATTATACCATGCATTTTTGAAGGTCTTATACAGTATGAAACTAACTAATCCTCATTTGAAAGTCAACAGTAAACTGTCCAAACTACTCTCTAATATTCTCTTCCTCTTCAGCTCTCCTATGTGTCTCTTGCTAATGATGATAATGGTGATGGTAGTGACGATGGTGATGATTCATGGTTAGGTTTCTGCTTTCCAATTTCCCAAAGTCTTTGCGGCATATCATAAGAAGGTCCAGTACCTCTATTGTCCTTCTGGTAATGATGATAATGGTGATGGTGGTGATGATGATGGTGGTGGTGGTGATGGTGATGGTGATGATACGTGACTGGGCTTGTGTTTCCCAACGTCGCAAATGCGTTGCTATAGGGATTTGTTGGCAATGATATGGAGTTACTATTTGGCACTTGATTCCGTTGGTTGGCAGTTTGTGGGTTAAATTGCGTTGACTGCTTTCTCTCAATTTCCAATTCCAGGGCGCTATAGTCGAGATTGGAATGTTGGTGAGAAGAGATGTTGCCTTCTCTACTTGCGGAGGCACCTGATTGCGGATACTGTGGTTCACATCGAGGGAGAAAAGTAGATGCAATGCCTATTGAAGTTGCCGGTGACGATGCCGCATTTGTTTTGGTGTCGAATTCGTTTGCTGTATCCCAAGCTGTGGCCGATTGGCTCTGAGTCTGGTGTGACGGATCTAGTTCAGTTGACAACATTTCTGTGATTGCATAATCCATTGTGTCGAAGGTCATATCAGCAGACGGAACCGTTTCTCCCAGGAAACTAGGTTGCGAGTCTATATCCTCGATTTGCAGAAAGGTGCCCAAGTGCGCTGCACTTGTACTTTGATGAGTATAAAGATCATGGACAGGTGTTGGCCCAGGTGTATACGCTAGACTGCTATGTGAACTTAACAACACTGAGTCATGGTCCTGTATAGTTTCTTGGGGAGTGTCGGCCGAGATACTTGGACTGCCACTGTCTTCGCCGCTGGATACCATTGCCTGCTTAGCAGATAAATGCCTCCACCGGTTTCGACAGGTCAACGGAGGTCGTCCAGGGAAAAGGGAAGAAATGGCGGACCAACGGTGGCCTAGGGACTGGACACTGTCATTTAAGACCTGGTCCTCCTCTTCTGACCAGCCCCGAAGCCGGTCTTTGGCTGACGGGGCGAGAATGTCGTTGTAACGCTTGGAGCATTGGTCATCCTTTCTCCCGGGGATTAAGAGACAAATGTCGCTCCAGGCCGGGCCCAACCTGGCAAATGCCTCTAGCAGAATACGATCCTCTTGCTGAGTCCATGGCCCCTTGCGGACAGAAGGATCCAGTGAATGAAACCAGCGCTTCCGGCATTCCTATCAAGTTTGGTTCATGTTAAGTGGAAGTGGGAAAGAGGGCGGCCGGATTGTAACGACAAGGGTAGCAGAAGGTCTCTTATCATCCTTACCTTTGCTGTGCGGTCTGGCAGTCCTCGAGCGATATCTGTCCAACGGCCCTGGCGTCCTCGAGCAGAGCCCAACTGGGAGACGAGGTGCCTCAGGGCCTGATCCTCCATGTCAGTCCATGGACGGCGGGTCTTTGGGGTGTCGGTGGGTTCGAAATCGATATCCAGGGTTCGCGGTCCCTGTGCATGGGGGAACTCCGACATGGCGGCGAGTTGCTGGCGAGGGTTGGGACGTTGGCCGAGTCAATATCTGGTTGAGGTGATTGGAGGGAGGTCAGAAGTTCAACCGGTGATGGAAGAGATGCCAACAGGACCGAGTAAACACCCCAAAAGTGCAATCCCAGCCGCTCTGTTTATTATGTACGAGCCTGACTGACCACTTGGCAACCTACCTACATGTACTTAATTCCCAGGTCCCTGCTACGTACCTTCACTCATGCCCGACTTACAACTTGGCCATCAGCTGTGCTTCGCGGTAAGTGCGTGCTTTACCGCCCGTAGGGGAAGCCAGGTATCTCATTACAGGGGCTCCGGGGCTAACAGGGGCCGCTACGCCAATCTACAGTGGGGTACATCCGCTGGCAGCCTCCAGCACGATAAGGCCCTTCCCCGGGAAATGAGCGCTATACTGACTAAATGTAGCGCTTTATACTGCCAAGCGATAGGCAATAGCCCCTCACTCCACCCACTCTTTGACTCGGCCCAGCATTTCGGGCCAACCGCGATGCCTCATTCTACATGACACAACTTGACACTGCACTAGCTTGACCTTGTGTCTGCTGTGGCTCCCTCCACCACACACATGCTCAGTGTCACTTCTCTCTGCCGGAAAACAGCACCCTGCGCCCATCCCTGCAACTGCTCCGTCCGTCGAGGGGCCATGCCAGGGCCAGGTCGAAATCTGGGGCCAGGCCGAGTCCTGGACACACGCCGATATCTTACCGACCAGAGATAGGCGAACCAGATTTGCGCCTCTGACTCGGTCTTCAGATCTTCAACGATGATAAATAGGCCCCGAACTTTGCTTGGAAGGTGATTCCGAGCCAGGAACAGAGCCGGATAGAACAGAACAACCATTGGGACAATCACTACATAAACCTCGTCTGCTTGCTTTCTCAATCTGTTTCCCCTTCCCTTTCATATCATTTCACATTCTTCCATCAATTGTTGGCGCCTCCAATAAACCGCCACAATGTCTGCAGTTGCTGCGAAGGAGTCCTACCTCCACCCTCTCGACCCCGCCACGGCCGAAGAGATTGAAAAGGCCACCGCCCTGGTTAAACAACTCTTCTTTGGCATCCCTCTCCACTTCAAGGCAGCCGGCCTGGACGAGCCCCCCAAGCGGGACCTGTCTGCCTATCTCGATGCCGAGCACGAGGGCAGACCGCTTCCTCCTCTCCCTCGCCGCGTCTTTGTCATGTGGTACATCCATCGCACTCCCAGGCTATTCGAGGGTGTAGTGGACGTGACAAACAACAAGGTTGAGCAGTATCAGGAGCTTCCCCGCGATTTCCATGGCCCTGTCGACCGTGCTGAGATGAACGAGGCCGCTGAGGTCGTCATGAAGGACCCCAACGTCCGGAAGGAAATTCAACGTCTTAAGATTGACGACACCACGATTGTCCTCGACCCCTGGGACTTTGGTGTTGATGGAACCGAGACACAAGAAAGACATACACAGGTATACCTTTTCACCTTCGAGACTTCTTTGATATTCTTTTCCAACTAGAGACTAACCCCCACACATAGGTCTTCATGTACATCCGCAACCCTGAGAACAATGATCCCGACTCTTGCCACTACTCTTTCCCTCTCGACTTCATGGTCATCGTCGACCTTGTTGCCATGAAGGTGAAGAAGATCCTCCGTCTACCTCTTGGTGCGGACCAGAAGACCACCGAGGTGTTCAGCGATGTTCCCCACCGCAGGACCAACCTCTTCGAGCCTGAATACACACACAGACTCCAGAAGAACCCTCCCCGGACCACCATGAAGCCTTACCAAGTCATCCAGCCCGAGGGCGCTTCATTCACCGTCAAGGGACACCTGGTTGAGTGGGAGAAATTCCGCTTCCGTGTTGGTTTCAACTGGCGGGAGGGTAAGTCAACCCCATCCAAAGTTGGGAGTGACAGGGCACTAACATGATACTCGCAGGCATGACCATTCACGATGTTTCCTTCATGGGCCGCAAGGCGTTCTACCGTCTTTCTCTCTCTGAGATGTTTGTCCCTTATGGCGATCCTCGTAACCCAATCTACCGCAAGGGCGCGTTTGACCTTGGCAACGTTGGTGCAGGTGTGACTGCCAACAACCTAGCTCGTAAGCTACCCCTAATCCTCAACCGATGGCTTTTTCTTCTAGACTACCTAGTTTCTAACCCATTCCCGTAATAGTTGGCTGTGACTGCCTAGGAGTCATCAAGTACCTTGGCGGCCATGTTGTCGGAAACGACGGTGCTGCCGTCGAGAAGCCCAACGCCATCTGCATCCACGAGGTGGACCAGGGCATCCAGTGGAAGCACACCAACCACCGCACCAAGAACGCCACTGTGGTGCGCAAGCGACAGCTTGTTCTGCAGCAGATCATCACCGTTGCCAACTACGAGTACATCTTTGCTTGGATCTTTGACCAGTCAGGCGAGATCACCTTTGAGACTCGCGCCACCGGCATCCTCTCCACTCAGCCAATCGATGCCGATGCCAAGGTCCCATGGGGAACTCGTGTCGGTGACGGCGTCATGGCCCCTTACCACCAGCACATCTTCAATGTCCGTATCGACCCTGCCGTAGGCGGCCCCAACAACTCCTTCGTCTACTCCGACTCGGTCCGCATGGACTGGGACGAGGAGCTCAACCCCCTCGGTACAGGATACGTCAACAAGGAGACCACCGTCCACCGCGCCAGCTCCGTCCAGGACAGCGTCGCCGACGGCCGCGTCTTCAAGATCGTGAACCCCAACATCGAGAACCCCGTCTCCAAGACCCCCATCGGCTACAAGGTCGTCCCCATCCGCTCCCAGATGCTCCTCGCCCAGCCGGGCTCCTGGCACTGGCGCCGGTCCGAGTTCGGCGAGGCCCCCATGTGGGTGACCAAGTACCAGGACCGCCAGCTCTTCCCCGCCGGCGACTACACCAACCAGTCCCTGGGCGGCACGGGGATCAAGAGCTGGACCACGCACAACCCGGACCCGGTCGTCAACGAGGACATCGTCGTCTGGCACACGTTCGGCTTCAACCACATCCCCCGCGTCGAGGACTTCCCCATCATGCCCGCCGAGATCGCGCAGATGCACCTCAAGCCGTACAACTTCTGCAACTACAACCCCACCAACGACGTGCCCCCCTCGAACCAGGAATTTAACAAGAGTGTGCTGTACGAGGATCAGCAGGCTGCTGCTTCTGCCGATCTGTGCTGCCGGAACAAGTTGTGAGGGTTAAAATGGTGGAATTTGTGTTTCTTTGGCAATAAAGTATCTCATAGAATTTGATAAAAAATTAGCTGTTTATTTTCGTTCAAGAAATGACCGAGCCTATTTGACATTGACCATTATACGCTCTGTTGCCATCGTTTCAGTAGCAAATTCTAAGAATTCAATTTACAAAGCTTCAGTTGGTCTAGCATGTTAATATTATATTCGATTAGGAATACGCTTGAGCTTTTGATAACGCCAACACGGCATTTCCATTGCACACGCAGCTATTCAATACTTGTACCTCGGCATCAACAATCAAAATAATTTCCATAAGCCAACCTGTTATTTTTTTTTGGCTCTGAATATCCTTCGTCCTCTTTCTTGCATTTGGCAGCCTGCACGGGCGTGGTAAAGGTTAAGCCGACTCCCATTACCTTCAATCGCAAGCGCTAAATGACGTTGAGGTCTCAAGAGAAGCCGGCAAATGAACGACCTGCATTTCAGTATTTTCGTCTGAAAGGTTCTACTCTTGATTTCCCACAAGCAAGCAAGCACTATCCACTGCAAACATCAATAATGATTGATTGTGAGGCAAGTGTGCGAGTACAGTGCTCAATGTAGCCAGGCGATAGAGATGATGTCCAGGTCCCTTGGTATTTTTATGCTTCATTGATTTTGAAATGCCCTGCATTCAATCATTGCTAGATGATACTTGAATGCTTAAACTAAATTTCTGCCAGGACATATGGTTCTCGGTAACAATTGATACCAAGCTCCCTCGATGGTGCGGCGACTCGATGGTACGGTGACAATACCTACCAGCAATCACAGATCTTGAGAGCCAGAAGGCCACTTGAATGTCTCAATCAAAAGGTAGCACGATTTTACATAACCGAGAATCACCAGATCGTACATAGAGTGATCACAGATGCCCCTCTCTCGGCGAATCCGCGCTCTATTAAATTCGACACCTCAGCAGGCCAGTTGCCGGGATATTCTCATTGGCGATAATTGCCCTATCTTCTCTGCCGTGGTCCGATGTCGAACGATGCGGACCAGGGTCGAGCCAAGGAACTTATCTATGCAATGAATCAATGACACATTTCGCCACTGTCTCGCGAACAGTTTGATCGCCCAGGATCTGTACGCCACAGCGGTAATACGGGCCGAATCGCTGAGACTCTGACCGGGCATCGCAATCTGCGGTGCACGCTATGTACCAGGATGATCAGGAATAGGTGAGGTGAGTGGACAGGCGACTCGCTGTTGCATGGGTCTGGTGCTGCCGCTTGTTCTCTCTCATCTCATTTCACTTCTCTCTCATCTCATTGGCCTCAAATGCCGGCAACCGGGAAAAAGAAAAGAAAGAGAATAGAGGAGCGAGCGCATTCCATGGTGGTGCGACTGCCATGCCATGTAACCCCGAGAATTGGCCCAATGTGATGGCTCATCCGAGACACGACATTCGTGCCGCCCGCCTGTTGCATCAGGGGCGGCGTTGGGCATCCATCGCTCAAGCCGTGATCCATCCGCCTTTGGCCGAAGACTCATCATTCCAAGACTGCGTTTTGTCTCCCCCGCGCGAGATGGGCGGGATGAGCGTCCAAGCAGCAACTCGGCGGGATAATAAACGCAACAGCCCAGTTGCTCTGAAAGAGACCAATCGTGGCAACATACAACAGGAGGATGACGACTCATGCTTAATCTGCCCTAGCCTCAAAGCTTATCAGCCATGCAGACTGTCCCCCATCCCTGTAGGTTCCATCCCTCGACCTGGACCGGCACTATTACACATCCCTTCCCTCGGCCCCCTCCTCAGCGTCGACTCCGCTGGAGGCTTAGGCTTCTTAGTTCGCGACAGACCAGAGGCCATGCCTCTCTGACAAGACTAGCCCCGTCTCTATCTGTCTAGGTTCCCCGCTTGCCAAGGGGTGAACCTGGCCTGGGCGTGACACATGACGGGGTGGGCACTGGGCAGCACCTCTGCCGCGAGTAAGTGCCTTTGCGTGAGGTGAGACATGGCACACCTCAGTGACGCCTCCGGATGGCCAAGACGCCGACGGACGGCGACCCCTTGTGCACTCCTCCCTGCCTACCCAGATGAGATGCATATCTTTCCTCCCAAGCCCATCCATCCTCCGTCCGTCATCACACTCCTGTTCCTCCCCCCTTGTATTTTCCAGAACGTGTTTGTGGCAATCCCAGAGATGGATTAAGCCACAATGTAAGATTCCCTGAGCACGCGGCGACTACAATTAGAGTTCTGTGCTGCGTACACTTTTATCACCACCCACCCAGAGACCAGGCTGTCAGTGTCTAAACACGGCTCTACTGGAACGCAATTTGGCTTTTAGCGACGGAAGAAAGAACACAAAGGGAAATCTTAATCAATCGCGACCATGCTGTCTCAGGCTCAGACCATGGCCAACAAGCTCTTCTCCCCCAAGACCAAGCTACGGCTTGGGGGAGCAAAGAAGCGACAACCAAGATTGGAGCCAGAGCAACAGCAGCAGCCAGTTACCATTACGATGACGGCCTCACATCCGCCTAAGGCCACGAGGTATGGGAATTTCCTCTATTGCTCGGACAAACGGGCATTGTCTAACGGGAAGGGAGTACTGATACGTGGGAACAGGCGAAACCGATGCGTGTCATTCGACATGCTGGAACAATCCCCCTCGCGACATTCACAGCGACTGGCCTCCCTCGTCCTCAACGCACAGCACCCGGCTTACAAGTCCACGCGGCACCACAGGGCCATCATGGTGGCCCTCGACGGCCACGTGCCGCTCCAGGCCGACTCGCCGCTGCACTGGCTGCTGGAGGCCATGGCCGTCGCCGGCGACCACATCATCTGCGTCCACCGGCCTCGGCGGACCAACAAGAGCGAGAACCACGTCTCGGAGACGACCAAGGACGCCAGAGCGCTGTTCGAGGCGACGGTCGGGCTCGTGGCGGCCATCTGCCCCGACGTTCCCCTCAAAGTGACGCTCGAGTACGGCGTGGGATGTGCAGCCCACAGAATGATACAGAGCTTGGTATGTTTGTCGCGCCTTACTGGGCCACACCCGTGTTGCATTGCAGGCTGCCATTCCGCAGCTCTGACATGCAGTGAATTTACCCTTGCTAACCAATCAATTTCAGATCGGGCTCTACGCTCCGTCAATGCTGGTCATGGGCCCCAGCGAGGGAGAGATCGATATGGGCATCTCCTCGCTCGTCAGCAGCCACGGCAGAGACTCCATCAAGCACAGTCTACAATACTCCCAGGTGCCCGTCATCGTGGCCCGGCCTGACGTGGAGCGGGAGGCACACAAGGAGGAGCGGAGGAACGACAGGAGCTACGCGGACATCCTGCAGGAGGCCTGCGGCGGCGTCCACGAGAGCGATTGGAAGGACACGGGAGGCCTCATCCTGTACCCCGAGGAGGTGATGCGGTCCCGCGAGAGCAGCGGGCCGGGCGACTACGACGACGACCGGCTGCGGAGGGACAGCGAGAGCTACAACGAGGAGGGGGACGACAGCGACGACGAGGGCGGGGAGTTCGAGGTCGTGTCCGGCGAGCAGCTGCTGGCCCATCTGGAGAGCGTCACCGTGCGTGGCCACTGCATCCCCGGCGGAGCAGATGCAACAGCAGCAGCCGAGAGCCTGCTCCTGTTCCCTCACCAGCAGCAGGAGGGCCCGCGCCCGGTCAGCGAGCGTGTCTAGGCGAACGCAGCAGCAGGCCTCCGGGGCCAATCAGTCGGCATTATTATGCTTAATTAATAGAACCTTGATATCTCCCATCCTGTCTGATTCGCCACCGGGGGGGGTGGTGGTCTGCGCAAAAGAGGGGAAAGTGGTGAATGATGTGATGTGATAGGCAGTGATGTGCAGGGTCGCAGTCATCCTGTGACCACCCACCAAACCCACGAGCTTGTTGCTACTGGGCACTAGAGGGGAAGCTAGAGGCCTCCTTGATGACCGAGCTGAGGCTGTGTAGCGAACAATGAATCGGCTTCCGCCCGTCCTAGTTCTCGCTGATGCCTCTCTGGACCTAGCACCAGATCTAGGGGAGGGTGCGGCTCACGCCGCGACGCGACTTAATTGCTCGCTAAGTCGAGTCCACTGCAACGCTATGATGGAATCCGTTAGCATGCCAAGCTGCCCAGATTTCTTGGCGGGGGAGTAGCTTGGGGGTCTAGACTCGGGCACTCGCAATCTGTACGCCAGCCATTGCCGCCTGTTTTGACGTAGTTTCACCTGCTCGGGGTCTCCCTCGGCCGATCCGTACTGCTGGTGAAAGTTGGCATCTTATTTCCGGCAAATCATGGCAGTGGCTGGCCAGAGCCCTCAGTCTCGTGTTGCCATGGATGTAGAGTTCAGATGGATTCGTGCACATGCAGCCTCAGAAGACCGAGGCCCTTGACAATTCACACTAGCCAGGATGCGAAATTATGTCATCGTCTGACGGATCTCGTTATCAGGGAAGCCCAGGCTTCCGCAAGTTGTGATCCTCGCCCACCCCCACCACAAGTCATCTCCAGCTGGCACTAGGTATTCCGGACCCAACATCAAGACTGAACTAAGATAAGAGGGTGCGGTCGAGACACTCTTTAATTTGCGGGGTTTAGTGCCGATTTTCATTTGTTCAGTTGACTATCTCAACCCCGGAATTTGGAGAAGGCTGGTTCACAAAGGGGCATCCTGATCAAGCAAGGTGTATCGCTGATCGACATCAAGCTATCCACAGCGCAGGGGGCCATCTTCTCTACGTGTTGCGGTGTGTATTTCGCAGCATCCTCGGGGTGGTTTTGAGAAACATGATGTCAGATGTGCCAATACATGAAAGATGTCCAAGACACCTGCGCGGAGTCTCCTGATTCTCGGTATTCTGTTGACATGCTTTACGGAAGAGGTATCTGTAATCAAGATTTACCATGGTTCCTGATTGTCTTCAATTGCTGTACTCCATAAGCCAGCCCTCGCTTCCATAACTGTTCTTCCGCGAGATCATGATGCAAAACTTATAACACGTTCTAAGAAATCACCTGACATAAGGCTATGGTTTTCCGACGAAGGCAGCACCGATGCCAATGGAGGTTCCGGCGCATTGGGGGAGGTTGCCTGGGGGCCATTGAAAAAAAGAGTGACGTTTCCAGCCGTGAGAAACTGAGATGAACTATTTCCTACCGAAGAGGCAGGGAGACGCCTGAGATCGACGAGACGAGCTCGGACACTTCATGTAGCCCTTGACCGACCGGGAGATCTAAACTAAGAAGCTCCGGAGAGCGAGCTATCCATGTGACGAACGCGAGAATCCCTCGAGTGGGCGATGGCACATCCTCAAGGAGTCGCTGGCTTGCTTGAGAGGGAGTAGACGAAGCCACAGAACCACGGACAGAGCGACTGCCGCGGGCGGAAGACACAGTGGCGTTCGTCGACCAGAAGCGACGGGCGTGGTTACAACATTAGCGGCAGTGTCTGCGACCTCGTCGCCGACCGGTTAGGAGGGAAGAGCAAGCGGCACAGGGGCGGCTGTCGAATCATCTGCCATTTTGGGGACGGTGTCACGAACTCGTGATGCAATGAAGGAGTGTCGCCGGGTTGGACTACTAAATTTCCCATCAAATCCAGTCGTGTCGAATCAGATCTGTGAGCTGAAATAAATAGAAACAAGTGAAGCCTAGAGACCTTATTCTATATGGATCTCGTCAATCAGGCAACTGGCTGTTTCACAGTTCCAACGACGCCAGAGGGGTTTAATCTCAATTGTTAGCGATGGCCGTCTATTTTGAAAATAGAAGAGCTGGTGTTTTCAGAGTTGAAACAAAAAAAAATGGACAGAAGTAGGCAAGTCATCCACCCAAGTACCAAATAAACTCAATTTCACTGTACGCTTCTTGAGCGCTTTGTACCCTGATGAGAGTTCGAGTATAAAGGAAAAACAGCAATAGAAGATGCCAGACCTGACATCTCAACACAATGAATAGAGTGCTTTGTACTTCCCTCCTTTAGGGTCGCCATTGGCGCTCCGATTCTTCCATGTGTTCTCCCGCCACGTAAATGTCGGCATGCATAGTCCAGAATTTCATTTCACAACCTGATAAATTCAAGCGAGCCCCTAGATCAGCCTCAAGAATACGAGTAACCTGATTTTGCCCTAACATTAAGCATAGCCCACTCGTAGCTCAGAAACTTGTCCATTGATGAACAGCACAACAGCGTCTGAATTTCGACAACAATGTAAGTGAGAAGGCAGTCTTATCTCAGCGGTCTTTATGTCTTTAGGATTCTGCTCGTAGAAAGTGATGTAGTCTATTAACTCTTGCAATTCCCACCCAGAAATTTTGCCACATTACTCTACAGACTCGGGCATATCCCTACTACATTTCATTTCAACTCGTCGATCAAACTACGACAAATGATATTGAATCTGGTTGATTTTTTCACGCCATTCTGTAAACCTTGTTGATAATGCCATCACATCTTTAAGAAGCAGAGTGGTCAGTGGTTTTCACTCCAAGCGATCATTGAGTCAGGGCCCTTTTGTCAGGGTGGGCAAGGGTCAATAAATTAGCTAGTTCTATTATTATCTGTAGAAAATCATTATGGTTATTACCTCTTATCATTTTTCCTGTTAAAGATCCCTCTTCTTAAAAGATACATCTTTCTATGAGTTTGCGGTAGCTATGCCAGGTTAATTGACTACGCGTAAGTATGAGCCATTTGATTAAACGAGATTATATACATATATTAAAACCTTACATGTATAACTGTTGTAGAAGGTTGTTTAATTACAGCGCGGTCAGCAGCTTACATCAATCGAACTGATGTATAAAAGGCACCGGGAAAGCCGAACAGTCACGGTGGTGTACAATTCGACCATCCCAGCACATTCAACCGACCGTACTTTCGTCCAGTACAAGTCCTGACCTCTCACGACGATCATTTCGCACAGAGGATATTGCATTTCCAGTCCAGCGTACCCGGCGCGAAAGATCGTCTCTGCGTGATCGAGGAACCCGAACTCACGAAAAACGCAGGCTAGGTGATGGTGGTAAATAAGTCCGACAGCCCAATGAAGTTCAAACGAAAGATGGAGGATTCTTAACTCGCAAGTCTAGGTTGGGTGTAGTTTCGTGTTATCCACGATCTACTATCAACAACGCTTATGGAAAAGGTTTCGTGAAATTAACATAGTAAGCTTTCTGAGGCGAAATTTCTATGAAATGGCATAGAATATAAGAATAGAGTTGATTGGTTTGGCTGGTGTGTTCTCGACGGTAACCCCGTGCCTGTTGTCGTTCCTAATCTCCCAAAGTAGTACTATTGAGAATACGAACTCAAATAAAACAAGATCTCGAATAATATAGCCTTTTACGTTCCAAATGCACCCAAGGAGCCCTGTTACTCATTTTATAAGTACAGCTGGGCAAGCCTCCTGGTTGACGATCAATCTGGGCGTTTTCATACGGTTCAGCCACAAGATATAGGGTAGGCCGATATGAGAGGGTGGCGCAGCCCAGTGGCTTGGCAGATGAAGTGCGCCACATTCCCACATGCTATGTCACTTATTACTCCATTCTGAGAGCCTTCACAAACGCCTTGAGAGCCTAGACTTTTTTTATGACGTAGGTAGTCATCATTTGCTCATTGAATTTTTTCAATTGATGTGAAACTTGAATGTTTGGTCTCGCATTGCGTACAGGCGGGAGTCTAGAATTTTAGTGACGTCGTTGTCTCGTTTGTTAAGTGTGACTCCGGAAAAGGACCATGCCTGGAGGGCAGATAACCGAAGCGCAAGGCTTCCAGCATATGCGCTTAGCTTGCAAGGCAAAGCCGCTAGAGTGTGATTGGCAATGCGTGTGCGGGCCGGTTCGACTCCTCCATCGCAACGTATTGATAGTCCATTGGCTCCGTCCGCTGCGTCTCCGGCCAAAAACGGTCATAAGAATAGAAAGATGGTGGCAGAGGAAGCTGCCGTTTACTGCCGTTTACCGCTAGAATAAATTTCAGCAGCCGGTCCCTTGTCAAACATGAGCTGCTCAGCCCTAACAGGCAACAAACCCTGCAAAGAAGACATATGTCCCATAGGGCTGCAGTCTCTATGAGATTTTAGTTGGAAATGTGTCGGTTGCCTGAAGTCCGGTGGCTGATTGTATATATTGCCCACAAATCCTCTCAGAATGGCTGTAGTTCCTTTGATATTCACTCACTTTTCTTCATTCTTCATGTCTTGTTCTTCTTGTCTTTCAAACTATGGTTGGGGTCCCCGGAAAATCAAAAGCGTGCATCAACTGTCGCAAGCGTCGATCGCAGGTGAGTGTGGTCTTCAGGTCTATTCTCTGCCAACTAGTCGGGTGCGGTACTAACGCGAGTTTCCCCTAGTGCGATATGAAACGACCCTCATGTGGTCAATGCCAAAGATCTGGTATCACATGCGCCGGCTATCAGAAAGAGTTCATCTTCCTGAACAGCACTACGCAAGAAGGCGAGGATGGCTCCATTTCGCTTGAGAAGGAGAGCTACTCAGCGGGAAACAGAACAAAGAACCCAACGACTACAATTTCCGCCGCATCGAGCGCAGCCGCTACCCGTGCAACAACTCCTGTAGTTCTCCACGAAACTCTTGAGCATAGCGCCTACGAGGATAACGTTATTGATGAATTTTGGGCGTCGTATCTCCCCAATGGGCGTGCCCCCTCAGAAGATGTTATGAAGTACTCCACGTATGGCTGGACCAGCGTGGCACAAAGTCTGCACACAGAGAACCCTATAATTCGAATTGCCCTTTTGGCCAGTGCCTTGGGAATGATAGGCCGGCAACGAAACGACCCAGAAATCTTTCAGCAGAGCCGCAAGGCGTATGGAGAGACTCTGTTAGCCGTGGAAAAGTCACTCCGCGACCCTGGCAAGCATGAAGCCCATATTGTTCTGACCGGACTCCGACTTGTTAGCTTCTACGAGGTAAGTACCTCTTCAAAATGAAGCCTATATCTAGCTTCCCTCTTGACAAGGCCACAGAACCTTGCAACTAACAAATCCCAGTTGTGGTTTGGGTCAGATGGGGATGGCTCGGCGGCTCAGTATCATAGACTGATGGCCCACACAAACGGTACCATGGCGTACTTGCTTACCAAAGGTCCCAACGCATTTTCAGAAGGCTGTGCCCATCAATTATTTTCAGAAATCCGATTGCCGCAGGTACGCCTAGTCTAACCCCGTTATTATGTTGCACTAATGCTGAACTTGCCCGGCACAGGTCGTCGCCGGATTACACGCTCACACGGCCGCTCCGCTCGCCAGGCATGAATGGAAAACGATTCCGTGGAGCGAAATACCCAAGACCCCCAGAGATACCTTGTTTGATATCATGCTAGAGCTTCCGGGCCTGTTTGAAGAAAGCGACCGCATTAAGGCTCTGGGTGATGGTGATGAACACCTGGCACATGCTCAGTCGCTACTCGTGGGAAAGTGCTGCAAGCTGCACGAAGACTTGCAAGCATGGGCAGAAAGAGATGGAAAGCAGGCTCTGGAATTAGCAGAGTCAGTGAACTGGGAAAAAGCTGATACGGCCAGTTCCACGACATCTTCAGAAGAGTTCGCTTTGGGTCACCTCCTCATGCTCCACCATGCCTCCCGAATCATCTTGTATGATGCATTGCGCTCTCAGACTGGAAGCAACGTGGAAGCTATTCCCGAGTACACTGACCCACTGCTCTATTGCCGCAAGATGGGAAATTTCATACCCTTTTTCCTAGTGCCCAATGCAGGCTCTGTCTTCCTGGACATGGCGATATTCCCCATCACAGTCGCGCTTGATTACCTGAGCAGGAACGAGGTAACTGAGCCTTCGGCTGAGAAGCTTCTCCTCCTTCGGGCTTTCCAAGGCCATGTCGGTACAGCCGCTTCGATGCTGTTAACAAGTTACCAGAGAACACGGAAGCCGGCGGGAAGACCCCTCCTAGAATAGAAGAGCGGATGCTCAAGATTGATAACATGGACACGTGGAGAAATGTTGAAGAAGGTCCACTTTTGATTTTGCGTGTCATGCTTAAGATGAAAAGTATTTATATGAGATCCATGATAATGAAGTAAAGATATAGAAGTAATTATAAAGTAATTGAGAATAATAAATAACTTGAATGGAGCAAACGAATTATCATATAGATTGAAAGCATCTCTAAGTCCGATCGGATAGACATCATTAACTGGGCCGATGTTTCCCGGTTTAGGGAACACCAGCTTGCCTATGCGGCCGGGTGTAAGTGAGAAAGGAGGAAGAAGAATATGGCAAGTGGCAGAAAATTATTTTGGGGGGCTCCTTTACTCTATATACCTCGTAAGTGATGAGCTGTGGTCACGTTGTGTTAGGATATAAAGAGGGATAGACAGTCGATTCTGTAGGCGCCATGTTGGCCGAAAGTGGAACGTCGTAAGATATCGTCAAAAGCGGTTTAAATATGGCATGTTCCTTTTACATAATGAAATGCTTATGTAAGGTACCTTGCCGAAAGCAATTCCTGCTCACGCACCAGGGCTGATGATTCCCTCCTCTTCTACCCACCAAATTCACGATGTGGTTTTAGCAAATAAAAGGCAAATGGAAGACAACCAGAACCAAACTTTAACTTAACTTGGGCGTACACACTACTCTTTATCGAAATGTCCCTGCTACGGCTGCCACCAGAGACCCTGGAGGAAATCTTCGATTATGTTGGGACTTCATTTTTTCATCAGGATCTAAGATGCCTCACAGTCTGCAAGCAGTGGTTCCAGTTCGCCCTTCCCACCTTTTTGAGGTCGATTAGGCTTTCTGAAACTTCCCTCCGAGGTCTGGTCTTCTCATGGGACAACAGCAAACCGTTCCCTCTAATTGATCATTTGCAAACCCTGGATATTGAACTCATGGGATACCAAGACCATCACCAAGATGAAGATTTGACAGCGCCAGCTGCACCGACGGCTCCCATTCGATCTGGGACTAGACACGAGTTAAGCCCTGAACATTGGACGCAGGAACTAGACGATGATCTTGCGCATCTTGCCGTAATTCTTCAGCAATGTCGGAAGCTACGCGGCCTACGGATTCACTCCGTTCACTCCCCACATCCTCCACCCCTAGAAAGCATGCAGGAATACCTTTCACTTCCCACGATAAGATCTTTTTTGTCTATGAACAATTTGACGGTTCTCATCTTGGACTTATCAGTGTCACTCACGATGCGACCGGGAGACCAAGAGAATAATATTCACATTTGTCCAGCCGTCGGTGCTCTTTTGAACACACTTGAGACTCTTCATATTCGCATGCGAAGCATATGCCCAGATGTCCTAAAGCCTCAAAATGTACGAGAGAAACTACGCTTAAGTGAGGTAATCATTAACCTGAGTTTGATTGAAAATTTGCCCTGGAGAACCACTGCAGCCCACTCTGCAAGATGCTTCTCCGGAGACGGGGGCCTTCCTCAACTGAAATCGGACCTGCTGGAGCATGTGAAAGCCCTGACGCACCAAATGGCATCTCCCAAGGCGCTAAGAATCTTGACACATTCGCTCCCGGGGTTTGAGATCCACTCGCTGGATGTTTTGTCTGGTACTACTAGCATACTAGACGAGGGCATGCAGTGGAATCAAGATGGTAGGCCTATTGAGGAGGGCTCAGAGCCAGAATCTGAGATCACAGGCTCTGGTTTCTCTTCCGATTCGGAATGATCGTGGTAGGTATTTTCACAGGGCGGAGTGCAACCAGGTTTCACAAATTAAAACAGAAAAGTGCCTCTAACTGGATCCCAAAGGACCGCAGTTCTATAAATGCTGAGAGACGTGAAGACAAAATCTATTGCCATCTATAACTGCCTCATCTGCACCGATTGATACACATGCACGTGTCTTATACTACAAGCAGTGATGAATGTAGGCCTGCTCTATTTGTCTGCAGTTGAATTTCACGACGCTGAAGGCAACCTAGGTGATCCCGGAGCCGAAGCCGACGACGAAGATGACCAGGCCGTCCAGAAACGTGGAATGGACATGGGAAATCGTCGAAAAGCTCCATACCATTCTCAAGAGGTACGGCAAAAGGCATTCAAGTTCTTCAAATGTGTGGTCTGGAGCAAGCACGTGTTTGAATTGATTGGAGAGGTAAGAAAACGCCGCTTCTGTTGCATGTTTACGCAAATGCGGAGAGAAATATTAATGATATATCCCGAGATAGTATCTTGCCTGCAAGGAGAGTGGAATTGAACCCGCACCCTGAGTAACTGGCTATTATCATATCGGAAAGAGGCCTACACATGTGCGAAGAAGCATTCCGCGTAGGTGCGCGGAAGTTTCAGCTACATGTCCGGATAGCCTTGTTCGATATCATATCCTTGGGAGATATCTTGATACACTTTGTCACATTGCAATAGGAAAGGGGTAGTATAGGCGAAAGCACATATTCTATGATTTGGTTTCGTTAACACCCGAAATCCTGCCCTTCTTATCTATCCCCAGACATCCTCAAGTAGAGTGTTAAATTTTCTCAAGTCTTTGACCCATTTCAAAGACTCCTCGCGACTGCAGCCAGTCCTGCGGCTTCTCATCTGAGCGAGGCTGTCTACAACACCCCTTGCCATAGTCGCGGAGCCGCAGATGTAGAAACGGCATCCGCTACTTTCCATGAGATCCATTACCTCGCTCTCCTGCTGCTCAAGGAGATTTTGGACGTACACCTTCTTTCCCTTGGTGTCTCGGCTAAACGCGGTATGGTAACTGAAGACATCGGAGCCAAGACTCCGCTGCCACTCGGCCCAATCATCCTTGTAGATATAGTCATTGGCAGAGTTGCGGAAACCCATGAGGAGCAGCGTCTTGCCGACTTCTTGGCCAAACTCCTTTCTCTGCACACGCTCCTGTACGAAGGCTCTAAATGGAGCCACGCCAGTACCTGCGCCAACCATGATGATCGGAGCTGAGCCCTTGAGTGGAAGCTTAAACGTGCTTTGGATTGTGTTGGAAAATACTTTGCCACCGGTCAGGACTCCACGAGGCCCATCCACGGCGTAGTTTGCAAGGCCAGATGGCGTTGCTGACCTATTAACAGATCGCTCAACAGCCCAGAGGTAGCCGGTCGCCAATCCTTCACAAGTGTTCGCAGGCGCCTTGCCAGTCTCAGGCTTGGTTACAACGACTGTGATTGAAGCCACACGTGGCTGGACCACGGCCGAGGACGAAATGGAGTAGTATCTGGGCTGCATTGGCTTCAGGCGCTCCATGAGGAATGACACAGGGATGGCCCAGGTAGATGTGGGATCCAGTTGCTTTAGGAGTCCTCCCAGGGTGAGTTGGGCCGCAAGGATGCTGCTCTTGAACTCTTCAGCATCGGTGCCGATACGATTCAGTACACCTCGAACCGCCTCGGAAGGCGCAAACTCTGCGATAGCGTGGATGAGATCCATAGACAGCTTGCCGCTGATCTCGAGATAGTTGCGGAAGAGGGCCTCCAAAGTAGTCGGCGTGGGAAAGGGAACTTTGCCGTAACCACCCTCCTGAATCTCGCTAATGGTAATTGGGACGTCCTTCTTTGATGAGAGTCCCAAGCTCTGAAGCAGCTGGCTGACCTCGTGGTCAGGGTTGGAAGCCCAGACAGCCAAATGATCACCGGTCTTGTATTTGAGTTCACGGTTGGATCCAAGATCGAGGTCGACATGGAGACACAGCCTCTCGCTGTCCTCCCATAGCTTGTACACCTTTTTTACAGTTGCAGCTGTGTTGAGGGGCGTGACGGCGCCTTGCTTTGAAGAGGTATGGGCGACGGGCTCACCAACGTGAATGCCGTCAGTCGAGAGATCAGGCTGTTCCTCGATTTTGAAAGATGGGTGGTAAACCACTTTTTGCTCTTTCCACCCCAGGATTCGCTGCAGCTCAGACTGTACTTCTTGCCTCCATAGGAGAAAGCCATTCTCAGTATCTCCCTGGGCATCGTCGCCGGCACCCAGGCTACCAAAGCGAGAAGCACCATGCTTTTGCAAAAGACCATCAATGGTGATGGCAACTTGGTTGAACAGCCGATAATTAGAATTGCCTAGACCGAACATGACATAGCGGAGCTTGGAGAAGCCTCCGGTGGATTTCTCTTTATGGAGGACCGTCCACAGACCGTTGGCACCATCAGGAGGGTCTCCATCGCCATATGTCGAGACGATGAATGCACAGAGATGATTCTCCGTGAGCTGGGAGAGGTGGGCGTGATCAAAGTCGTCTAGGTCTGCAGCAAGAGTTCGCAGACCGAAACGGTCCTGGAGACTCTTTGCAAATTGCCTCGCAATGATTTCGGCTCTACCGCTCTGGCTACCCCAGAATACGAGAAAGTCGAGTTTCTAGGCGACCATGAATTATATTAGTTTTCCATGTCAGATCAAGCATCAATAGAAGCATGCTATACCTGTTGTTCAAATACATAGGCGGCTCGCCTCTCGTCTTCCTTTTGCTGTCTTGATGCAGTGCGGTCGCCATTTGCCTGTGGTACAGAATGAAGCCAGGAATGGGGAGGGTGAATTGATTCCCGGAAGAACTGTATCCAGTAATTGTACGTGAAAAGGACGGTGACGACAAGGATAACAATGGCATCATCGAACCGTGCCTCTAGAGGGGGCAGCGAGTCGAGAGAGAAGGCAAGGGGGAGGGCAAAAGGAAAGGTGAATGTGTCAGACATGATGGGCAGATTGTGCTCACAATTGTGCTGTCTGGGTGAAATTTACCACAAGCGGCATTGTCTCATGGCCCGGGCTATTTGGTCATTTATGAAGAAACAGTCGAGAAAGACTGTGACAAAGAGAGAACAGGGGGCTTGGCAAGCCTAGACGCCACATCAGACCGGCCATCGGATCTGGTTGTAGGGGGTGGAGAATAGCAAGATTAGGATATTGCCCAAAACAGACGAGACGTTGCGTCTAATATCACTCAAGGAATTTAAAATAGCACGAGAAAGACCCCGTGCTCGAAATCTTGCAGTCCGATCCGGGGAGGCGCAGGAGAGAGGATGGGGGCGTGCGGGGAAACAAGACTTGACCACGGACCAGAATTTCCCAATCAAGACGATCGATGCTTCTACCCGGCGAGAACTTTCCCTCAAAGCCTGGAGCCCAAGCTAGGGAAAGGGTTTCGTCATTTGCTCCCCACCCCCCGATAGTTCTGTTCTGCATCACCATGAGGGATGGACCGTTGTTAGCTGGGATCGGTGGAAATTGCCCGATCCAGCCACTCCGTTCCGGCTCTCCACAACTCTGATCGAAGAGTAGGATTTGCTCGGCATGTCCATCGTGAGGGTGCTAGGCAATCTCGGGCCTAGTCTTGTCCAACATGGAGGACACCATCGCCAAGGGACGGGGAAGCATTGCCCTTCTTGAGCAAGAACGGAAATATCTCGCGACGAGCACTTTTCCTAATCAGCCCTTGCACGTAACTTCTCCCCACGATGTCGGGAGAGATTGGGTTCTCGTACATATCATGCCCTGTGGGCCATTCAATATGCTCCTGATGACATTTCTGGAGAAACCCAAGAAGGCATCATTCCACCATATGATTCAGACTTAAAAGTGGCCGTTGTTACTCTCCAGGTTCTCCAGATTCTCCAAACTAGCCCGCAAGGTTTCTCTTCCCTTTCCCCCGCTGCTTCTGCCCACGTTGGTCTTTCTCTATCATGTTGGCCTTGATTTCTGTCATTGGACTGGTGGCCCTTGGGCTCTTCTCCTTGGTACTGCAACATGTCTATGTCTACCTTCGAGATGCAAAGGGCCTTCGCAAGTTCCCTGGTATGACCCCCCTTGCACCCTTCACCAACATCCCTTATCTCCGAGTCACCGGCCAGGGCCGTAGATTTAAGGCTGTCTACGAAGCCCATCAAAGACTCGGTCCCGTTGTCCGTGTTGGACCCAACTCCGTCTCCTTCAGCGATCCTGTTGCTATCAAGGACGTCTACGGTCACGGTTCTCCCGTCACCAAAGACACCTTTTATGACAACGTCGCAGGATCCCACCGCCACCTTGCCGATGTGTCCGACAAGCATGACCACTCTCGAAAGCGCCGTGTTCTCGCTGCTGCCTATTCACAAGCAGGACTTGAGAGTTGGGAACACATCGTTTTCTCCAGGACTCGTGCACTAGTTGATCAATATGACAAGCAATGCATTAGCCCAGAATACCACCCGTCCCCTCATGCGATCCAATCCACGAGCGATCCCAATAAGACCAAGGGTTATATCAACCACCGACAGTGGATGAATATCTTTGCTGAAGACGCCATCTGCCAGATTGGAATGAGTGCAGACCTCCACATGCTGGAAAAGGGAACCGACACGGTCACTATCGAAACTCATAATGGGAAAAAGATTACAATCGGGTACCGTGCATCCCTTTGGGGAGGACACAAGATTCAAAGAAACTTCGCCTGGTCCCATGACTGGTATAAGAGGATGGCCAAGTTGACCTCCTGGCACCCTGGTTGGGCACACAACAAGAACTATGATGCCATGGTCTATTATTTCACCCGTAAACGTCTCGAGAGATACAACAAGGGTGAGAAGCTCGATGACTTCTTCACCTATTTATTCGAGGACAAGTACGGAAACCCTAACATGTACCCCATGGGCGAGCTAGCTGCCGAGGCTAGCATCATGATGAACGCTGGTTCTGATACCACCGCCATTGCCCTCACCAATGTCCTCTACTGGCTTCTCAAGAACCCAGATGCCCTCGCAAAACTCCGCGAGGAGCTTGACGCAGTTCTTGACCCCGATGAGCCCGTTGCCCCATTCGACCGTGTCAAGCATCTTCCCTACCTTCGCGCCTGTCTCGACGAGAGCATGCGCCTCACTCCCCCCAACACAATGAACATTCCTCGCATCACACCTCCCCAAGGTCTATCAGTAATGGGACATTGGATTCCAGGCAGGACTACCGTCCACTGCTCCACCTACACCATCCATCGCAACCCCAAGATCTTTATCGAGCCTCTGGCCTACAAGCCTGAGCGCTGGCTAGGTGACGAGGGCAAGGATCTCCAACAGCACTTCTTGACCTTTAGCGCAGGCGCAAGAGGCTGCATTGGACGAAACATTACCTACATGGAGCAAACTATTGTGTTGGCCAGTCTGATCTTCCGATTTAACTTTTCGCTAATGTCTGATGATTGGGTCCTCGAGCAGGAGGAGAGCTTTACTTGCTCCCCCAGCGACTTCCCAATCAGAGTACGCAGGAGGGATTTTGAGAATCTCAAGGCTTAAAAGATTGATGATATGGTAAATAATGAAGGGTGTTCGAATGGTATTATATCTGGGAAGGTAGTTACAGAACTATTATGATTAAATGTTTCTTCAGTACACCTGTGAAAATTTTTTGATGTGCCATAAGCTCGTTCATCCATACTGTTTCATAAATGCCATATCATATGCCGTTCGAACGAGAGGGAACTGGAAGAAACGCTAGTTCACAGCACGTTTTGGCGTGGCAAGCTGTTCGCAATACGCAATCAAACATCGCTATTGCTACTGTTTTTCTTTCTCATTTCATGGCTTGGCGGATAATAAAAAGTAACCTGTGTCAGTAGCAATCCAGGGGATCCAATCTGATCTGAGAGATCGACTTGGCTACTTCCGCTCCATGATAGCTCACAACAAGTTCCCACCCCCGGATATAATGAAACATGGATCGATCATATTAGCAAAACCTCAATACTTCAAAACCGGTTACCATAGAAAAACCAATAATCTATTGATTGGAACGAAACGAAACACTCACTCAGCTTCGGTAACTTCCAAATTGGTAACCCACCGAACCGGCAACGGTTGCCGAGCTGTATTTGCCACACTTATCAAGAAATTGTTCAGCAACGTCACTTCGCTTATGTTCAGATATATTAAAATGTTCAGGGATAAATTGTTTCTCAGAGAGTTTCGGTCAACAGACTGCATCCTTCGCAAGTTACCTCCTGCTGTATAAGAACAACCATGGCGCACTCACGCTGCATCCAACATTCTCTTCAGCTTCCAACCATTTGCCCTCACGCCCCAGCCCAGAAAATCAAACCAAACTCGTTTCCATCTCCTGTCTCAAGATGAAGCCCGCAGTCATTCTCTCCCTCTTCGCCACTGCCGCCCTAGCTGCGGACGAGGCCTGCTCAAGGACGAACAAGGAGAACAACAACGTGTACTACTACTTTTACAAGGCCACCCCGGGCCAGCCCACAGGCTACCAGTGGTGCTACGGCTTCTACGACAAGCTTGCGGCCTATTGTACCATTTCGTCGAAGGGCTGCTCAACCTTTGCCGGCACGGTGCCGTCTACCAGTCACTCGAGCTGGACATTCCTCGTGCCCAACACGTGCACGAATGGGAATGTGGAGACTGCATGGCAGGAGTTCACATCGGGCGAGTTTGGCACCTCCAACTGCGCTTAGGCGATGTGGGATTTTCCTCCCCGGGATTTTTATAGAAACATGAAACTCTTTAGCAGGAATTAAAATCTCTTTATTGTGCTATACTGAAGTGCCACATGCTATAGAAGTGACGTTGCGTAACTCTGTGATTTGAAAAGAGACAGAGCATTGTGTGGTCTGGTATTTTTAGTTGATTGATAAGATTTTTTTTTTTTTTTTTTTTTTTTTTTTTTTTTTTTTTTTCGAGGCTTGGCTTCCATCCTCAAATCAAGAAATGCCGGGTCTCATGTAAATAATTTATCTTAAGACCTAGGAGTCGGTTGACGTCTTTCCTCTTGTTACCAGCACAGGAGTGGCCAATAGAACAGCCACAAATGCACACATGTTGATGTATGAGTTGTTTCGTTCGCTTAGAAGAAAACCGTGACCAGCAACTCTCGATACTATCATATTTGATACTTACTCAGGCCAATTGAACAGTCATCTTCGATATCACTTTGAAATTGTCTGATAATAACTAAATGATGGTAATTGGAACTCATCGTGTTGAGGGTTGAGATATAGGGTAGGTAAGCATTAATTACCCGAACTATTTCCGCCAGACCAGCGGTCAACAATCAGGCGAGAAGCCACTTTCAGGGATCAGATCGACCAATGCGCCGCCGTTTTATTATTAATATCTGGCCTAGCGCGGTTCGAGATGCCGGGAAAATGTAAATCCTGGCGTCATCTTGCCAATTGAACTGAATTGGCCACCAATTGCTGATATTCCTCAACAGGGATCAAACACGTACAGACACGACTCATTATCAGATCATTCCACCAATCCCTCGGCATACGGAACGGCACGCCATCAACATGTCCCTCTCAGCGTATGTCGCCGCGTTCAAGAACACGCCGCACGCGCTGTACCCGCTCGGCGCAGGGCTCCTAATTACCTCGTCCATGCTCTTCGGCAACATTGGCCTCTCGCTGGCCGGCCCGCTGCCAATCATCACGGAGAAGCTCGGAGACAGCACGCTGGGCACCAAGCAGAAGATCCGAGTCTGGCGCCTCTTCTACGACGCCGCCACTGTAAGTGCCATCAACCCCCTTCCTTTCAATTGGTTTCTGGGTGGGCTGAGCTCACCATCTTACCTACCGCACAGCCTTTCATCGTGGGAGGAACCCTGGCGACCGTGGCTCTGCACGGGGGCGCGGTATATCTAACCAAGAATGTCACTGTCAAGCAATTGGCCACCGCGTCTGCTGTGCTGAGTGGCATCGTGTTGCCTTTCACTCTGGCATTCATTATGCCAATCAACAAGGCCCTGATCTACCTCGATGAGAAGGATATTTCCAAGTCCGAGTCAAGGCAGGCCAGGGCGCTTATCAAGCAGTGGGATGTTCTACACAAGGCCCGCTTCATCTTTTACGGCACAGGCTGGCTGCTCAGCCTCGCCGCAATTGGCGTTGGCCTGCACAAGAGAGTTGATGCCAAAGGCCTGGTCACGGGCAGTTGGTTTGCCTAAGAGGAGGCTACCCTGATGATTTAGACGGGCAGCGCCGTTGTTGAACAGCGCCGAGAAAGATCCAATGCTGCGTAGCTGTGATCTTGCCCAATTGCGGATGAGAAAATTTGGTTGTATAGAGTTTGTTGGGCCATTGAACCGGGGAGGTTCATTCACACAGAAGTACTACCAATAGTATAGTGAATCATATGGTTCTTGTTCTTTTCAAATTCCCACGCGTCAATCGTCGATATGGGGCATTGGATCAATTGATGAACCAGTCAAGCAATTGAACAGAGGAGAGAGTGGTAGGAATTGCGAAGCCAAGGGATCTTTAATGATGTCATAGAGGTGATCCATTCAAAGAGTCATGGTCGTATTCTAGACAATGGCAAGGGTAAGGCCACTAACTCACTTTGATAACCTCCAAGCTAAGATATCGTGTGGACCCGGCGTTACTCGTAACATGGTACTAAAATACGGAAAATACAACTCCCAAGGCCGTGACGGGAACAAAACCTCCCTGCTGATGCCACTGCGTCTGTGGGTTGTGTGAGGTGGATGGAGCTTTGATGAAGTAGATTTATGCCTACGGAGGAAGAATGAGACTAGCAAACTGACCAAAACCAATACGAGCACTATTATTCTCAAATGATGGAATGTCACCAGTAACCGGAGACTACGTATGGTCAGTTCAGAGGCGCCTCGACTCGCATTGGGAACACCTCACTCCCGAGCCTACGATCTTTCACTTTTGCCAATCAATTTTTTTCTTTTCGTTCTCAGCAGTTTTCATATAATATATTGCAGCAGTTTGGACAATTTTATTCTTCCTTCTAATCGCTTGTTTGGCTACCTTTGACTGGTCGACCTGAGTCGAGACAGCAATCTTAGAAATCTCCATAGCCTCTGTTCCACCTCCGAATCAACAACGCGAGCCATACTCTGGCAACTTCCGACATGACTGGAAATAAATTCAGGCCGGCAGAGGGGATTATAGCCTTTCCTCTGATAACAAATCTCCACCCTTCGTCCTCCCCGTCATTGCCTGAAACACCATCCCCACTTGCACCACCAGTGTTTCCGGTGTTCCTCTCAACTTCCAATCCTGGTCGACGGGGCATAATTTCACTCCGGAAAAAGGACTGAAACTGGCTAGATGCCAGAGCCCCTCTCCAATGGGCGCTTCTGGATTACGTCTCTCTGTGCCGGGTCCGTCAAGAGCATGTCGCCTGGGTGCCGCAGATTTCAAGATTTGATCATGCTTGCGCAACCCATGCTTTATTCCCTTGCAACGGATCCGCTCTTCCCAAGCTCCTTTCCAGTGGGGTGTTTTGCATTTCGAATGAGTCTCGGCCATGTTAAGTGAAACGGTCGGTAAGCGAGCCTTCTTATAAGGACTTCAATGCCTCATCCTCTGCCTCGGAATCTGCTCACCATCTTTCCTTGGATTTGGTAGGGAATTTTTTGGAGGTTTCCAACTGTTTCATTCTTTCTTTTCGCGACAGGTTTCGCAGTTACTTTGTGGCCAACACTGTGTGTTGCTCATCAACTACATTCTTTCACATATCTTGAAGATATTACACTCTCTTGTTTGGAACCTACCACACACTCTCTGGAATACTCTCCTCTTTCATCATGAAAGCGTCAACATTTTTTTCGGGCTTGATTGCCCTCATAGCCCCAGCTATGGCACAGAGCACCACATCCTACGTCGATCCTGTAACGTCGATCACTTTCCAACAGTTCAGCGACTCCAAAACTGGCTACACATTTGGAATTGCCCTTCCTAAAAATCCCACTACGGATTTCATCGGTCAAATTACCGCACCCATTACGGAAGGATATGCCGCTGTGTCAATGAGCTCGTCCATGGCCAACTCGTATCTGGTCGTGGCTTTCCCATCTGGCGAGTCTGTTGCTGCTTCCATCCGGCTGGCCACTGGTTACACCAACCCAAGTGTCATCACTGATAGCGGCATCCAACTAAAGGAGATCCCCTCGGGAACCTTTGTCAATGCAACCAGCTTCACCTACACCTTCCTCTGCGAGGGTTGCATTTCTGGCGACAAGGCTTTCGACCCAACTACTGAGACTGGTGTCATGGGCTGGGCACTCAGCACCACCGCACTCACCGATACTTCATCCGCCTCCGCGACACTGAACTATCACGGCGCCGGATTCGGCGGCTTCGGCGTTAAGCTGACCGAGGCTCAGTCCGCAGACTACGATACCTGGGCGAAGCTGGCGACCGGCACGACCCCCACGAACCCCGGTGGTGACACCCCGACAAACCCAGGCAACTTCACCACAGTCATCTCCAACGTTACATACGATTACATTGTCTCCGGTGCAGGCGCCGCTGGAATCATCGCCGCCGAGCGTCTAGCCGAGTCGGGTGCCTCTGTCCTTCTGTTGGAAAGAGGTAAGGAGTCACTGTACTCGAGCGGTGGACGCTCCGTGATGGACTGGAACGACACTGCCACGCAGTACGACGTCCCCTCGATGGCATACTACCTCAGCACGGCCGCCGACACGACTGAGTACTGCACGGACACGGCAAGCCAGGCGGGATGTATCCTTGGCGGAGGCACCGTCGTCAACGCCATGATGTTCGTCCGTCCCAGAGCTGCCGACTTCGACGACAAGTGGCCGTCAGGGTGGAAATGGGCCGACGGCGTTGAGACTGCAGCTGGGAGACTGTATGAGCGCACACCGGGCACGATCATGGCAAGCAAGGACGGTCAGAGATACGACCAGGGCGCTTGGGACGTGCTCTCCAAGTGGCTTTCGGGCATCGGCTTCTCAGAGGTGAATACCCTTGAGGAACCGGAGAAGAAGCATGCCGTCTACAGCAGGCCCCCGTGGATGATCAACAACGGTCTCCGTGCCGGCCCCGTTCGTGACTATCTGCCCCTGGCAAAGGCTCTGCCGAACTTCACGCTGCAGCTGAACAGCAAGATGCTCCGCGTTATTCGCAACGGGACTGCCGCTACTGGTGTCGAGGTCGAGACCAGCAGCACAACCCGACAGATCATCAACCTCAAGACTGGAGGTGCCGTCGTGCTTGCATCCGGCTCGTTGTCCACGCCGCGCATTCTGTTCAACAGTGGTATTGGCCCGGAGGCGCAGATTCGAACCGTGTCCAACGGCACAACCAAGATCACCTTGCCAGCCCAGGCAGACTGGATCGAGCTGCCCGTCGGCCAGAACCTGCAGGACCACCCCATCTACACCGTCTCCTTCAAGACGAAGCAGCCCCTGCAGGCTCTCAACTCTTCCTCTTTTACCAGCCCTAGCCAGACCGATATTGATCTATTCGCTCAGGGCTCCGGTCTCCTCGCCCAATCCGGCCAACGCCTCAACTTCTGGACCACGGTCGAGGGCTCAGACGGCATCACGCGCTCTATTCAGGGAACGTGCAACTCGCCTTCCAGCGACACTGTCCGTATGAAGATCTACCTGACCCACGGCCTCACCTCCACAGGTAGCCTGGCCATCACCAGCTCCGGCGCCACCACATTCTCCAAGGACCCGTACCTCAACACGGCGGAGGACCGCGAGGCCGTGCTGGGGTTCATGCAGCAGCTGATCGACTACTCCGGCAAGGCCAACAGCACCATCAGCCTCGCCTCCAACGTTACTGCCGAGAGCCTGATCAAGGATCTGTCTCCGGGAGCCCACTTCATTGGGACTGCCCGGATGGGAAGCTCCAACGACGGTGAGAGCGTGGTGGACACCAACACCAAGGTCTGGGGCATGGACAACCTGTTTGTTGTGGACGCCAGCATGCATCCCGACCTGCCGACCGGTAACACTCAAGCCATCGTCATGGTTGCTGCCGAGTATGCTGTCGAGAAGATCCTCGCGAGGGGGAATGGCACTGGAGATGGCACGGGCAATGGTAATGGAAGTACCCCAACCCCAACCCCCGTCACAACGACGGCTTCGGCTACCACACCGACTGCGACCGCTACTGGAACCGCGCGTCCTTGCAAGAGCAAGAGGCGGGCGAAGAAGAGGGCCCTGAAATGGAGCGATTTATAGATGGGCTGAACATCTGATGAGACCCTTTGTCGAAAGGGTGATGAAAAATAGCTGCTTTTGTTGAAGCACGCATGATTGGTCTGTAAGGGCAGCTAGGTTGGTACCTGTCCTGGAAAGGGAGTCATAAGACTAGAGGAATAAATACTGCATTCAAGCCAAATGAGTGATCGTTTTGTGAAACAACGTGGAAAAAAGTGTGCCTTGCGAATACGAGTAGACCATGATAACAGTCATGGATCTGACGGGCAGATATGGGCAGATATTCAAGTTAAGAGCATCTGCGACCTTACCTCCCTCAATTCAGGGGTATACTCGGGCATTTCCCCACGTTTATGATTAATTAATCTCCGTTGGCCAGTCCTGGGGAATATTTTAATCGCCGGTGCGATATCCGGGTTTTAGATTTGAACAACGTGTGGCTCCTTCGTGGAAACTTCCCCGCTCGAATGCAATGTCATGTTGAAGGCGGCGCTTGTTTGGCTCGGCTCAATGGATGTGGGTTCTCGATAATTGTTGGGCTCTTCTCCGCATGTTGAGGTCTCTTTTCCCCCGCCGCCCGAGACAGCGATCAGCAGCAAATGAGAGAACGGGAACGAAGCAGTTTTGTCAGACACGGTGGGCTCGCCCCCTCTTTTGCTGTGCGATGGGAGCGACGTCATCACCAGTCACAGGACGAGTATAAATAGTCCTTCTCGCGCAAGAGAACCCTGCCATCGCACCATCAAGACCATCAAGGTTCCCAGACCACTGTTATCCGCCTTCTCCCACCAATAGACTCAGCAACTTATCGCGTCATGGCGGCAACCAAGGGCAGCTGCATGTGTGGGGAGATCGAGTACCAGTTCACCGGTAAGCGCTGCCGCCAACGATCTGCTTGCTGGCATGGACGGGAATTAACTGTACGGGGAATTCAGGGGAGCCCGCTGTCACAGCTCTGTGCCACTGTATTGACTGCCAAAAGGTGAGCGTCTATTCTATGTCTGCTCCTCTCCGATTTCGCTAACAGAAGTGCTTCTTCTATCTAGTGGACCGGAGGCGCCTTCACTTCCAACGCTGTTGTCCCCCGCACAGCTTTCTCGGTGACCAAGGGTACGTTCTTACGGGCCTGTGTCTTCCACCATCTTCGTTACAGCGCTCGTTGAACCCCCCTACGAGCTCCAGAAATACGATCTAGACGCTGACAGATGGCCCATCTTGCGATATAGGCACGCCCAAGTCTTTCGACGCCATCGGAGCCTCAGGCAAGGTGAACAAGCACTTTTTTTGCTCCAACTGTGGCTCCAGCCTGTACACCGAGCTCGAGGTCATGCCAGACATGACCTGCGTCAAGGCGGGCTCTTTGAATGGAGGTGCAGCCAGTCTCGGTAACAAGATTGGTGTTGAATTCTACACCAAGGACCGGGTGGGATACCTAGGCAGCTGTGACGGAGCCAAGCAAGAACCCGTCTTTGGTTAGTTTGGCGTAGACAGCTACACAAGGTACACTTGATGTACAAGAAATACAATACAACGATTGAGAATAATGAAGAGACTGCGGTGATTCTGATTTTCTTGTGAGATGACCTCTATGAGAAGTCAGGATGTGAGTGCACCACCCTTTGTAGCTACTTGACTACTTCCTCATGAGAGTTTTCCCTAGGATACTATGACAGCTCATACGGAGGACTGGGCCAGTGGCGTTCACTGTTACGCAGTAGGAGCATGTAAGAATATATCATGGATGTTGTCGTTGCAGTGATTCAATCCATGTCAATCGACCTCAAAGGTTCCTATGAAAAGTTAGGATTTATCATCCCAGGCACCTATTGCTGATATTTTAATTATTAGATAAAGCTAAAAACGCCTAAAACGTGATTAAGACCCTCTTTTTGGGGACTTTCTCTCATCTTTTAAGTGTTATATCGCTCCTTGGCATGGAAAGTCAAACGCCAAGCTCGCCCTCTTCACAAAGGCCAGCGTTCGATATTTGTTCTGGAATCTGGTCATCCTTGCCAAGACTGCAGCTTCTCGGTCAATTGGAAGCAGCGAAATGCTAGGAGGTGGTCTCTCCGGTAGCACTTTTGATCATAGACGGCTCTTTGATGGTGCTGGATATGGTACAGCATTGGCCTCTCAACTCTCAAATTGCCCCTTAATTTAGAAGCGCTTCTTTGCTGTATTTGATTCCGAAAGGTCCTGAGCCATAACTCGAATGTGTAAAAAAGGAATAGACGTTGGCATTTTCCAAGAGCACCTAGTATGTATGTATGACGATGCGAAAAGCTTGATTTCTAGTATGGACTGGAAGTAGCTCTCTCCCATTCAAGTCAAAAGAATGGTTTCCTCGATAACCTAACAGCCTCCCTCGAAGTGATTGCCAGGACGTTGTATTGCGAAATTGATTTTACGCTCCAAGTCTAACCCGCCGTTGCGAAAGACTTGGCGCGGAGAGTTCCTGGCTAAGCTCATTGTGTTCCTTTAATTCCTTGAACCTTTTGGCTGGAACTTATGGCCGGCTACGCCGACCGCAATATGTCCGAGACTAGGCCGGCGGCCCGGATGTCGGGTTCACCGTTGATGCCTGGGATCTTTTGGACGCTGGTGTTAGTTGGAATGCTAGACGCCATGTTTCGTAACACGACACGTTGTTTGGCTGGCCATAACTGGAAAGCGTATTTTACAAAACCAGCCAATGAAGTCGAGGTCAAGCTCTTGTGTGTAAAGGCAGCTCTCGATTGTCTATATATTCATTGTTTTTTGCTTTACCAAGTTTACCTGTTTTCTCTATCAAGTTCTCCATCGATCAAAATACAAGCCAATCCACTCCTCCAAAATGCAACTCATTTCATCCACTTCTAAGGCTTTAGTGCTCGCACTTACTTGCGTGGGTATTGCCTCCGCAAAAGTCTACAACTGCCCTGGTGCTCTCAATGTCAATGTGGTTGACGACAAGACTCTCGGCTATTGCTGCATCGGCTCTGACGATGACTCATGCGACATGACCATTCCAGTCACTGCCACCAACTATGATGCTCTTGTTTCGAGCGCCAGCTCCAAGAATCTGAATAATATCAACACCAGCAACGGGGGTAATGGGGGCAACGGGGGCAGCGGTATCAGCATCAGTAACGGGGGTAGTGGCGGTAGCGGCGGCGCGCCTGGAGCTCCTGGAGCTCCAGGATCAACTGACGCAACTACCACAAGCAAATCGAGCCAGACCACTACTACTATCTCGTCTCAGAAGACTAATCCCGCCAGCTCATCAGGTTCCTCCGCCATGCCCGCCGCCGCTTCAACGGCCGCACATACAACTATCACTTCAGCGGCCGGATCTACTATAACTGTCACTTCTTCGACTAAGACTGGAGGTGCCGGAAAAATGGACATGGGATATGCCATGGGTGGTCTTGCTCTTCTGGCTGGAGCTGCACTCCTGTAATGTCCGTAATGGGTAGGCCTCTGGTTCCCACATATGTTCTTATGTTAGAGTAGCGTTCGTTTCCTCTATTTGTTTCTTTTTCATTTCCTACATTATTTCTTGTTCATTTCTTGAATTATTACTTGTTTGTTTCCTATATTTATTGCTTGTTCACTTCCTGAATTTGTTCCTTATTTATGTCCTATATTTGGTTATTGTTTATTCCCTATATTTGCTATTATTCGTTTCCAGCATTCGTTCTGTCATCACCAGAAATATTTCACCTTAGCCTACCATCAAGATTAACACATAGAAATGAAACAATTTGCATAATGTGTGCCTTGAAGAAATCCTTCACTACACTCAGAGAAACCACATTTATCTTCCACGGGCAGTGGTGAATTCGCTTATTCATTCTTTCGATGAATGTAACATAATTCATGAAACGATCAGTGCCCCGCTTATATTGAAGGATTTAGATTGACGTCACAAAACATCCCTTCGCCTCAGCTAAATTTCTTACGGCCGAGAGCACGACCGTCTATGTCCGCTTCTTCCAGCTCCAACACGCCACCCATGGAGAGACCTCGCCGCCGCCGAAGACCAGCATTCTCGTGCCTGGAATGCAGGCGACGGAAGATCAAGTGCGATCGGAAAGATCCGTGCTCACATTGCGTCTCCGTTGCGATCCAGTGCGTGCACAAGGTCTTTCGAGATGTGCCTGAGACCTCTTCCGCCCAAAGCAGTACGCAGGGCCGAACAGCAGCCTCATCACCAGTTAGTACCGCATCCTCCCGTGCCCAGAGCGGGCAATCTCGCACAAATGGAATCGTAAACGAAAAGGGCGGCGCGGCGTCTAGGCCTCTCGTCGCCAGAGCGGATATATCACAGTCCACACCAGCACCAACACTCGCGGGGCAAATTGAAGCCACCACAGCTCAGATACCATCAGCCACCCGTGATGAAGATGAGCAGCCAAGTGTACGTGCTCTCTTACGACGGATACAGCATCTCGAGAATTCTCTGGCAACGGGACCTCTACCTGTGCACTCGGAGCCTGGAGGGGGATTGACTGATCGCCAACCGGTGCATCATGATACACGGGTCAGCCTCTACAAGACAAGAATCTCAAAATGGAGTTATTGGGTAGGCATGGTCGATGAGGTATGGCCTACAGTTACGTCCTTCTACTACTTTGCACTGACTTCTATTCTAGTTTGACCTTATCAAGACTTGCTATTCTGCGGCTGGCGGCGGCCTCCTTGCTAGCTACGGCGACACAGACGATGACGATAAGCCAAACTCCTTCCACGGGCCTGAGATTGAATCTCTGCTTGAAGAGATCGGGGAACTCCTCGGAAAGTGCAAAGTCTTCGCAAAAAGTCTCAAGACGGGGCGACCAAGCAAGTCTCTCGGCGGAGCTGGCTTTGATCTTCGACCCCCCTCCCGCGAGCTGGCAGACGCCATGGTCGATCTCTACTGTACCTCTTTCGAGTCGCTGTATCGGATAATCCACGTACCTTCGTTCCGTGCCGAGTACCAGCGATACTGGGACAACCCAGAGAGTGCCACGGCCAGTCAGTGTCTCAAGATCCTTCTGGTAATTAGCATAGGGTCAAGTCTTCACGACCATGGGAAGGATCTACGACAGAAGGTACACCAATGGGTTCATGCCTCGCAGGCATGGCTGTCCGGCCCGCTGGAAAAAAATCGCCTGGACGTTGGGGGGCTCCAGGTCTATTGCTTGGTGATCCTTGCACGACAGATCTTCTCGATTGGCGGCGACCTAGTTTGGGTGTCGATGGGGTCGGTAATTCGTACGGCCATGCAGATCGGGCTTCATCACGATCCCAAACACCTCCCGGCCATGTCGGTACTACAGGCTGAGCTTCGAAGGCGGTTGTGGGCTACTGTGCTCGAGATGGCAATACAGTCGTCCCTAGACTCAGCGATGCCGCCCATAATCTCCTTGGACCATTTTGATACCGAAGCACCTTCCAACTACAACGACGATGAGATTGATGAGTCGACTGTCGAGCTGGTACCCCACCCGAGAAGCACTTACACTGCTTCCTCAATACAGCTTATCCTCCTCGACTCGATACCGACACGCCTCCGCATTCTTCAGCTACTCGGCGGCCTTAAACCAGAACTATCTTACCAGGATGTGCTTTCACTGAGTTCGGAAGTGACTGAATCATACTGCGCATACAGGAAATTCGGCCAAGAGAACATCAACTCTGGCATGACCCCATTCCACAGGAATCTGCTCGATTACTTCGTACGCCGATTTCTAATCCCCCTGCACTGTTTATTTGCCAGCAAGGCGCAGGCAAACCCATTGTTCTACTATTCTCTCAAAGTTAATCTAGACGTCGCCATGGCCATCGTCTCCCCCGAACCAGACGACGGCTTCTCACGAATCATGGGTACCGGAGGGGGACTATTCCGCGAAGGTTTCTGGTACGCAACATCCATCATCGGCCGCGAGATCCTTTCGCAGGTCTCAGCGCAGCATCGAGAGGGGACGCTCCATCGCAACTCCCAGCACCGGGAGCTTCTCAAGCAAGCCGTGAGGGATATGATCTCTCTGGCGGAGGCGAGGATGCACCAAGGCGATACCAATGTGAAGATCCACATGTTTCTGAGTATGATACTGGCACAAACCGAAGCTACGGAAGAAGGCGTGTCGATTGAGCTCAGGGTTGCGCAAGGGGCGAGGGATAGTCTTCGGTTGTGTCATGATCTGCTGCAGACACAAGCCGGCGCTGAGCCCGTGCCGTATTACGACGACGCGGGCGTTACGTCCTCGACTTTGGATGGGGTGCCGGGAAACTCGCTTTGGGACTTTGACCTGGAATTCTTTCTGCCTGATCTGGGGCTCTCGTAGCCAGTTAGCCATTCGGATATGCTATTGTTATCCCACGGTTGACTAACAGTAGGCTTAAGGGGGAACATTGGTAGTATACAGCTAGATCGAGTAATATAAGTCGAAATTATCCGTAGAACTTAAATCAGACTAAAGGACTACCATTTGCGATTTTCATATATGTTCTTCTCGTCTGTTCCCCCCCCCCCCCTTGAGTGCATATGAGATTGGTTAGGTCCGTTATTACGATGTGGGATTGTTACACCCGCTCTGCTTACACCCGCTTAAAGACCCCTGAGGCTTACGTCCGTCGCTAGGTCCGCGGCCACTTACGTCCGTCGGCGAGTGTATAAAGAGTACCACACCAGCAAGGCATCTCGTGATTGATGATATGAAGATTCAAAGAAGGCATTTTTCAAATGAGAAAAACTTAGCTTCCTGTCCAACGCTCCCTTCTCTTCCGCAATGCCTCTAAAAATTCTCATCAACGGTGCTGGCATCGCCGGCACAGCCCTCGCCAACTTCCTCGTGCGGTCCAAACAAGGTCACGACATCACTATAGTCGAGAGAGCAGCCAAGTTCCGTACCGGCGGAACCCAGCTTGATTTGAAGTCTCATGGTGCCCCGCTGATGAAGAGGCTGGGATTGATCGATGCGGTCCGAGCAAGGAGCATACACGAGACAGCTCTCACCTTCGTTGACACGAAAGGCAGAGAGTGGGCGAGATTCAGCGTCAACAAAACCGGTAAACGATACGCAGGAGTGACGAGCGAATATGAGATCATGAGGGCGGACCTCGTAGCGGTGTTGTATGAAGGGAGCAAAGCGATCGCTGCAAAAGTTTCGGGACAAGAGTCACAGAGGCTGCGGTACCTTTTCGGAAAGCATGCCACTGAACTTACGCAGCTTGACTCCAGGGTCAACGTCGTATTCTCAGACGGCTCTTCAGACGAGTACGATCTTGTTGTCGGTGCGGATGGCCAGAACTCCATGACGCGGCGTATGCTATGGGAGCCCAAGAATGACGACGATTCCACGCTCAAGTATACGGGCTACTCGGTTGCGTACTTCCATATGCCAAAATCAGAGGAAGAGCACGACAGTACCCTGTTCAAAAACTGTCTTCTACCAGGGCTCAAGGTGCTGTCGCTTCGCTGCGCGCACAAAGACTTTACACAAGCCATGCTTACGATATCCACTACAGAGGAATTAAAGGAGGTTGAACAACAGCCGGTTGAGAAACAGAAAGACCTGTGGGAGACGTCATACAAGGACTTCGGATGGGAAAGCAAACGAGTGCTTGCCGAGATGCGGACTACTGATGACTTCTACACGACCTCGGTTGCTCAGGTCAAAATGGATACATGGTCCAAAGGGCGAGTTGTTCTGGTGGGTGATGCTGGATACTGCCCGAGTCTCTTAACTGGGCTTGGAACCACGGCATCGCTCGTCGGAGCATACGTGCTTGCGGGAGAACTCGCGAAACATGGAGACAACGTCGGCGAAGCGCTAGAATCCTATGAAACGGTGCTACGACCTTACGTGGAAAAGATTCAGCAACTTCCTCCCATGAATCTCGCCATCTTTCGATCCAAGATCGGGTTAAATGTGTCTTACTTTGCTCTGGCCATTTTGTCGAAGCTGAAGATAGATGGCTTAGTGAATGCGCTGATGAAGGATGAGAAGGATACCTGGCAGCTCCCACAGTATCCGGAGCTGGAATTGGAGGAGTGAGCATTGTATTTACCGCCGACGTTCAGCTTTAGTGGCGGATGTCCGCCCTAATATATACGCACCACTTTTCATCCTATCTGAAATGTACGACGTCGCATCGCTCCATCTAAGCTGGCATGAACCTAGCTATGCCTGTGATTAGAGCTGCTCAGGAGGGTCACCATAAGTTCCTGCGAGAAAATATATGGCAACTTGAATGAGATATATTATGCATCAAGAGTCACAGTCAAACACAAACACACTAACACTCACGGCCCTGTTCGCTTGTCGCAGTGGCAGCAATGATCAATCAAACAGTAGCGAAATAGATGGGCACTAAATCAGTTCTTTTGCCATCTCCCGCCCAGAAAACGAACGGAATCCTTTCCACCTTTCGTTCGATATCGAGAACATCAAGCGTCGTTGCAGCAGGGCTCGTTTTCTCACCCAAATCTTTGCTACCAATCTCGTTTGAGAGCCGATCCTGTCGCTCCCAGCCACCTCTAAAAGCTTCCGAGGACCAGAGGCCCTCTGAGTGTCCCCCCGATCCTACCCAGAAGAGTCTGGGTCTTCCGGAGTCCGTGGAGACGAAGCTGGGGCTGGTATCGGCGGCTGTGCCCATGCCCCCAGTCATATTGGCCCGAACTGAGATTGGGTCATTCCAAAGTTTGTCCGGGGCACCATTATAGGTGAAGTAGTAGGTGCCATCCCCGCCGCCGCCGTTATAGAAAACACACAGGTTCTCGCCCCAGGTACAAGCACAAGGCGATGAATTCGGGGCGACGGATACACGGCCTTGAATCGGCGACTGATAGTTCCAGGTGTTCTCCTGGAGTGTAAACCAGTATATCCCGTCTCTGCCGGAACCGCACCAAAAGACATGAAGCTTGCCGTTGTGTACGGCGGCAGCTGGGGAGGTGTTGCCATCAAAGCCCATTTGCTTGCTCGGGACGTGGTCAATAAGAGCCGTCACCTTCGGCTCCCAGCCGGCGCTGGTATACTGGGCGTAAAAGGTGCCATTTCGCCCGCGTCCGTTATAAAAGAGGTAGAGTTTATCACGGTATACGGCGGCACATGGCGAGGTTCCCTCGGCAACGGCGATACCAGAGACGAAGCCTTGGAGGGCGTAAGCGGCTCCCCATTTGCCATCCTTGGAGCTCCTCTTTGCGCAGTAGATGCTGCCGGCAAATGAGGCAACCCAGAAAGCATAAAGATCTCCCATATAGGAAACGGCGGTGGGAGAGGTGCCCACAATGGCCCAGGCGCCAGATATAAGACCTGGATAAGAGAAACGCATAGTGAATGTTGTTCAGTTAAAACCTTTGGCTGGTATGTGGCTTAGCTTGGCTGGACAGAACCAGCAAGCAAGAACCAAGAAGAAGAAGCAGCAGTCTACTTATAACTTCAAATACCGCGTAAACTTCAAAGCGTCGTGTGAATATGCAAGATCCTTCAAACCGTGTTTCGATTCCTTTTCATGGGCTAGCCCAGTGGCGACGACTGAGTCTAACTGATGCATCAAATAGTCCAAACAATAGTCGCGAGTCTCTAATCCAATCGATGAGCATTCAGTAGTCTAGGTTGTATGAGCTATGCATCAAGGCAGTCTGGGCACCCAGCTGAGCTGCAGGTCTTGGGTTATAGCCGTTAAGTGCATATGAAGTCCAAGCCTCTACGAGACCATTTGGTGGATATTGGCAGCTGAAAAGCTATGCTTGAAATTATTGTTTTCTCAGTCAAGCCACGTTCCATAAATTCTTGCGTATATACTAGTCTATATCCCCTGTATCTAGTACGTAAACCGCTTCAGTATCTTATTTACATCACGATATATAGTACATGATATCTCCGTAGGCCAGGCACTATTATTTTGTGGCTCAATAAGTCCAGCTCAATATTTTTAATTAGTAAACTAACCGGTAGGTAAGTAGGAGCTAGTAGACAGGCCGTTGGAGTTCGGCGGGTTAAAGAGGTCATTAGAGTAAACATCGAAAACCTAGGTTTGCGTCTTTATTAAAATGTACTGCATCCCAGGCACGAAAATTACAGGGCTCTATGCCTCCCGCGACCAGATAATCTGCCTGAATCCTCGCTGTAGATAATCCTTAATAAGCTGAGAAGCTCAGCCCCAGCTTAGCTGAGGATGTGTCTCGACCCACCACCCTCCAGGCTTTTAATCTCGTCAGCCCACCCCTCACGAACCAGGATGATGCCACGAGCGCAGCTGAATCGCAAGCCACATCCGAGGGTAGACAGCGAATGAACTCGCGGAGTGCCTCCGGACATGTCTCAGCATCCGTAACGCTGGCTGCATATCCTCCCGTCGCCTCACTAGCGATATGGCAAGCCCGGATTTATTTGTAGCGAGCCTCCCAGAGCTTGTGCGGGACTCGCAACTCCAGGCGCGATTTGAGACCGATGGAGAGCACCGCTTTGTCGTACACACCCGCTCGTCTAGCCGCCACCTGGCGCAGGAGAAATGGCGCAGCCAACGAAGGCTGGGCAGTGGGGGACAAGGCGCCGTTGAACTACAGATCAAGCAGATGACGGACTCTGGTCTGCCTCAGTTGCGAGCCGTAAAAACCCTCAACATTCCTACCGAGTTTACTTCGTCGGTTCGGAAACTCCACCAAAGAGAGCTCGAGACGATTGCTAAGTTCTCTCAAGCAAAGGTATACACCACTATTCCCAACTATGGGAGCCCAAGTTGAAGAAGACCCTACTGATCTTGATATTCAGTACTCGGATCATTTTGTGAAGTCTTTTGGATGGTTCACCAGTCCCGGACGCATCCATATTGCGATGGAGTACTGCGAACTGGGAGATTTGGAAAAGTATCTCTCCAAGTGCCCATTACATCGGGTGTCAGAGGCGGAAGCACATGATATCTCTTCACAGATACTTGACGCGCTGTGCAGTATGCATGAGGAGAAATATTGTCACCGAGACTTGAAACTAGCCGTAGGTTTCATCTGACCAACCAAAAGGCTCACCTTCTAACACCCCTTTGCTTCTAGAATGTCTTGATCATGAGCACTACGCCTTCTTGGTGGATCAAGCTGGCTGACTTCGGTCTAAGTAAGCGCGACACAACTATGGCGCAGACAACAGCAATTCGTGGGACGATCAATTATATGCCACCAGAGCTGCTTGGGTACACTGGCGACTCGGACTCGGCAGACCCTTATGCAGTGGACATGTGGTGTCTAGGACAGGTGGTCTTCAGGCTTGTTGCGGGCCAACCGATGTTCTCGTCTCTGGGCAACTTATCCCGATACTGCCGCGGCGAGATGCAATTTCCTGAGATGTTGCTGAGAAAATATGAAGAAATTGACCATAATCTCGTTACTTTTATCCAATTACTCACTAAGCCTCAACCTGGAGATCGAATATCGTCGGAGAGAGCATCAGCGCACCCGTGGATTAAAGCAGAAAAGCATTATTCTGCTCCTCGAAGCTTCGATCCTGGGTCAAACATACCGGCTCCCTTTGTGCAAGATGAAGACTCTGATCAACCATCGGCAACTTGGAGCTCGTCAGAAACAATTAGACCTACCAACAGGACCCCTTGGACGGCAGTGGATATCGCACAAGATGAAGCTTCTGCCGAGTGGCCGTCTCAAACTACGACAAAAGTTAATAATACCGAAACGCGGACTGCGATGCCAGCCGCCACCACTCCGAGCAACGTCATTGATGCAGAGAACTACAAGATTGCTGCGAACCGGTTATTCAAGGAAGGAAAACACACACAAGCCATCGTCGAGTATACCAAAGGTATGACTAGCTGGAGGAATCTCAGAAATATTGGGAGATTGCCCTCGTCCCATTATTACAGAAAGCCTGGCGGACTAACATTTATTCTCAGCCATCGAACTAGATCCCTCCTCAGCGCTCTACCACGGAAACAGAGCTGCGGCGTACATTGCTACTGGCCAATACGAAGCCGCCCTACATGATTGCCTGAATGGCGTCGAATTGAATCCATATGATTTCAAAATTTATCAACGCCTCTTTCGCCTTTACACATTTATGGGTCAGCCTGAAAAGTCGATAGCCATATTCGGACGTATCAATCCACCCCCTCCTCCCGCAGACATCGCCAAGACAAACAAGATGCAGGACAGTATTCAGAGGGCACGCAGAATCATCAAGGCTGGAACCGACCTGGGCCAGACTGTCCAGGCACTTGACGAGGCAGAGCTGGGTCTTGCTCCCGGTGTGGATGTTCCCAGGAAATGGAGGCTGTTGAGAGCGGAAGCTTGCGTGGTGATGAACAATCGCCAAAGCTTGAGTGAAGCCAGGAGAATCTGCACATCGATGGCTCCTCCGAATGGCGATGTGCTGACCCTTCATGGCCGAATTTCATACGCAGAAGATGAAATGGTAAGAGCTTTGAAGTATTTTCGAGACGCACTTGAACGCGATGAGACGCGGCAGGATGTCAAGAACTGGATCACCTTGGTGGAGAATCTGGTTGCTCTCAAGAAAAAGGGAAACGCTTTGTTCAGCGAGGGCCGCTTGGCCGAAGCCAGGGATGTCTACACGGATGCCCTAGCCATGGACGCCAGAAGCAAGCCCATGAGCGCAAAGCTTCTCGGAAACAGAGCCCAGTGCAGCATCAGGCTTGGGAATTATGAAATGACCATCGCTGACTGCGACGCCGCTATCAGGCTCGACCCCAACTATGTGAAGGTCAGGAGGACCAAAGGGACAGCTTTGCATAATTGTGGAAGGTCTGAGGAAGCGCTTCAAGTCTTGGAAGAGGCCCAGAGGCTTGATCCTGATGATAAAATTACGCTGCAGAATATCAAGGTCGTGAAGGCTGCCCTTGCGCAGAAGAGTCAGCAGCGTGGTAGTGGCATCAACGCGGAGGATCTCTTTGCGCAATTCAAAAATCATAACATCTCGGGGTAAGTCTTTCTCTCCAAAATTTAGAATGGCTTTGTCGCTTTCCCTTTTCGCTCCTTTTTTAAGCTGAGTCGATTCGCTGATGGAATAATCTGGGATGCGCAGGAGCACAAGTACGCCAAGTACCTCAGTCAACCCAAGCAACAAACCACCACCCCCACGCCCTGTCGACCCCAACACTACGTCCAATCAACCAAATAGCCAAGTTAAACATGCCCCTGATGGGACATTTACGTTCTCCGATCCCCAAGACATTTTCGATGAGTTTAGGCGTAGCCAAGCCAACGACCAAGGTGGGCCCAGCTCTGGTAGGCAGCCTGATGAGAGCAATGGACCACGAAATCTCCCTCAAGATTCCGGTAGACAAGGCCCCGGCGGTCGTCCTGGAAGCCCTGGCTTGAAATTCACCAAGGCGGAAGATATCTTCGCGGAGTTCATGCGTAATCGGGGCGGAGGTTAGGACAGAGTCTATGTAGTCGGTTCGCAGAAGCAGTCGTGGAAGCCGCGCGCAAACTCAGGCGGCTTCAGCCGCGAACCGTTCTGCCGGTATTGACCTTTTTTTGTTTTCTTTCGACACATTTTCAGCAAATAAAAAAAGGTTTACCTTTTCGTATTGGCAGTGGGAGTGGAGTCTCTCCATGGCCGTTACACTCAACCTGTTAGTCAACAGAGGAGGAAGCGTGTAGCAAAACAATATCAATCAAGTTCAGTCTCGGACTTCAACCATCGAGTTTCAAGAGCCATGCTCTTTGGTACACGTTAATCTATTAGGAACTCATTTTTTTTTCTATTGAAAGTTACATGTAGTCTAATAGCCACCTCAAATCCGCCGCTTTTCACTTTTGCTCAGAAACGCGCACCTAACTTCATCATTACTTCATTATGTAGAAACCACGTGTCTTACTTAATTGACAAGCTCGTACAAAGGCAAATTTTAGCTTATTTATTGAGTGTCTGATCGTAATGCTGTTTTCAATGTTGGTTTTTGTGATGAGTAGTGATCATTTTCAAAGGCCATATACATAGCCTAAGGCTGGTCCCTACCACCAACCGTGGATATTTTTCTCTAACTCCTGCTCACTAATCAGAGCATTACTGAGTACTAATTGAACTCAAATTCCATTGTCCTTTTTAGAAACAATTGCTGGAATTGTTCTCCAACATGATAGTGGCGGAGCGGAGTTGAGTCGGAGGGATTTCGGCCCGACCACAGTTGACACAGCCACGACCGCTCTAACTCGGGGCTGATAGTTGAGACATACTCCAACCTCGCACTTGCTACACCGGCTCCCGAGAATCATGGAGGCTCTAGAAAGCAACCGCAAACCCTCCACAGTTCCGATCCCCGGCAATGAGTTATCTAAGTCCACGTCAAAGCGGTCTCGCGTCGTTGTCTCGCAGTCGAAACGCGGCTGCGTTACTTGCAAGTAATAAACCTCCCCCCTGACCTGCATTGGCGCCCATACGACTGACCAGCTCTAGGACGCGCCGGGTGAAATGTGATGAGCAGAAACCTCTGTGTCGCCGATGCATCCAAGCGGGCCGGTTATGTGGCGGGTACGGCCACAAGAGCAAGTCGTCATTCCCTCTGCAACCTGCTCTGACGACTGGCGTCAAAGTAGACAGCCACACGGAGAGGCTAAGCCATCTTGCAGCTCATGTGCTATCTCTAAATAGCGAGGGCCTTCCTACGCAAGAGGATGATGTCTGGGGTCGCGTATTTCTCCAGCTATCAAATCAAAATGAATGCGTCAAGGCCGCCGCAGCCGCATTTGGCGCTGCGTATGAGTTGTCGTTGAATAACACCATAGGAAAGGTCCCAGCTTCAGCTTGGCGTTACTATGGCTCAGCATTGACAATGCTCCAGTCGGAGCTGAGAGAGGAGAGCACTGAGCTGGAGTCTCTAGCTCTGGCATCACTGATTTTGGCTTGCGTCGAGGTCCTAAGCCAGCACGAGCATAATGCATTTGCCCATTTTCTCGGAGCCGTGCAGATCCTGACCAGAGCCTATCAGCGTCGAAGGGGAGCTCCATCTTCTGATATTCTAAACAAAATCAAGGATGGCGTGGTCAATGCCAATCTCCTGCTTGGTGGTTACGCTCTGTCCCAGACACCGCAATTTATGTACGTCATATTTCAAGAGGCAGCCCCTAGAGACAATGTATTTGATAAGCCTGAACTTGCTATCAATGCGGCGATGCTATGCCTTCAGCGATCATACCAATTCATATCGTCCGCTTCCCGCCTCCAGTACAAGCATCCAGGCTGGAAAGAGTATGGTTCCGTCATGTGCGAGGACCAAAACAAAGCCTTAGCCGAATGCTATTCCATTCTCGATGGTCTTGCGGGACTCATCACAAGACAGCAATCTCAGCATTCCTCCTCAACAGTCACACAGAAGGATTGGGAGATACTAGCAGAACTTTATGCTCTCCGAACGCAGTTAACAGCGAATATCATATTCATCCTATGCGTCGACACCCCATATGAAACGGCGTATGATGAACACTTGGACAAATTCCGAAGCATCGTGAGCGACGCTGCAGCATCGGCGCGGCTAAGGCGACGGGCCAAACCAAGCGCTTTCAAACGCTTCTCAACACGCCTTGGTCTTGTCAGCCCTCTCTACTTCACGATTTTGAAGTGTAGGGACCCGGCGCTACGTGCTGTGGCAATATCAATGCTGAGTGAACAGGACCGCGAGGGGCCAGCCGATGGACACATTCTGGCGGCAATCGGTGCCCAAGTGGCTGCACTGGAGATATCAGACAGTGTGCCTTCTACGCCCGACGCTCCCCTGGCTGCCTGCAACATTCTCGAAGAGCAGCGGTTTCACGGATACACAGTACCCCCTCCAAGGTTGGATTCCGAGGGCCGGCGTGTGGTCGACGTTGTTTTCGCGCGGCCAAACCCGCCTCTCGCCCAGGGATGGGGCGATGCCGACTACTCAGTGCCAGATGGCTGGAGCAAGTGGTCGGTGCCTGTCGAGATATAGACTTCGCCAGTTGCTGCGGCACTTTCTCTGTACACAGTCACAGATCTTTACCGGTAGAGACACTTTACACCGACGAATATAGACCAATCATTTCTCCAATAGGGTAATTTAATCTGCAATCTCTGACAGAGTGGAATTAGACCGGTGCCACTGATCACCTGCCCCGTCCCAGGCTTGACGCTGCAAGCCGATCCCCGGATATCTAACCCGGGTATTTATGCCCGAAAGAATCCCTTTCGAAGAATATGTTAAATGGCGATCACTTCGCACACTATAAAATATGTGGTCGAAGGGAATTACGTGTGTGCCATCAAGATGTTGTGGGTAGTGGCTGTAGCTACAATTGATGCTTACATGGAGTGCTACCCCTACCAGGGGTGAGAGAAAGCGGAGCTCAGCTCGGTGTTTTTTGAGCTAGACTGGATGGAGCAGAGATTTGGATCAGACAAATAACCCGTCACCCGGGGTTGGCTGTGACGGCATCTTGGTCTTGGGCAACTTCTTCACAACATCCAGGGGTCCGTTGATTAGACGAAGAGCAAGTGGAGCCCAGCTCGGTGTTTTTTTGAGCTAAACTGTATCAGAGTTGGAACGGGAAGAGTACCCATCGCCTATGGCCAATAATAGCGGTGGGGACCATCTCGGTCTTTGATGGTCTAGCAACGATTGCGGCGTCTACATCAGAAAGAAAGCCATACAGTTGCTTGGGATTCATTCTCAGTCCAATTTGTCATGACGATAACATGTGGTGCTGCGCCCGTCTCCACGTAGGTCAATGCAAACATGCCTCTGTCAGGGGCCTTATATATTGTGCCGTCCTGGCCTTTCCCATCCAAGAGAAATTACCGTCAGAGACATTCTACCCTTGCCAAAGAAGGACGACAACCCCAACTACCTTTCATAGGGATTGCGTCCACCCACCATGTCTACCACCAACAGCACCCAGACGGGTGTGACGTGCACCCTCGATACGTGCCCACTATCCATGGGCATAATTACATACCAACCCAACATCGGTGGAAATGCGTTATTCCTTTCGATCTTCGGCAGCTTGTTTCTCGTGCAGCTGTACTTTGGCATCCGACACAAAACCTGGAGCTACCTAGCGGCCATGGTATTAGGGTTGGTCACTGAGGGCGTTGGATACATTGGACGTTTACAACTCCACAACGACCCTTTCAACTTCAACTATTTCCTCGTGTAAGTAACATCACAATCGTTCTAAAGCACAAGTGCTCAAAATCTAATCCATTTGCTAGATATCTCGTTTGCCTGACCATCGGACCAGCCTTCCTTACAGCCGCCATCTACATCACGTTCGCCCGCGTCGCCTACTCCTGCGACGAAAGCCTCCTATGGGTCCGATCGAAGACAGTATCCATCATATTTATGACGTGCGACTTTATATGTCTAGTGTTACAGGCCACAGGAGGCGCCATCACTTCGACATCAGGGGGGATGACCCAGGAGGCATTGGACATGAGACAGAAGGGCGTGAATGTCATGATCGGCGGGCTGTCGTTCCAGGTCGTGTCTCTCTTCTCGTTTATACTCTATGCTGCTATCTATGCTTGGAGATGGCACTCTGCGACTAAATTCGACTCTTACCCTGTTCGGATACCACCTACTCATTCAGGGATCCGGTGGAAGAGTGTGATCTTTGGTAGGTCAAAAGCACATGTTGGAGGCGAAAATATACTTATATTACTCTTTTAGGTCTTGCGATCGCGTCGGGTACCATTTTCGTGAGATGTGTTTTCCGTGTTGCTGAATTAAAGGATGGTTTTGCCAGTTCACTCGCCAACGACGAAGTGGCTTTCATGATTTTGGAAGGCACCATGATCGCCATTGCGAGTCTCTGTTTGACTATCGGACATCCCGGCTTGTGTCTAGACATTGAGTGGAAACTACCAAGGCAGGTATTACAAAAGGGTCGAGATGACAGTTCAAACGTGGAGTTGGAAAATGTCCACGTCACCAAGTAAGGGCGGCCAGTGAGGTTAATGAACTTTAGATATATAGAAATTTAGTGGTATGGGGTCCATCATTATCATTCTAGGTGGAGTTTGCTTGGATGGTTGACCAAGTTTTCGTTGAAGTTTTGGGCGTGATTTGGTTGAACTATCACGTAGTTGTTGTGTCAAGTTTATAGGGAGAGAAATACGTAATGAAGGTCCTTAGGTTACCGCGAAGATTCTACTTAATACTAGCCCGATAAAAGAACCATTCACTGTTGGAACGAATCGACGGGATCCAAATGTATGTGTGTTAGTGGTTGGGTTTTATGTTCCCTCTCCAGTATAGGGTAGTCAGACCTTCGCCAAGTATTTGGTTGTAACTGTCAGATTCCGCCAAGATAATCAATCGCATATTGGAGACGTTCTAGACCAGCAGGACGGTACGCAGACACGCTCTGGTTGGATTTGACAATGGTCATGTGGCGAAGCTAGAGTACATAATGAGAACCTCTAGTCTCATCCATCTGTAAAGGATCAAGGTGCCATGATGCTACAAATAGGCAATTGCCGCCACGAAACTGAGCATCAAAAGACCGCCCCCATCTTGGCACGGGCCGCGCGGCTGATTTCAGCACACACAGCCACATGTGAGCATTTCCAACACATACCAACAAGCCGTGTGAGCGCATTGATGATCGTACCATCCATGGTGTTGATCCCAGTACTTAAATGAGCCCTAGTCCCCCGCAAATTCCCATGCTGCTGGGAAATGTCCCGGTAACCGCAAATCACTCAGCACAACACATGAACCATGCCGCCAATTCAAGACACATGCACGCCGGGCCTGGGCATTCGGCTAGACAAGAAACATCACAGCTACCGACCGGGCGACACCATCATCGGCTGGATTTACCGCACATCCCCCGTCGTCTGCCCCGACGCAGCCGTCAAAGTCTCCCTCCACGGAGCCACCCGAACGCGCATGAGATCGGGCGTGCGCTGGGCCGATACATACCAGGGTAATTTCACAATCATCGAAGGAGAGAAGAACAGGCAGGAGCTGTTCCGAGGACCGCTCCATATCGACGCGGCTTCCGGCTCGCAGGAGTGGCCCTTCGCATTCACACTGCCCACCCATATTGATCTGAGCTGGTTCGCAAATAGCAAGCACAGTCGCGAGTTTTTCACGCCTATTTCTGGCAGCAGTGTCGGCGTGGAGCCGTTGCCCGCGAGTTTCCAGAAGCTCGAAGATGGAGAATACAACGAAGGGATTGTCGAGTACTACCTTCGGGCCAGCCTGGAACTCCGTAGCAAGGACCACCCTGATGCTCTAGCCGCGTTATTACCCATCAGGATTCTGCCGTCTCTCCCTGAAAAGATGCCTTCTTTCGAAAATAGCTTGCAACTCAATAGAGAGCCTGTACCGTTCCACGTCCCGAATTTCACCTTAGGATCGAAACCGCATCTCTCAAAGTCTCAAAAGATGAAGAACCTGCTAAAGTCATCGTCTGCATCGAAGTCCACGCATGAAATCCATACATGGGTCCCGTCCGTTCTCCAAATCAACGACCCCAGGCCGATGGGATTCCTGCTGCACGTAACACCAACAGGGGAGAACGCGCCTGAACTGATCGAGAAACTGGCACCCACAGTACGGCTGAAGCGCGTCGAGGTGCAGATAGAATCACTGACGGGCATCAAGGCTGAAACAACGTATGGCAGTATCGATGATGGCTGGAAGAGCAATAAAGATCTCACCAAGAATATTCCGCCATCTTTCTTCTCTGACATTGTGATCCCTTCAACGGAGGATCTACCCCCCATTGACCTGGGGCAGATGATGGACATTCACCTCCCCTCACCCGACATGCCTGACGCACTCTCTCCTAGCTTTTCAATATGCAATGTCAAGGTGGAGCATACGGTACACTGGCAGGTCGACTACGAAATCGCAGGGAAGCCCTGCAAGACGCGTGGATCACAAAGTCTTCTCGTTCTACCAGCGACGGATGCATGCCATCAACCCGCCGAGAGCCGGGAAGACTCGGGTGTACAGCTACCATCATACCATGATTCAGCAGCGACGGCAGCACCCGTATATTCAAAGGAATAATTAAGTGCGGGAAAATTTATGAGGGATTGGCTTGGGTATACCCTTTTCTTTTAGGTGTTTTCTTGTCATTTAATCGATTAATTAAGTCTAGGGCTAATAGACTCATTTTCTTTTTTATCATACATGCGGAATCATACCGACACTGACTGACAAGTAGTTCTGGATTGTGTCCCTTCATGATCTCTGGATTTGCGCTTCTTTTCCTTCTTCTCTTCTTCTCTTCTTCTCTTCTTCATTTCTGTGACCTCCAGCGCCATCAGCGGGCGCTTCATGGAGGATACGAGGGTGTCTTGACCCGTTCAACTTGAATATCTCTTATATATCCATCAATGAGCTTCTCGTTCTTACCCGAAAGTTGAGATCTGAGTTTGAAAACACCCTGGAGGGAAGGTGGCTGAGAAATAAGGTTTAGCTGCGAAGCACGGACGACATATCCCAGTATCCAAACGAACCTAGGAGAAGGAAAGAGAGCGTACGATTTCTCGCCTTGAGAATAACTAGATGGCTTGAATTTTCGCGGCTGGCTTTTAACAGCAAACTCGGTAGAAGATTCAAGACTAATTTAGAGCCATGGTGGTACATGGAAACCCTACTCACCGTCAAATGTCTTTCAGGTCATAGTGAAGCTAGAGAGAGACTCATGAAAGTCAATTGAACAAATGGCGATAGACCACTGGAACATACCCCCAGTTTGGATGCAACTTTGCCCACTAAGGCATGTCTGAGATCAGGGGAAACGCGGGCAGAGCATTTACCTCTAGCGTAGATTCAACAAATCTCTGCTGCAACCCTACCAAGCACCAAGCAAGCTCTCAAGCTGGATCATGGTGGTGTAGTGGGGTTCATATAACATGAGCTCATATCGTATTAATCGGGTCAGGGATTGGAGAGTGTGTTGAGAAATCAGCCAATCGACACTGCCAAATCATGGTTGCGCCCCTTTTTATACCCCGGTCCGGATTCATTACCTGCATTTTCCTAAATGATTGGAACCTTTCGGCATCCGCCGTTTTGCTAAGAATTCCTGCACAAGTGCGGGCACAGTCTTTACTTATTCCAGATATTTGAAACAAGTCATGGAAGAGCACTTACGCATTTCGACGACCATGTATGAAGCTAGTGGCGGCTTCCCCCAACTGAGTCTTGTTATCAGGACAAGCTTCTAGGAAGAAAGCCATGTGGGACCATTTAGGCGACCTGCGTCAGGCCCCCTGTCTAGATACCCATGGAGGAGGCTGCTGAATTCCTCGATGCAACCTTATCTAGGCGTTTTATTTCCCAGTATATGTAGGTAACCGAAGCCAGAATTTTAAATTAATCTCGCAGTAGCCTGGTTTCTCGGTTCATGAGTGTGCTGGTGGGCATGGCACCCAAGCCATTTCCAACTCGTTCTTCACACTCGCTCCGCTAGCAGACCTTCCACTCAACGAGGACCCGATATCTCTCACACTCGCAGTGGGAATTGCCGCTTGAAGACCGCGAGCATGCCTACGTTGGACTTGGTTGAAAGACTATGGATCGCGAGGTTTGCTCTTGGTTTTGCAACCTTCTTCGCGGGCATAGTCGTTTGGGGCTGCTCGCTGCGACACAACCGGAGGCGGTATGACCCAGCTCGCTTCGCGTTTCTTCTCCAAAGGATATTCATGGGCTTCTTTCTCTTGTGAGCGTTTTCAGTACGGACCGTGGGCACATTGCGCCTACTACATGCAGTCACTCTTTCTGCCATATCCTATAATGCTGACTCAATCATCGTCTCCCCAGCGCTTGTCTGCTGGATGCTCTGGGTTTTCTTCTGGTCTCCTTGCAGACGACATTCGGATTGTTCTACAGCCCCGATGCAAGTTACATTATTTCTTCAGCGGCATCGTTCTTCATGATGCTCACGGAAGGCTTAATATTCATCATGCTCATCCATCTGCTAAATGGGATCTCGATAAGCCAGCTTGGTAGCCTCAGCGATACCGGCAAGGCTCTGAATCCGATCAGCGCCACTCTAGCTGTGCTCCTTGGGATTCTCTCGCTCGCTATCTTTACTCTGGAGCTTGTTAGGCGTTATATGAGAAGCTCCTCCTGGAATTTCTACCCATGGGCGATCAGTGTATCATTTCGGGGATTGGACATGATTGCATCGATACTCTTGGTTGCGCGCTCCATTCGAGTAATGGCTATCTCACGGGAGGAAGGTCGATTGGCCAAGGTACGGATCGATAATGTGTTTTTAACTAACTTCTCCGCTCACATCGCATATTGTAGGCCTCTATTCTGGCGCTTGTTTGCTGTGCATTAGCACTCACGAGGTCAATCTACGGACTCGCCAGTGTTTCCGGGAGTCGATCAAGTTACTGGATATATCTCCACGTGCTGACGTATATTTTCGAAGCCTGGCCCAACTTCGTTATATTCTGCATTACTTTCGTCATTGGCAGGGACAGACAGGATGGCCTCTGGTCTCTTCACCAACCCCCTCCTGCATCCATCTCCAACGAGCTTCAACAACCCACCTTGATGGATCTAGATAATTCGCAGCAGCAGCCCGGGCCGTATTACGATCCTCAAACGGGGCATATGTGGCAATCAATGGGAGGATACAATCAGCCGCAGGAATCATATCGGTACTATCCACAGCAAGCTTTGGTTCAAGGAATGTACGCCAACGCCTCGCCTCCCGAGCTGCCACCAACTGAATTGCGACCGCCTGTGCCGTTGGGTAGATCACAGCGGTCTCCAAGTCCGATTTTATTACCGAATACTCCTGCTTCTCACATTTCAGTTCCCAATCCGCAACTGAGTCCTATTCCGGGATTTTTACGAAGATGAAGAGAAATGGCAGCAATGGAGTTTTTGGGAATATCTTTTCGATGTCTAATGTATGGATGAAAACAGGAGAATCATGATTCAAACAAATTACATTATCTCCCCGTAATTTGTGACATTGTTTTGAGAAATCGTAGTGATAATGGTGGCCTCTAGCCCGTGGGATTATTGGCTGTTGTTGGCGTACGAAAATGGCCAGATTTTCAATCCTAATTCTTCCATTGCGGCGAGAATTAGTCTAGACGGCTCCATTCTCTGTTTAACTTTCCCGCATGCGGTAGTGGATGAGTGGGAGGCTTCAAGAAAGGGGGTTCACCGTGGTGGCATGTGAACTTTGTCTCAGACACCGGAATGAATCAACCCGTGATTATTGTTGCCCTTTGTCGCCCCCATATAAGTACCAACGGCCTTTTTCTGATGCGTTCCCTCTGACTTACTGCTCTCTACTTTTTGCGCGCAGGTCAAAATCCGCCTACGTTCAAATACAACCACTGCATGAAGCATCGCCACGAAAATGCAGGTGCCGCGACTCCCCATCGTGATGACTTGGTTTGCATTCGCTTCGGCGTTTAGAACATGTGTGCCGCTTGGAGGTATTGACTGGCCTTTCGCACTCTCTCCTGATTAATTGGGTGGCAGCTGCTAATTCACTATCAGAGAGCTGTCTCGCTGCTGTGGACTGTTGCGACGATAAGGCCTGTGCTGGTCCCAAGGGCAGCAGAGTGTGCCATGAATGGGTTTACAGATCTGTCGAGGGAGATGAGGAGTAATATATGCCTTTGAAGGGCAAAGGGTTGACAACGAAGAAAACGCCTGATCTAAACATCGACATAATTAAACGAGTCAGCAAACAAAGCTTCATGTTCCTCCAGAGACGTTTAATAATAACGCAGTATAAATTGAGACACTTTTGTGTTCATTCTATCGTGCAGGAGCGACCTAACACTTGGATTTACCGAGAATTGATACCGATACTTCCTGACGACCAGACGAGTGTTTTCGACAATGCGCATTAATTGGCGTTTGGGAATGAGATGGACTAGATGCCGAAGCCGGCTCAGGCTAATTCCTCGAGCTGCCATGACTTTGTGATTTCTCCATCTAGAACCCTACTATCAATGGTAAAGCTTTCCGGGATAATATTGAGTGAAAGCCTCACCTTTGCGGACTTGGAGACTGCGGCGTTTTATAATTTGTCTCGTAGCGCACTTTCTCTCATCATGACTTTAAGACTTTGCCGCGCCACCATTCTGTTAATGCTCGTATCGAGCCCAAAAACTCAGACTTTGACTCTGGCCCGGTGTGCATGCGGTTACCTATTCTGAATTCAGTGAATATGCAGGTTTTTTATACTTGCAATAAGTGTCTCCAGTCTACTCTTGCGAATTATCTGAAAATAAGCTCTATAGCTTTTATCAATCAGTTTGGTAGATCAAGCTGGACATTAGGTAGAAGCAACTGGTCATGTTCCCGTCAAACGCAGAGCCAAAATGCGATAAAAAGCAGTGCAAATCGCTTGCAAGGATTCGGCAGTCGGCTCTTGGAACTTTGGTAGTGGCCTTGCGGCTAGAGTGATCCCCAATCAGAGACCCCAATCAGAGACCTGCAAAAGTAATAACGGGACCTGGAGCCGAATCCCGCGGGGCGATCTCTGAACACATGGCAGCATATAGGGCTGAATAGGAATTGTGTTGCCAACATCTTCTCCATCTATTTCGCCCTCAAGATGGCATTGAGTGCTGGCTCCGCCTAAACAACGCCATGATGAAGCTTGACGGCACCTGAAAATCAGCGCCATGGCGTGATGTATTACTATGTAAGCACTACAGATTCCTGCCCTTGCCAGAAGGATGTTGCAGGCCCTTGGATGGACACGTTATCCTAGCCAGCGGCCGCGTGTTGTTGAGAGGGCCCCAGAGAGTTGTTGTTACAGCTTCAAAGAGACTTTTCGGGTCTTAAATCCCTCCTAGCAACATGAAAAGAGGTGCTTGGTACCGGTGTATATGCGCAAGCGAGCAGCATTCAACGTCGTGCGTACACAGTTGACGATGACCTCATTTGCCCATACTCACCCGCTCATTGTGTTTACGCATGCTGTGGGCCAATTAAAAACTGCTCATTAACAGGATTCTGGGGCGGAGACTTTTCGGGGAGTTTTGCTGGAGCATTTCGAGCTCAAACCAGCTCCAGCCGGCCTTCATTGCTCGCGCCTCGGGCTTCGCTCTTGTGCCCACATATATGGGAAACAAGAGCAAGCTTTGACTCTCGTCTCTGCAAGGTTGATTGCCCAAAACTCGTATTTCAACCAATAGTTGGCAGGACTCAGCTCAAACAACGAGCTGTCAAAGTCGGTCCACAGCGGGTCCACCAACAGACTAAAGACTCTTGTGAACAGGGATTACGGAATCACGGAATCTACCATTCTCTCTCCTGGACTCCTCTACTTAGCATTGGAGCAGCTGCGGATATGGTTACAGTGAGATACATATTCATCCTCGCTGGAGGTTCTCACCTCATCACTCTAAACTAGCCATATAATGTCAGAGCCTGTGGTTCCGGACTCTCTCGGACCTTCTCGGACAATTCAGTTTGTCCGACGAACATCATCGTTGCGATTAATCATCAAGTCCGTCGGACCACTTGAACCCCGAGAACTCGCTCACATCAATTCTGACAAACTATCTACTAACTATGCTAGCACGACTCGTGGCTTCCCGCACCCATTGTCCTCTCGTTTGGGCAATTCGTCTGAGCGGGATAGTGCATACACGAATAGCCCATTTGGGCGATTCCAGATGCTTATTCGAGAGCTCAATGAAGTTCATGCCTTTCGGGGGTTGAATATACAGCCCTTTGAAAGCGGCAAATTGATGTTATCGCCAACCGACGACGTAGCCTAGCAAGAGCTAGCGTGGATGGTGCGTAGAAAACTACCACGTAAAAGCTGACGGAATGGATTTTACTGCTATGATTAGTGTTAATATAGCCTGAAACCAACCGGACCGGCATCATTAACCGGATACAACAACGATTCCTTGCTGCTGTTTGTTTGATTGATCATCGTCATGGGGGTTCTAATCAACTGCATCTAGTAATAAAAAGCCAGCAGTACACAGTGAGACGCCCAATGAGGAGGCCTCCCCCGTTCCCCGTCACGCTGGACGAACAATCTCCCCTGTCCAAACGGCTATCGGTGCGTTTTGAGGAGCAAAACGCCCAGGGCCACCATCCACTAGCATCCCACAGCCGTGCACTAGTGTCGTTGACTAAGAATTACTCGATCAACTTCCAACGGTGAAGACTCCAAAGCGGCATTTCCGAGCTCGGGAATTCTTTCTCCAGGAGGGAAAGTCTTTAAGCCGTCCTCTTTGGACTATTATAGGGCCGATGAATATCGGTGCCTTGGAAGCGTTAGCGTTCTGGACTGCCGTCGGGTTTCACTTGGATTTGATGCATATCACCACCGCAACGTTGCATATCATATACCCTGCTACGAATCCCGAATCTTTAACCCAACACCCCTTCAGCGCCACACATTGATTTTCTGCACACACCACAGCCAGCTTCAAAATCCAATATCAATCAGCGGGCGACCTGTCTCTGGTCACAACAGCAAAGCTGGATTCTTTACCGAGTCACTATGGCAAGTTCGGTGCCATGAAGCCCAGCACCGATGAGACCGCCAGCAGTGATGAGGAAACCGGGCTCACGCCGACGGAATTCCGCAAGATCGTCGAAGCTCGTAGCGCGTAAGTCATTTTAATGCCACAGCTGCTCGATGGAGCAAACATTCAATATCATATCATTTGTCCATTTCCCACCCCTTTCTCATGCATTTTCTAACACATCACCAGCCAACGAGCCAGCAAGAAGCGATACATGAAGGAGCTTGAAGCAAAGATTGCCGCATTGAAGGCCTCGCAGAAGGAGACCGAGGAGGAAAAGAAAAAGCTCCAGCAAGATCTAGCCAAGGCGTACACCGAGAACGCCAATCTGCGCTTTGCGCCACCCTCTCCAAAGTCGGAGTGTTGATGCTGTTATGGGCGCATATGAGGATGAAAACCGACATGAGCCGAGGAGACATACAGCATTGTCCTCTTACCAGACTCCTTTTCTCAACCCTCCAACGGAATCCCATAAGCCTGGAATGGCAGAATTAGGCATGAAATGCAGGAGGCACAAGGGACATAATGAACACGCGCGCGCATAATTGAGCATATATTTAGCAGGCATTTTGGTTCTGAACATATACCAACTTTTGTTTTTACGATACACAATGGTCTCAACAGATTTCATACGCTCCAAATCCCTTAACCAACGACATTGGTGTGCTTCTTCAGCAAGAGAGGGGTCAAAAACCCCGCGCTCCCACCATAGACCTACGTGTCAATGGACCTTTATTATGCCGAAACGGCTGCCAAGTGCTCGAAACGACCGATCTTCTGTCGCGATCGCGTGAGGATGCATCAAGGGGTTGGGTTGGTTGGCTGTCTATATCCGAATTCGGCTTTACGGGAATACGGGCTATTTATCGCAAAAGAGTAAATTTGGGAACAGCTGCTGACGTCCCCTTTTAGCTTTGGCATCGAATAAGCACTGGGTGAGCATATTTTCGGATTCGGACTTCGTTTCCGCGCTCGGCCCCGATATTAATATTCCCGGGGATTGTTGAATGCCGATTCAACATCGGGAAATTCCCCAGGAATGGTGATCAAAAGGGAAAGTTAATGACATATCAGCGGAATATGAAATCAATTATAATGACGGAGCATTTTCGAGGAGTTGGCCGGTGCTCCAAAGACCCTCAGTCAGGGTCTTTCTGTTCGGATTGGCCTCGTTGTTACATTCACTACCTCGCGTCCTTACTTTTCTCTTCGGGGTATATCTCGGTTTACGAGTGCTACATTTGTCTACATTTCGCTACAACCTTCCAATTATGCATTGTTCAATTTCTGTTCAGTTTCCAAGCATTCTGGATCTCTCGCGTGTATTGAAACAGTCGTGTACTAGGGAATCAAGACCTAGATCTCGAAACCTAAACTCCTCTATATGAGAAGTCATCTCTCGAGAACGAGCCCTTGAAGAGAAATCGCTATTCGCTGGCTCGCACAATACAGTATGGACGCCCATCCTCCGGGAACAAACCCTGGGCACTTGACAGAGCATCAAAATATTGCGCCGTCTCCTCCTCTTCCGTCATCGTCAGAGCTCTATCAATTTCCTCGAGTGTCGGAACCGCCTCCCTCTCATACGTCACCTCGCCATCTGAAATGGAGTGAGGAACAAAGGTAGAGGTATTGGTAGTGACCGGGGTTGCATCTTCTCGGATACCCATCCCTGATGGATCGCCATCGATAAACCAAAGACCTAGAACTGCATACATCGGGTTGCCCTTGGCATCTTGATACTTGGGCAGCTGGCAGAGTTCCTGCACGATGTACCCCTCCTTGCCGTATTGTCCAGTTGTTGTATCCTGAATCACTTTCTCCCCATCCTTCAAGATGATATCAGCCCCCTCACGAGCAAAGATGGCTTTGCGGCAGAACTTTGTCAAGGTCTCAGGGGCCTCGTGCTCAAAGTACGTGGGCAGCAGCCATTTGCCGCGCGGGTCATCCTTGAACATATCCCAGAGGATCGGGAATAAAGCCTTGTTACTCCAAAGCATCTTGTATGGGGCTTCAAACCACACAGTTCCGCCCACATATTCCCCAGACTTGGCATGTTCACCAATGTTCACCATGTCTTTGAAGCACTGTTCTCCCTTTTCCTCTTCAACCATCCACTCCCAGGGCCACAGCTTGAAGATCACATCGATGTGCTTGCCCGCCTTATCATGAAAGCGCTGATCCTTGACAGAGAGCTGAATATCCTGCAGGAAGATGCTCTCCGTGTTCCACCCAGCAGCGCTGCACGCTTCAATGAGTACTGTAGTATTTATCGCGTCCTCTCCCGATGTATCCGTACTTGAAGCCGTAAAGTAAACGCACTCGATCGCGTGTCCAAGGACCTTCTCAGCTTCTTCCAGGTTTCGCTTCCATGCTTTGACAAGGTCTTCAAATATGGAATTGAACTGGTCGTTTCCATGTCCGGTTTGCTCAAGCCACTTCCACTGGACAATCGCCGACTCAAGGAGAGAAGTAGGTGTGTCGGCGTTGAATTCGTAGAATTTGGGGGTCCTCAGTCTCTCGTCGGGGTGGTCCAGCCCCCCAAAGCAGACATCAAACCGACCGTAAACACTGCCCCAAGCAGGCTCTCGATCCCAAGAGCTAATGATCTGCTCGACTGCAAATTCAGGGATTGCCATCTTCTTTGTCATGATCGTTGGGTCCCTGCAGATTGCTTCAGCTGCGTCGCAGCACATTTGGAAGACATCTTTGCCAGCCTGGATAAGCAGCTCGATCTCCTCTGTTGTGAAGGAGTAGTACCGGTCGTCTGGCCAGTAATCAGCGCCGGCGTTCAAGGTGTATACAAGACCTTGACTTTGGACCAATTTGGTGTGGTACGGTCGGGGTTCGATTGATACTCGGCGCATGATGGAAGATGTGGTGTCGATTTTCGGTTGTGAGATTTGCGGAGGTTATGATGGTAAGCTTTGGCGTGCTATACATAGTATTCACGGTACTGTGAAGCATCAAACAATAGGACTGAAAATAACTCATCTGTGACATCAAACATCACTCTTCATTTCGGAATCAGGTCACGTATTTGGGAAAGCAGGTTTAAGTAGTGGAATTAGAGTTCAACAGAGAAGTCACGAGAGCGGAGGAGTCACGAGAGCAAGATGGCTTTGCTTGTTCGCTATGAACCTTGACCGGAGCTGCTTTCTGTGGCATTCGCATTACCAGTTTCTGGCTTGGACATTTGTTGTTGCCGCCCGATTCTGCCTCGTCCCATTGTTCCTATTGCATTCAATTCAACCGTCTCTAACTCGAGAGGGTTTCGCACAGATTCAAGTATTTAATAATGAACTACGGCGCTTTTCCATTGGTGCTCATCCTCGCTCTCTTCAAGTCATCCGCTTAGCTTGGAGTGAATCACAAACTTTCCGTTAAGTGAATGACTGAGCAGCAGTTTGACCAAACTCAAAGGAAACCTTGTCCGTGTGAAAGCGTTAGAAGCCCGTTGAAATGAAATCTATTTAACAGGCAACGGCGCCCCCATTTCTACTCCTAGATCCCTCTCCATCCACTCACCATCAAAACACAACCAATCTGGGAGTTTCTCCGCATCGCTCAGCTCGTCTGCTCTTTTCATCAATCACACAACTTGCTTACATTTACCATCATCAATCTCGCTTATCTTACTACTACACAAACTCAAAATGAAGCACTCCGCCGTTCTCCCGATTCTCAAACTTGCCGTTGCTACCTTCGGTCTCGGCGTCGCGAATGCAGCACCTCACTGCGTTGACAAGTTCTCCAATGAGGTCGCCCTGTCCAAATGCGAGGGCACCAATCCTGGTGCGAGCGACTTCCACCTTGTCGATGGTCCTGATTCCGCGAGAACCGACAATGACATCCCAGTTACAACTCCTGCACCCAACCCCAGGTTCGTGAACGCTGGATTCGACAAGAGAGTTGAAAATGTTCATACAACCTCCGGTGGCTCCTAGAGGGGAAAGATTGAATATCGAGACTCATTTGCTGTACATGTGAGAGGAGGAGGAGTGGTTGGCTTGACGGCGTTCAGAGCGACTGTAAGATCTGTGACCAGGCCGATTTCAACGTGTTTGGTAGTGACCCAAGAAGACATTCAAGAGGTAGATGAATGGGTCATTCAGGCTAGTCCTACGAATTAAAAAGTTTACATTCCTCAAACTTGTTTCTATCATATGGGTATTTGCTCCTAGTCCATCCAAAGCTTCGATTTGACGTATTTCTTACCATTTATTCAACTAATATCCTATGCAGCCTTCGTCTATTTCCTGCTCTTTGGTCCTCTTAAGATATGTTTCATTGTCCCCAACCATTTCGGATCACGCTTGGTACTGCTATCACCCCAGTCTTCATCGTGACGAGAGTCCGGATCATTGATCCATTGCTTCATGACGTCCACTGACTTGGGTGACGACCTGGCGTAAAATAATGGCTCCTTCCCTTCAATATCCTTCATTTTCCAGTCGGCACCCTGCCGCAGCAGCTGCCTGATGACTTCTGGACGTCCTTCATTGGCGGCGACATGCAATGCCGTCCACTGTCTATTATCAGTTGCGTTCACCTTCGCCCCGTGTCTCAACAAGAGCGCTATCATCTCCTTACTGCGTTCGGTCTGGCAAGCTCGATGCAGGATGGGCTCTCCCGCGTTTTCCTTGCTGTTAACATTCGCCCCATTCTTCGCAAGCCATCCCGCGGCCTCGACAGCCCCCATTTTCACGGCATGTGCAAGTGCTGTCTGGCCAATGTAATCAGCTGCGTCGATTTTGGCACCATTCTTCACCAGTAGCTCCAAGAGCGCAACCTTGTTCATGTTCGATGCGCGGAATAACGGTGACTGGCCTGCTTTATCGCCCTGGTTAGGATCTGCTCCATAGCGTAGGAGCAGCTCCGTGTGGCCGAGGGGAAATAGTCTGACGGCTTCGTGAAGGACGGTCGAACTGAACCTCGTTAGGGAATTTGGATTCGCTCCTTTTTTCAGCAGAAGCTCAATAACCTCGAGAGGTTGGATCATGATTCCTATTCCCAGAGCAGTCTCTCCCCGGCAATTTTCCACCGAGACGTCGGCTCCACGGTCAATCAATAGCTTGACCGTTTTGTCATCTCGATCAACCTCTGCAGCACGGTGTATCGGAGTCACGCCCTCCTTATTAGAGGCATTGATGTCGGCTCCGTGATCGAGCATCAGCTCAGCTACCGCTGCGCACCTCAACCCAACTGCGTCATGTAGGGGCGTATTACCGATTTTGTCTTTGACAAACTTGGCCCCTTGAGCTAACAGAAACTCAGTCAGCTCCCTCTTATCTCTCGAGCTTCGAGACATCCAGAGCGGATTCCGGCCGTCGTGGGACAAGGCCGACACATCACTACCCAGTCGGACAAGCAATTTGGCCATCTCCAACTTCCCATTATAGAGACTGACGGTATGCAGGGGTCTGTGACCTCGGACCTCCTCCGTGTTCACATCAGCACCATGGGAAGCGAGAAGGTCAACCGCATCGCAGTGCCCGGCTTTCACCGCCTCGTGGAGGGCCGTCCTCCCATTCGCTTCCTTAGCCTCGATCTTAGCGCCATGGCGGAGGAGAATCCGCAAGGTCTCTAGGAAATTCGGTCTGCTTCCGGTCCGGACGTGAGACCTGGCGCATCGAAAGTGGGTGTGAGGAACCGTAGCAACGGTCAGAGGCTGGCGTCCATCTTCCCCTACAGCATTCACATCTGCGCCGTGCTGAAGGAGTATCGCGACCACAGACGGGTCACCGTTGTGCGATGCGGCATGCAGCGGCGTGTGGCCATGCTCGTCGTATTTCTCAATATCGATTTTGCCGGTAGACAGGAACACTTCGACCATCTTGAGCCTCCCCGACGCGACTGCGACATCGAACGGCCTCACCCCTTGGTCATCCTTGTCGATGGCCTCAAACCCCCCGTAATTTTCCTTACAAGCCCACAAGGACGTGAAAATGTCATGGTTGCCCGACTCGGCGACCAACGTGAGGTGGTGCAGAGTCACCACGTCCACGCCCGCACTGGTCGCCCGCTGGATCGTGTCCAGGCGGTTGTTGAGTATCGCCCAGTTGACGGCAGAGCCGCGTAATTTATAGTAGTCAAATCGGTAGAGGAGGAGAACTAGAGCCTGGAAGGTTTGCCGGCATGTTCTGCTCAACGCGCTGATGTCTCGCGCCGAGGTTAATGTCTCGCAAATGGCCTGAAGCAGCTCGTTGGGGAGATCAGAGAGGGATGGATGAGCCATCCTTGACATTCGGTGGGAGTTGAAGCCTGCAAGGGTAATCTTGGGTGCGCGATTAAGGAGGATTGATCGTCAAAGTCCAGCATAATTGAGGCGTGGCGGAGGCGATGCGATAAATTAGCAGAGCGGTTCTGCCTGTTTGTTCACGCGTCGCTCCTTCAGAAAATACTTACCCTGTAGCGTTCCATCATTCACGCTATGCCATGCATTTATGCTATGCATCCTTTCGATGAGCATCCCTTGGGGAAATGTATTTGATTATTGCAAGTTCAACTTTTCTCCGAATGGGCCATATATCACTTTCTAAAGAGTCATTATGAAATAGCCCAATACGGTCAGTATTATCCAGTGACAACACACCATCACGCTATATTTTCTAACTAGAACTTAGAAATTGTTAAGTAAAAGCCAAATTAAATCTGAAGTAAAGACAATAAACCAAATACATAAAACCCTACCGATTTTAAGGTAGCCTGACTGCGATAAAACCTCCTTCAAGCTCAACGATGCCATGTTCCTCGAAGGCCCGAATATACATTGTTACACACACTGTATAATGGTTTTTCTTTGCTTCAGCTTTTTCTTTTGGTTGGGATATGGTTCTTGAACTCTTTTTCACTCAAAATTATACTTCTTCGAGATTTTGAATAGAGTGGATTTAAAGATCGAGATAATAATCTTGTTCTACCACATCGCAGATGATCCAATTGTCCCATCCGCCTAGTAAGGCAGTAATTTAAAAACTCATCGCTGTTCTCTTGAACAGACTCATTACTGCTTTCGCTAGGGTCGAAGGAATTTGGGCACGTTGTGGCAGAGTAAGGGAATTGATATCCTCAGCGTCTCTATGAATTAACTATGATCATTGACCTTTGATAAATCGTCAATGATGCATATTTGTTTTCCTAATAATAATCTTAGCTTTATTTTGCCAGAAACTCAATCCGTACGCCTAGAAACTGCTACAAACCAAAATGCATGGCTTACTGAGGTTCCATCAACCTGCGTTCTGCCTAGATGGTGTTCTTTGTTTAGTGTGAAAATCCAAACACATTCCCTAAGGGTGTTACAATACCTTGAAGTTCTCGCCATTCTAAAGAAAGTCATCTTACCGGAGATATGAGGGCTTTTGCGTTTCTCTTTTGAGGCAAGCGGACTTACTTGTTGCTAAATCCGGATAGATATCCTATTCGGTGTGTAAACTTTAAACCTGCATATGTAGATAGACGATAAAGTCCGGATAAAGTCCGCCCACCTCTTCAAGCATATATAATATAAAGAGGCGGGAGAGAAATACATTTCGGTGATCTGAATATTTGACTTGCTCCAGAAAAGCCTAACTGACTTGATACTGTATTGAGACTTCCCCTTCGTCCTCGGATCACAGCTTCGCTTGTTGAACCCTCACACCCTCCCAGCTCGAGAAAAGAAATAGAAGAGTTAAGTCAAGTAATAGAACCGATGGCTTCTTTTCTTGTTACTGGAACCTCGAGGGGTCTGGGATTCAGCCTTGTAGATGTACTCTTGTCGAGACCATCTTCGGAGGTATCTCAAATCATCGCATGTACGCGCTCGCAAAATGCTTCGGGCGACCTTCTATCTCTCATAAAATCATCGGACGGCCGAATCAGGCATGTTCAAATTGATCTTGACGACTTGACTACTATCTCGGCGGCAGTCCCTCTTGTAGCCGATATTCTGGGCGAACAGGGCCTGGACTATCTAGTCAATAACGCAGCTGTTCGCGAACCCGAGGCCACAGAACTTGAAGATATGTACTTTTTGCCCCAGGCTCTCTCCACCAATGTGGTTGGGCTTCACGAAGTCACCAAGTCCTTCTTGCCCCTCCTCAGAAAAGGGAAAGCCAAGAAGATTGTCAACTTCTCCTCAACCTTGGGGCAACTGTCAACAGCTCAAACAGACCCGACGATGGTCGGCATACCATTCCCAGCCTACAAAATCAGCAAAGCAGGCACGCATATGGTCACTGCATTGTGGTCGAACCGTCTCAAAGCGGAAGGTTTCTGTGTCTACATTCAGAGCCCTGGAAATCTGAAAACGGATCTGGTAGGAAAAGAAAGAGCAGATCTTGCACCTGAAGTCGGAGCTAAAGAAGTCATACGAATTGCATTCGAGGCTCGTCCTGAGGATACTGGGAGACATCGAAATATTCTGGTGCCAGGTTGGGAGCAGGGAGGTGGTCTCGGAGGGAGATATGATGGTGTGGATTTATATTGGTGAGAGAAGGAAAAGCCATCTTAAAAAAGAATGATTTGAAGCATAAAAATTGTCTATCACCCGTAGACTCCTTTTGGGTCGGTTGCATGCGAAGCGTTGGCTCTAGGGTAGGGCAAGATTGTGGTCGCTGATTGGTAAGCCGGCCAGCAGGCAACTGAAGGTACGACAGCAGGAGAAATCCGGAGAATTTAATAGCCGAAACCACCGAGACAAAGCTCATTTCCACACCACTTCACATCTTGGACGAAACAAGACAAAAGCATCCATGTGGTGACGTAACAAGCCGAAACCATGGACAGCACACAGCTGGGATTGAGGATTGCTTTCTACAGCTATCCGGTCCTCCTCTTTGTGACGCTCCTGGGTGTCCAATCCTTCCAATACTATGTTGAGCGCAAGCGAGGCGCCGAGTCCAAGGCGACCCGCAACGCGCTGGATAGTGAGCAGAAGGCCAAGGCCGAAAAGATCACGCGTATTTCCTCGACAATCATATGGATTCTTCAATTGATTCTTGCTGGCCTCCTATTGGCTAGCATTATTGTCGCTGTGCACGAAGCTATTGTCGGTCAACATGCGCTTGACGGCAAGGCCGGATTCGCGTTCAGTGCATACGCGGTATGTCGTCTGCCTGCTTCCCGACCGCTCAATTGGGCTCAATTGCTTTACTACAAGGCCACTAACAATGTCGCATAGGCATCATATGTCGGAGTCTTGCTATACTACTTCTCTGGTCTGCTGCCTGACCCAGAGGGGCCATGGATTCCCGGCGCGGCGCATGCCTCTGCCTGGATTGTAGGCGCATCTGTTGAAGCAGTCATTGCAGGCGTCTTTTGTGCCGTCCAACCCTCACTTCGGGTCTCCAAGGAATTTCTCGGCACATTGAACGTGTTGGCGTATTCTAGAATTGCAATCTTCGTCATCATGTTTGTCGTTCTCGCGGTAAGGGAGTATAAGCTCAAACCTACTGTGCCCCGATCCGTTCCCGAGGAACGTCAATCTCTCCTAGAAAACGGCGACGGCTCCCCGGCCAACTACGGTAGTGTTCCTGCTCACGGTGCTCCTCCTGCCAGAACCCAGGTGTCTGGCACTGGGTGGCTTGATTATTTCGCGGGATTCCGAATTTTATTTCCCTACTTATGGTATGAGACTGCTGCTTTTGCTGCAATCCTCTCTTTTCCGGAATGTAAGCGACGCTAATGTTCCTTCCTTTAGGCCCAAGGACTCGTACCTTTATCAAGTCGTTGTGCTCATTTGCTTGGTCCTTCTGGTACTCCAACGTACCGTCAATGTCTTAGCCCCCCTCCAGCTCGGAGTTCTGGTAGACAATCTTGGGAAGGGGACCATTCCTTACAGGGAGATCATTCTGTACGTCGTGTATCGCGGGCTTCAAGGCAATCAGGGAGTCCTTGGTGCTGCCAGATCATTGCTTTGGATCCCGGTCTCTCAATCGCTGTTCCGAAGGCTTTCGAGCGCTGCATTCGAGCACGTATTGGGGCTTTCCCTCGATTTCCATTTGAACAAGAAGATTGGGGAAGTCACAAGCGCTCTTAGTCGTGGTGCCGCTATGAATACCTTCCTGGAGAGCTTTTGCTTCCAGGTATTCCCGATGGTTTTTGATATTTTCCTCGCCGGTGTCATCTTCTTTGTCAAGTATGATGCTTTCTACACCATCATCATCTTCTTCATCATGTGGTCCTACATTTTCCTGACCATCTATGTTGCTAAATATCGCGGCAAGCAACGAAGAGATATGGCAACCAAGCTCCGTGAGATGGAAGCTGTCAAGACCGATGCTATCATCGCCTACGAGACTGTTCAGCACAACTGCGCAGTTCCCCGCGAAACTAAAAGATTCAAGGAGCACGTGGTGTTCTACCAAGTGGCTGAGCGTTTAGTGCAGTGGTCTCTCAATGGCCTGAACCTCACGCAAAGCTCCATATTTACGCTTGGAACTGCGCTTCTTGTTGCTGTCTCGGCATACAAGATCAACATTGGTGAACAGACTGTGGGCGAATTCGTTAGTTTGATCAACTATTTCGTTCAGCTCCAAGGTCCCCTCAACTTCTTTGGCACCTACTACACAATGTTGCAGAACAACTTGATCGAAGCTGAGCGAATGCTTGATCTCGTAAGTCTTCCCCGCACCCCTTTCGAACGTTACGTGCTGATCTCGGATTTTAGTTTAAAGAGACCCCTGGTGTTGTAGAGAAGAAAGACGCCATTAGCCTCCCTTCGGTTCGAGGAGAGGTTTCTTTCAATAATGTGGAGTTCTCGTACCAGACCAAGAAGGGCGAGCCTGTGATCAAAAATATCAGCTTCAAAGTTCCTCCCGGCACCAAAACGGCACTTGTTGGAGAATCTGGTAGCGGGAAGTCGACTTGCCTCAAGCTGCTGTACCGCTTCTACGACACTCTTGGCGGCTCAGTCACAGTTGATGGCCACGACCTCAAGGACCTAAAGCTCGACAGCCTCCGCAAACATATTGGTGTTGTGCCGCAGGACACGGTGCTCTTCAACGCGACTATCATGTACAACCTGCTTTATGCCAACCCCAATGCCTCGGAGGCAGAAATTCATGACGCTTGCAGGGCGGCCAATATTCATGATCGTATCGTCAACTTCCCCGATGGTTATGAGACCAGAGTTGGCGAGCGTGGTCTCAAGCTATCTGGAGGCGAGCGCCAGCGTGTATGTTGCTATCTCGTCCCCTTCTCAAGTTTTGTGTGGATTACTGATAAACCAAATCGATAGATCGCCATTGCCCGAGCTATCCTTAAAGACGCGCCTATCTTGCTCTTGGATGAAGCCACTGCCTCACTGGATTCTCACACTGAAAGACAGATCCAGGATGCCCTTGAGCACGTTACATCAGGACGAACTACCATTACTATCGCGTAAGTTGACGCGATCAATACCCAATCCTTACTCGTATACACAATTTCGTCTAACAAGTTAACTCGTTTCTAGCCACCGTCTCTCAACCATCACCACATCTGACCAAATTGTTGTCCTTCACAAGGGTGAAATCATTGAGCGTGGCACTCACAGCGAACTGCTCGCACTCCAGGGACGGTACCACGCTATGTGGGAGAAGCAGACGACGATTGAGAAGAAGAAGTTGGAGAAGCTCGAAAAGGGGGATGCATCTTCTGAGGAAATTTCGCAGGAATAAAGTCAACTTGCTCAATAGCCAGCTTTGACGCTTACCCAAGCTTGGAAGTATCTGCTATATTGGAGTCAGTATGATGGGTCGTGTATACATGTAGTAAACTGGTTCCTGCTACCGCGGCAATCAACTAAATATGTAGGATATTGGAGGATAGTGTAGGACTTCGGAGAAAACCAAATTGCTCAAAGCAACAAGCGTGACTGCTGCATTCGATCTACTAGCTTGATAAGAATACCAGTGAGGCTCCCATGGTGCTTCGCAGAGAAATTTTAGATGCCGCAACTCGATTTCAGCGTCAAGTTTAACGGTGTGTGTATGTGTCTGACATGTGATAGCCCTGGTGAGCAGCCCCAATATGAGAACCACTTCAAAGACGCAAAATCATATCGGATTTGCATGCACTGTTAAATTTAGAACTGCATTTTCTTTTTTAGGAAACAGTCTTTAGTTCAACAAGTGGCCTGCTGAGCGGCCCAGCTGAGGTGGTTGGTAGAGGCTGGCGGCTGAAGTGCATATTGTCTCGGCGCCAGAGTCTTATGAAAGCCAATGAAATAGACAAGAAAAAGGGCCGCAACGCCACAACTGAGATTTATTCGCCGGAGGAATTCAGCTTGTTGATGACTGCAGCTCGCCTGCAGCAAGAAACCCCGCACCGGTGAGCTGAACACTTGGCGATCAGGCAGCTCGTGACTTGGGAGCTCGTCATCTACCTAGCCTATATGTCGCGCGGCCTGCTCCTGAGAAATTTCTAAGATCATTAGACATCTTGAGTGAGACTTTCCCCTACCAGCAGAATACAAGCCATTTATTATTCCTCTTCGTGTCACCATGAACGTTCCTACTACTCCCCCGAGCGAGTCTAACCAGCCGGTTGGGGTGCCCGTTGTGCAAGTTGAAGGCGGCGAAGCCGTAGCAGAACCCCTACCCTTGCAACAATTCATCCGCAATGTACCTAGACAGAGCGACGGTTCTCTAAGTCCTGGCGACAGCGCAAACTTGGGCAAGATTTTGGAAGGCATGAGCCCTGAAGAAGTCAATGCCAAAGATGACAATGATGAAGGGCAAACGGCGCTTCACCATGTCGCCCGACGAGGCTTGAAGGGCGTCGTTGCCCGCTTGATGAAACACGGTGCCATTGTTTCGGCAGAGGACGCGCAGAAAAACCAGCCGTTGCTCTTGAGCTGCCAAGGGGGGTTTGTCGAGACCACAACAGAGCTTCTAAAGCAAGGCGCAAAGGATTTCATCGACGCCAAAAACAGCCTTGGGCAGACGGCGCTTCATTTCTCTTGTATAGATGGAAGGAGCGCAATTGTCAAGGTACTGCTAAAATACAAAGTAAACACCAATGTCTTGGCTGCGGACAACAGCTCGCCAATTTTCGAAGCTTCCATTCGGGGCCACCTGGAGATTGTTCAGCTCTTGCTTTCCCACAAAGGGTGGGATAAAGGATTGCTTGAACAAACAGTCAAAGCAACGGGTCGGACCCCTCTACACGCCGCTGTCTACGAGGGGCACGACAAAATCGCAGAGAAGCTATTGGAAAGCGGCTCAAAGCTTGATATCTGTGACTCCCAAGGGTGGACTCCGTTGATGGCGGCAACCAAGCAGGAAAGTGTAGGCTTAATGAAACGTCTTCTTCAGAGAGCGAGTCAAGATAATCAGCTCGAGATACCAGATAAAGAAAACTTCACCCCTTTGGGGGAAGCAGCTGCAAAGGACTTTTTGACTGGCGTTTATATGCTGATCAAAGCTGGAGCGAACTGTACTTCCATCAATATTCCAAATGAGAAAGCTCATAGTATCTTGGTGAAAGTGAGCTCCTACGGACATGACAAGATTGTTGAACTTTTCTTGAAAAACGAGACGAAAATCGGCCTGTCTCAGGAAGCAAAGGGAGAGGCGTTACAGGCAGCAAGCAAGCAAGGTTACGACAACATCGTCAAGCAACTAATAGATGAAAAAGTAAAGACACCGATTGATTTCGAGGATCAGGCGGGTATGACTGCACTACATCATGCCATACGTGGAGTCATCCACAATATCGAGAAACACGATGAGGATCTCCTCGGTCCAAATTCTGTCTATGTAGACGAGAAAAGTAACACTGGATCAAAACCCGGAAAGCACTATAATGTAGCAAAACTTCTCCTTGGCGCTAAAGCTAAACCAGGACAGAAAACAAAAGGGGGGGAAACAGCACTGCATCTCGCAGTAAGAAGTCCGAGATCTAAGCGCATTAATCGAGTTGAGCTCATCCTTGAGCATTTGGAGTATGACGATGTTTGGGCAGTAAATAACAAGCAACAAACTGCGCTGAATTTAGCCTTCGAAGCAGTGAGCACGGAGAACCAGGCCGCCGACTGGGCGATGGGTGTAGGCGATGTACATGATATTGCACGATTAATGCTAAAACGCAAAGTGCGAGCTGGGCACGACATTGAAAGGGTCGACCCGAATGATTGGAGCGCCATCGAGTTGGCAGCCTACCATGCTCTTCCAGAAGTCCTCGCCTTCCTACTGGTCAACTCTACATCAATGAAGGAGACAATGAAATGCATAGACTCCGCAAAGAAACTAGTTGAGGAGAAAATGAGTCGAAAAAATGAATTCTCGACTAGAGCGAAGTCGGAGACAGCTACTACAGCGCCGATGCCTCAAAACAGTTCTAATGCTAAGGACGACTGGGATGAATCCACGAGGGAGCTTCTTGTTATGGACATACTGAACGACCCTCAAATCGTAATAATCAAGGACAGTGAAAGCTACCAGTCCCCACAGCCCGAACGCGGCGTGGAGGGCTTCCCAAAAGATCACAGCGCCTCGATATTTCAATTCTATGCTGGCGAGAAGGAATCAAGCATCATTCAACGATTTCGAACTGTACAGCAAGTCATTTACGACGACGACAAAGGGCCGAAGAAAATCATGGAGGAGGCAGTGAAAAATTTGAAAAATATTTATGGGAAGATGAAATCACGTACTCGGATAGCTGATCCTGGAACTGAAACTGAAACTGAAACCGAGCCTAAGTTTACATGGGTCCATTTGTCTTCAACAAATGTAAGTGTATCCAAGAGAACATCATCGGATCAATTGCTAACTTTGGAGGATAGATGGTCTGGATGGAGGTAAGCGGCCCTTGCGAACCTTGAAGGCAATGACGGAAATTAATAACCTTCATAGGATGCCTTAAAACGGATACTGAAAGATGAGGGATGCAGCGAAGATCGATTCCGAACGATCAAATCTTTCTTTCAGAACAGTTGGGCAGAGATTCCGGACAATACATCGCCGTCTCGGTTTATGCGACCGCAACATAGCTGCAAATCCTTCAACACAGAGAAAAATGACCAAGACGGACGCTGTACTGCACTTTATGTGAGCTTTTATTTCAGCCGTGCAACCCGATATGCTAACCTTTGATGAAAGATTCCTTACCTTTCCTTTGCGAGATATTGTCGAGGTCAATGCTCAGACCACTGTAGAATTGCCAGGGACGATAACCCCCGTGAGAGGAGCAACCACCAAAAGCTTCATGAAGAGACCAGACGCCGCCAGAACTTAGTAGAAGCCTATAGGAACCAAGTCATTCACGGCCCCTCGACGCTCGATGAATGGTACTACCAATTTGCAGCTGAGGTTTCTTGGTCTGACGATGCACAACGCCGCAACAAGACCCAGGTTGTGACAAAAAGCCTTAGAGACAACACGAGCGAGGGTAAGCATTGGCGTTTAGTTCAGGTTAATCAATTATGGGCTTGGGTCGTTGGTAACAGTAAGTCTTTGTCGTTATAACCGAAACATTCACGGTCATTGTTCTAAAGAGATCCAGAATGGCTAATAACGGCTACTTGGGATCCAATCGATGGGATCGAAGAGACCCTCCCACAAGGTATCATCGACCATATCCGGAAGCAAGCCAAGGTCAGAGGCAAACGCTACCAGCCACACAATGCATTTTATATGAGCAAGCTCTTGGTTGATTTCTGCATCGGATCTTATGAGCGGGCGCGTATTCCCACGGATAAGGATCCAGAGCACGAACAACAAGTCTCAATCCGTCAAATCTTTTCTAATTATATGAACACTATCGTTTGTCCATCTTGTTTACCCGGTGATGGTTTTTATCTAACGCATTAATAGGGAAGAGATGAAACATTGTTGTTCGAGATATCCAGCGAATTCAGCCTGGAGAATTGTAGACAGAAACCAGATTTCATAAATGATGCCATTAAATTGGCAAAGGAGATGTCCTGTCAAATCAAGGACATACGAGATGAACTCAATATTCTCAAATCGGTTGCTCAGTACCAGAGGGAGGTTGAGGAAAAGCTGTCCACTAATTCAAGGAAGACGGGCTCCGGAAATGCCAGTCTAAGAGCAAACTACGTGATTGAAGATATTAGCCAGATGGATACAGTATCTCTCCGCATACAATCTTCCGTAAGTCCTGGACTGCCAATCTTCAAGAAAGTCTTTAACGGGAGTAGATCAGCGAAACCCTCTCATTGGAGCAAAGTGAAATTGCCAATCTTCAGGCAACTCTATCAGTAGAGCAAGGGACGAGATCAGTAGAGCAAGGGACGAGACTCATGGTCTTCACCATTGTGACGGTTGTGTTTGTGAGTTGCTCTGACGGCCGAGGAGAAGTATCTGTCCATTACTCTAACCCTCACGATTAACAGCTACCTCTCTCCTTCCTCGCGTCCTTTTTTGCTATGGACACTGAAGCGTTCCAAAAAAGTGCCTTGTGGGCTAAACTTCTTGTTTGTGAGATCTTCCCATAACTCTAGTTCATTTTGGTTGTTTATTGATAATATGAGCCCTAGTTCTCGTCACATTGGCCTTGGTTTTACCATTCTACATCCCCAAGATATTGTCCATACTGAGAGACTGGCTTACCCGCTGGAGGTCGAGGAAGGACAAGCGTATGGAAAAGCTTCTCATTAGGGCTAAAAAGAACACAAGCACCGATCCTGAAGCTATATCTAGTGACTTGAGATCTAGAACACCATCGGAAGTTGAGGAGGCTGCTACAGCCCCAAGCATCAGAAGAAGGGATACTCTAGCCATGCGCTTCAGAAAATCCGATTCAGGCCGCATGCTGTGATAATTCCAGTTTAAACACAACGTCATAGAATGTTCTCGATAGCTGGAAGTCTAGTGGCCCATGTACTGCCAGGCTTCAGGCGATCTGTTAGGGACAAGAGCGGTATGGGAGCCATTAAGTTGAATCTGCGTCCGGGACTTCCCTCAGCTACTTCAAATAAGTAAGCAAATAGGTTGAGCTATGTGAGCGCTGCTGCTATGAGCTCACCCTTAGGATTAGACAAGACTCGTCCACGTATATGAATTAACGACATCATTCGTTCCTCTTGGCTGATGCACGTCCGTATTTGTCACGCACTATTTCTTGCATCCATGCCGGCCAAGCAGCAACTGCAGAAAGAAACGACCGGCTCTCAGGAAGAATCAAAACACCGCCCCTCTTGCTCACCAGCCTCTCAACAATTTTCTCGCCCACGAAATCGGCTTCGAGAATATTCTGCCCCTCCTCGTCGAGACGCTGCTGGATGTCCTGGATGATGGGTGTCCTGACGAACTGAGTGTGGACTGCAGTAGTGATTACATTTGGCGCATGGTAAAAGTGCTTAAGCTCGCTGCCCAATACATCATGGAACGCGCGGGCGGCTGACTTGCTGCCGGAGTAATCACTACACCGGGGCAAGGCGAGGAAGGAGGCTGCGCTGGCCACGGTGACAATATGGCCCTTGTTGTTCTTGATCATATCGGGGAGGAATTGCTGCACAGTAAACCAGTGCGCGAGAGAGTTGACAGAGAATGTCTGGTGCAGTCTCTCCGCGGAAGCATCCAGGATACGGCAAGGACGACAGATCCCAGCGTTGTTGATGAGGATGGTGGGATGTCCGATGTTGGTGCGTATTTCTTCCGCAGCAGCTGCCACCTCGTCTGGCTTCGTTACATCGCACTTACAAAATAAGATGCGAGGTTGGTCTTTGAAGGCCTCGGGCGGATCTTTCAAGTCAAGCACTGCAACGCAGAGACCCTTCTTGATAAGCTTCTCAACAACGGTCCTCCCGATTCCGCCAGAGCAACCGGTGACGACGGCGATCTCGTTGGACCAGATCCAGTCGCTGGGGGGACTTGCACGCCAGGAATTGCGCGCTATGTCATTGAGGAATCTATTTGCCCAGCGAATAAGGTTGAGTGCGACCACGATGCCCAGTGCTGTTCGGATCTTGCCATTGTTGTCCAAGAAGAAGTGTTGCAGTCCTGACAGACTGGGAATGTGCTTTGCGAGGGCAGCAAGAAGGCTTTGCGTTGTTTTTTGTGCGAATGCGGCCGTCAGAAGAACCGAACCCGGGACCAGCATAGCTGGTAGCGATCTTTGAAGTGCCGACATGATTACCAAGGCAAGGCTACGTATGTTGTTGAAGCAACGTACGTTGAGTGAGAGCGTAGCTGGTCCGGTATGGATGAACTACATAGAGCAGATGAGGAAAAAACCGGAATGGCAGGAAAACAGCCAGCCAAATAGAACACCATTACTGCATTGTCACAGGGAGTGAATGAGGATACATAACCGATGGCTCATCCCAAGGGGTGCATGATAAGCATAATAAGCATTAACATGGATTGAGAGATCAATAAAATTCTACACACCTTCATGGTAGAAACCTTGGATAGCCAACATAAGTTCTTGATAGGTTGCTCGGATTAAGACCAGCCCCCCCTCCTGTCTCTTTCCCCTCCTATGATTTCCATGTTCTTCGTATTCATTGGTTCGACATGAAGTAGTATTAAGACACATCCACATACATATACGAGTTATCGCCGGGGGCATGTCGGTCTGACATACCTCGTCCGTTATTGGCAAGATAGCTCGTTCGTTGGTAAGACAGCCTTTCCTTTTCCGCCACCCCTCTAAAATATTCACATGACGACACCTATGGTACCAAAACCCCCCCGACACCTAAGAACAATAACAGAATTTCCCACGGACGCGAGGACCGAAAATAATCTTTGCAGTATAAAGGTTTATAGAGTTTTCCTTAATATAGCTCTAGCCTTAGGCTAATAGAGCCTATTTTTCACTTTTTATATTTATTTTATTGAGATATCGAGTCTGGCATCTTTTATTGCTATTTTTGCTTTATACTCAAACTCTTTCACAGTACAGTACACTGGCTATACAACTTAGAAAATCCGATCAAGGCCTCACGTTATAATAATTTCAGTTTTAATACAGCATCATAGAACCTTCGCGATAGCTATCTGTCAAGTTGTCGTAATAGCTCTGCAGAGACGGCCAGAGCTTAATAGGTCCAAATGGAAGTGATTAGGGAAGATGTACTGTCTAGAGTCCTTTATTTATTTATAAAAGTTTAAGCTCATCTCCAATGTTTTGATGCCATACATCATAGCGTTTTTTTATCCGACAATCAGTCATCGTGCTTGATTTCAAATCAGTTGGCCCGATCGCTATCGCTCCTCTTCTCTCCACCAGACTCCGAGTTCTCAAAAATGTTCTCACGGTGTACGGCATGCTCAAGGTACTCGGCCTTGAGCTCACCCTTTTCGTTGTAGCGGAAGGGCTCGTTGAGTGAGACCTTGACACAGTCGAACACATTGGTGCTCTTCTTGAAGATGTCGTCCATTTCCTCGAGGGAGCGGAGACGGGTTTCGGGGAAGAAGAAGTAAACGCAAGGGAACATGAATGCGTTGCTATCAAGGAGGTAAGGTTAGCCGATTTGCTCAAGCGCCTGGGGAATGGGTGGTGAATCAGAAACGTACATGACAGCGAAGATGATATATGTCTTGTATTTGATGCTGTCAAATGCGACAGGAGTGATCATGACAACCATGAAGTTGAAGATCCAGTTACCACTAGAAAAGATGTTAGCCTATCCATCTTTGACGTCAAATTGTTAGAGGGCGCCTTACCTGGTCGAAAGCGCATTTGTGGGTGCACGAATACGAAGGGGCACGATCTCAGCAGGGTACAGCCAGGTCATTCCCAACCAACCGAAAGCGAAGAACGTGTTGAAGACAAACAGGAAGACAGCCTGGCAAACACCAGCGGCCTTATCGTCGAAAGTAATGACGCGGTAGTTGGTACCGGCAAGCACGCCCATGGAAATGGACATACCGGCGGCCTAAGACTGTCGTTAGCAGCCGGGTTACTTCAATAGATATTGGGAGTAACTTACACCGAGAAGCATGAGTTTACGGCGGCCAACCTTTTCGATGATGAAGATGGGGAGCAGAGAAGCAAGGAGATACTCCGTTCCGTTGGCGGCAGCGAGGAGCTTAGGCAAGTTGTCACCCTCAAGACCGATCTGGGCATAGAGAGAAGGGGCCTATTGGTTTATGTCAGTACCAATCAAATATCCGACTTTAATGCTTCGAATAATTCAGGCAATAGCGACTCACGTAGTAGGTAATAAGGTTAATGCCGGAAATCTGCTGGAACATCTGGTTGACGTAGGCAAGGACGACACGGTGGAATTCGCGGTACTCTGTCATGTCGAACAGACTGCGGAAAGAGCCGTGAGACATCTCCTCTACGGTGGCCTTGATAGCCCTGAACTCGTTCTGGATATAAGGGTCTTCACGAGTCTTCTCATTCAAGGCCTCGAGAACTTCCAGAGCTTCGTCGTCCCGGCCCTGCATGGCCAGCCATCGAGGAGACTCGGGGAGGTTCTTGATGGAGGTGAAGATGACGATAGCGAAGAGAATCTGGAAAGCCAAAGGGAATCGCCATGCGACTTCCTTGTCACCAATCCATGCGAATCCTGATTTTACCGGTTAGAACTAACGTCCATAAGACAGAATAACCTGTAGGGGTCAAACCAACCGTAGTTAATCCAGTAGCTCAGGCAAATACCGCCCGTAATCAGGGAACCTTCGATCATGACCAGCTTTCCACGATCGTGCGACTTTGCCGACTCAGATTGCCAGGTAGGAACGGTACTGGTGTTGATGCCATTTCCAATACCGGTGATAATTCGGCCAATGATGAATTGCTGGAGGTGGTAAGAACTGGACATGAGTGTGGCTCCAATCGTCATGATGGTGCATCCGGTCATGATTGTGCGACGTCGACCAAGGTAGTTGCCGATGAAGATGCAAATGATTGAACCGAGGAAGCATCCCAGATTGTACGCTGCGACAGCGATGCCCTGGTTGGCAGAACGCTGTGATTTGACGGCATCTGAAAGACCCTCCTCAAGGGGGTTGATGGTAGGGAAATGGCGAGTGAATGCGGGTAGATCCAGCAGACCACCAGTAATTCCTTGATCGTAACCAAATAGCCTGTTCATTGAGTAAGTCAATTTTGATCCTCATTGAAAGATTCACTTCTGCCATTCACATACAGGAAATCAAGACTGCCGAGGGAACTGATGGCGAGGTTCAGCTGCCTGCCTCGAAAGCCGAAGTATTTTTTACCCATAATGGAAGTAAGGGAACAGCTCTGAATCTACCTGTCTGTTTTTTTCTTGCGTGCCCAAACTACTATCACCAGATTCAAGGTGGATAATGAAAACTCTACTTCTACAAAAAGGACCAACAGCAGAGACGTTGATCTTTATAAAATGTAACGGCGGGACAGAGTCCAACATGCGGGTTCGGTTCGACGAAAAGGGAAATCCGAGCATGATTCAATGTTTCGCGTATTGGAGGGTGAAGCGAGTTCTCCACCGACAGGCTGGGAATCAGCCTTTGACAAATCCAGACGTGACTCGATGCGACGGTTGTTTACCCACTTGGGACCGACCTTAAACTTCGTTTGGGAAACGAAAGGCCCGTCCACCGTCTTTCCAGCCCGGCAACGAGAGCAAAAATGAGGAAACGTCACGTCGGATGGGGGGGCTTGGCTGACGTAGGACCAAGGGGCATCCGGTGGGGATCATCGACTGGGGACATGCCGCCTTTGGAGAGCGTTCGTAGCCGCAGAGCGAGTACGGAGTAGGACAGCTCCGTGTGAATTTCGCACTAACTTACTCCCAGGAAGATTGTGGTGGTTGGTATTGGTGGGGACGGGGGGCAAGAGGGGGAACAAGAAGCTGGAGGAAGGCCTTGCGAACA